CATGATTATTTGGTTATAGTTTTATTTAAGAGTTAAGCTTGTGTTTGTTGGCTTAAATTTATATTTATATATTTACATTGAAATCTAAATATTTAACCAGTGTTATAAATTCTGAATTAGATTATTTAAAAATGTATCTTGTCTTAGTAGGTATATATTTTGAGAACTGCTATTTGAAAAATATTATTTTGTGTTATTAGGACCCAATTTTCGTAAATGGCTAAATGGTTTCCCAAATAATTAATTGCTTGCTAATTCAATATTCGCCATACTCTTGAATGGCTAACGAATGATACATTGATATAGGTATTCTATTTATAGAATCTATTTTACATATTATAAGGAAACTAAAAATTCGGTACATATGTGAAGATGGCAACAGAAAAGTAAATGTAAGTTTTATAAGTAATACGCTGGTACACCTTTAATTTCATATTTTCAGAAAACTTGAAAACTGCTTGTGTTTTCTCGGTCTAACAAACATACGATTTTCAATTAAAATTGTCCGAGCGAGTGGAGCGTAACACTTCGTGTTTGAACGTTTGTAATTTTAAAACTAAGCCAGATAGTTTTATTCTGATTCTAATAAATAACTTCGATATCAAAATCTTAACAATTAAAAAAAAGTCAATTTTTGACCACATTTCAAATGAATTCCAAAAATCCTATTTTTCAAGGCTTATATACTAAAATTATAAATTATTTATGTGTCCTATAAAACCTATCGAAAAACATTCATTGTTGTACAAATAATGTTCTTCCCTTTAAGGTTAATAATTGAATTGTTCAACTTACTCTTACAGTCTAATATTAAAACTAACAGCATATATAGGTAAGTATCTATTTTTTAATAGTGGCTACCTAGTACAAAGTTATATTACAAATAACATGTCAATATTAACCAAATCAACTACCATAATTATATACTATACAAAAGGACACAGTGGGACATATAAGGTGTTCTACAGTTATATTTTAAGATCTAACACTAATTAAATAAAACTGGACAGTAAATATCTAAAAATGATTAGAATATTCTGAAAATTGTACAACGTCTAGTAAGGGCTAATATTATAAGTATTTGATTTAAATTTTTGACTATCTACGATGATTTTTAACCAAATTACAACAATAAAATAAATTTGATAATAACAGAAACCATTATTATATAAATATTACTGGGTTTTCCCAATTATTAAGAAAACTTCAAGAAAAATCAAAAAAATCATATCCCCAATTCACTCACTAGACACGCCTAATTTGCCACCTACCAGAAACTTCACATGTAATTGATGATTTGAGCAAAATTTCTGGTTAAAGTTGTTTTAAGATAGAAAAAAATACACAAATCATAATAATATTTAACCTAACTAAACATGTTCAAATTAATAATGCATTAAAAAATGCAAATTAACGAATAAAATATGTTTATTGTATATGTGTATAATCAGTGTTCATACATAAATATATAATGTTAGGTTTTGTATTAAATATATATGAAAAAAAAAAAAATAATAAATAAAAAGATTTTAAATTGCACATTGATTACCTATTAATTAATTACATTTTATTACATTAATAAAATATATATGTAAAGAAACCTTAACTATCATTATATTATATTAAATTATATAATTAAAATCAATACAGCTTTGGAACTGTATAAGTTCAGTGTTGTTGGAAAATAATTCAATATTTTATAACTAATAATGCTACAACAAAGCTTTACACAATATGAAATTTTAGTATCTATTTTTTGAAAAGATATCCACTTAATGAAATTTGTATTTCTTTCACTAAGTGGAAAAAAATGGTTTCCATTTCTTGAACTGGATAACTATTCATGAAATGGACAATTTTATCAAGTGGGCGTGACATATAAATATATAGACCACTATATTTTAATATAAAAATACATATTTTTTAAAATTTAATTATTTAATTCTTTATTAAAAAAATACATATATTTCTATTAGTTAATTAAAATTAAGAAAACCTTTAAAGCAAGCGGCGAACAGTGTTAGGTATTTCTAAATTGAAAAATAATATGAATGAAATAATACTTAATATTTAGTCAAGTAGTATTTAATTGTTTTGATGTTTAAAACTTTAATTTAGTAGTTATGTGATTAAAATTAATTTCTTTATTATCAAGATTTATGGGAAATTGGAAAATACTAAAGATATTTAACTCATTAAATTATCACACACAAAACTAAATATACAAAACAATAATACAAGTATAAAAAAAAAAAAACAAAGACAAGTAATAATCAATTAAATAGAAAATTAAAACAAAAATATTATCAAAATAAAAAATGATATATTAATAGTTAAAAATAATTGTTGTTAATATTACAGTCAGAAGGTCGGCTTTAATTGAATATAAATTAATGTATAATATGTATAATATAAGTTAATATTATACATATTATTTAATTTACATAAATTGTCTATGTAGATATTATGAAAAGTAAAATAGTAGTTTACTGTAAAACTTACTATTGTAACTGGGAATGGCACCTGTAGACTGTCCGACTGATGATCTGTAACTCGAATCTAAGTAACTTTCTTCTTCCCAAGGTCTCTAATGGTCCAAATTACGGGATAGCGCTGTATAGAATTAAATACAACAATTTAGTATTACTCCAGTAATAAGTATCATTTCTGTGCAAGATATTGGGAACAATACACTCAAAAACGTGTTTTTGTTTACTTAACAATTTACACAATGATGGAGTAAAATAATATGAAACCTATGAAACATAAGATTTTCNACATCTCGAAGCATTACGAGGATCCATGTGTGAAACTTTCCATTTTTGATGTTTTTCACGTTCCCGAACTTCTTGCAAAAATACTTTTCCAATTCCTGATCCCAATTTACTTAGTTCTTCCTCTTCTTTCTACATAAAAATAATATGAAATTAAAAACAATTTAAATTTAAGTACATTTCAGTGCTAGTAACATACTTTTAGTTTAGGGTCAATTCCTTTATCAGCATTCATTTTTTGATCTACTTCATCCTCATCATCAGATATACCCTTATAATTGTCAAACCACATTTTACGTTTTTCTAAGCGAGTAAAACACTGTTATAAAGGTTATTAATTTAATTTTAATAATTAAATATTCACCTGGATCAGTATAAGGACACGGCGGTGCGGGAAAATTGTCCCTTTCGATCTCTGGTTTTTCGCTGGGTGGTGGTGGCTAAGCAGCAGGATAGTGAGCTAGTTCTATAGGTTCTTCATTTTTCATAATATGGGTCTAAGGGTCTAGGGGTCTCCGATTTTATACTGTCTACCAAACTTTTCATATCGGAAGGCTATATTTTGTTTGAATTTTATTTTATCAGAACCATATTTTACCATAAAAAATATTTTTCAGTATAATTTTCTCATAAGCACTTTGTGATTGCATATCATCGTCGTTGAGTACAAATTAAAATACTTTCCAATGTATTTTTTTTCCAATAAAATACGGTTCCTAGAAAATATTTTACTCGCCCCGTTATCCCTTATCTTATTTTCTCCCGTCTTTCCACTCATCCACTAAAGCATTCTCATTTCTGTTATACTCAATTTCTATTATATTTTACTATCATAACCTCATCTAAACCATCATTCTTTTATACAAAAGATCCTAGGTAGGTACTTAAAATGTTTAACCTCGCCATTAACTGCTTATTGTTGTATACTTCCTTTACCTTTCCTTCAAGTACTACTCTCCATTTTTCAAGCCTATTGTTACCTTATTTCAGATTTCAAAGCCTCCTTCTAGGTGTTGTCACCGCGCATATCCTAGATGGGTAAATCCACCAGTGTTATGTAGAACTCTTCATACTGTTTGACAAAATTTTACACTAGCTGTTTTACTTCCTGAAACAACTGCATTTTATGACTTATGTGTATGTAAGTAATTATTATAATGAGTAATAGGTCGGTTATAAGTAATATAATATTTTATAATTATACAATTATAATTTTTTAAACATTTTAATAGATTAAAATGTTACCATAAAGGCAAAGATAAAAAAAAAGGAAAACACAATTTTATAAACATTTGACATTCTGTTTTATTACAACAAAATAAAAATACAATATCAACAAAACCCAACTAGTCATTCCGTGAAAATTGTCATCAATAACTCTAACCCAAAATTTAAATATATATACATTTATGTATATTTAACAAAATATTTATTTAACTAAAAAAAATAGTAAATATTTATTGACTATGTTAAAGCAAAAGGGATTTATACACATTATACCATTTTGAATGTGATTACTAAATAATATTACCATACAATCTAAACAACTTCATATATTATGGAGACATTTTAAAAATATATATTTCTTTTTGAATCTATAATAAATAATAATTATAAAAAGGCTGCAGAATCCTGATAATTAATTAAACATTTGTTTTTAATTAATTACATAATAAAATGATTTGTTATATTTTTTTATAATTTGTATGTATTTGGATAGTAATTAAAATAATAAATAATGTATTCATTATTCAGGAAAGAAGTATATTTATTTTAAATTGATGAATAATTTAAATATTATAATTAAATAATTCTATCATTTTAATGATCATCAACAGCCTTCAGTAATGATAAATTATTATAAATCAATCTTATATTCTAGTTTATTATACGTAATTATTGTTTACATTTATATCACACGCCATAGCGTTACACAATTACTGAGTATTATGTATGCTAATTTATTCATAAATCCAAATTTGTCAATAGACACACATTGCAATTCCGAATATGATAATTTTTATAGTAGCAATGTATATGTAATCCGTAATATTTTGACAATTGTATGTCCATTAAATCTAACAAATCAGCATATCAAAATAATAACTCAACAATAACAGGCAAATACATTTCCTTAGCCATTTAACTCAAATAATAATTATAGTACAAATAATTTAAATTTTATATTTGGTATAATTGATGAACAGTCTAAGTTATTTTAAACATTTTTGTTTCACATAATTACATGAATGATTGCAATAATAATCCATATTGATAATAATTAAATATAATGTAGTCCAGCTATTATACATTATAGAAACTAAATCATGTTTGAGCTAAAATTACATAGGTATTTAAAATACGACAAGTGTAATTTTGACTTATTTAATTTACATAGAAAATATAATTTGAAAACAAAATGGCATATATTACTATAAATTGGTATATATACAAATTGAATTAACTGGCAGTGCTTGATATAATTTGGAATAAAGTGAAGTCGGAAATATTGTATCTTCCAGTATAAATCAAACACAGCAATTATCACAATTCTCATTAAATTTTATTTATATTTGTTTACTTAAAAATTAAAATATAATAAATTATAAATAAAACAAAAATTTAAATAATATTGTGGACCTATAATTATTAATAAAATAGGTTTTCTGTTCATAAAAAAACATATTTTGTAATACAAATTATAAACAGAATCAAAGTTAAGAATATTCTGCTACTTAAGTCTTATATGTTATTGTGTTGGCAATACAAATAATAAGAGAAAACATAATAAGAATAACTTGACTAGAATTAGAATAGGTTGTTTGAAAACTCTAAATGTCATTAAAGATTTGAATAAAATAATATTTAAATTTTTTGATTTAAATAATACTCTTATAATAGAAACACAAGCAAATTGAGAAAATCAGTTTTCAGATTGCAATAAACACATTTTCAAAATGTATAAAAACACACAATTTATACATTACATTATCATATAAATCAAATTATCACAAAATATTTATTATTAATATAATAATATACCATTTTGTAATTATTAAATGTGATAGTTACATGCACCTCATACTATAAAAATATACCTAACCTATATATATATATATATTTGTATTAATATCTTTTACAATATAATAATAATAATATAAATTTTTAAACTAATAATTTATTATGAAAAGAAATCTCCAGGATTTTAGCAGTTTTAACATAACTTAATTCTTTAAGTTTATAATAATAATTCATCTTATATTTACTAATAAACAATTTTGAGTGTAATATTTAGATGAAAGTAATATGAGAAAGTTCTTAAAGAATAATCTTGTATACCTTAAATAAAATAATAGAGCAGCTCAAATAAATGTAGATAATTTATTGGAACTCTGTAAAGGTACACAATAAAATATAAACAAAAATTTGTAATATGATTTTCATAAAAAAAATCTAAGTGATAAGCATTTTTAATAATAAAAGTATTGAGATTTAAAGATTTATTTGTACATAATGAACTATTAGATATAGGAAACTCACTACACTGGCAAAACGTTATACTATTCTTGTTCAGACTCTCCTTCACTTGAAAAATCTTGTATTGAAATAGGTCGCGAAGAAAATGGTGTGATTGTCATTTGACTAAAGACAACATGTTTATATTACATATAAGTACTTATAAATTATATTTCTAAGTTATCCTTACGCTTGCTTTCTGTAATAGTTTAACCATTCTTCAAGCATTTGAGCAACCAACAAGGGTCTTTTGTGTAGACGTTGTCGCGCTAACAACATCCCATTATCTGTTAGACAAACATCTAACCATAATTTTAAAATATCCTCTTCGTGTCCCATCTGTGAAACAAAAAATGATTAGAACTATGTTGACAAAATGTTATATTTAAAATTTTTACTTCTGATTTGGTAACAAAATGTATCGGTAATAATTTATGATCGTGATCAACAAGTGGTAAATATGTAGTACTTTTTCCCCGCGGTAATGGTTCGACAGGAACCAGCGAAGAAAAATGTCCACGAGTGTAAGCTAAGGTTATTGGAGACTTTATACAAAAACTTGGTTCCCATAAAAGTGGCAAGTAAACTCCTAATAAAAATTTAAAATGATACAATCAGTAATTAGATACATTACTATGTAGGTATGAACTTTCATCATAAATTATATTATCTATAATATCCATACAAATACAGACTAACATTGCACATAAATAACAACATTAACATACAGTACAATTTAATAAATAATAAATATTATTTGTTTGTTTGAAATCACAGTTTGATATTTTAAATATTTATCTTTAAATATATTTTATAAATTTATTTATACCTTCAAAATTTGTGTAACCTAAACGATCACCACGGAAGTTTTTCACATATTTAACAGCATATACAATAATTGGTCTACGCATGACATGAGCTAATGCAAATACATGAAGTTGAGCTAAGCTTGATCCGGGCCTTTCAGCTTGCGATACTAATGCAGCCCAATCTTCAGCCCATTGATATTCGTCTAAACAAAATTCTAACTTTTTGGCTTGCCATGCTTCATATTCTTTCCATCTTGGATAAAATCTAATTGAATTTTATATTAGAACATAAAAGTACAATAATATATATTATAACTAATTAATTAGATACTCACACCATGTGGCTTTCGTGTAAACAATCGGCTAAGGCTTTTCTTAGTATATTATCTTTATCAAAAATACCCCAGGTTGATTGCATTAGGGAATCCAGCAAACAGTCACCCGCTGAACGATTCCATAATGCATACAGTCTAGAACACAGTCCATCACAAACTTCAGGTGACCAATTAACCACAGGAGGCACTTCTTCAATTTCTAATTCATGTTGAACATTGCGGTCAAGTAACTCATCAAGTAGTTGTCTTTGAACTGGTCTTGGGAGTTCTTCAATTTCTATAAACAATGTTAAAATATAGCATACAATAATATAATAAAGTTGTAATGAGTTTTGTGAAATTAATTTACCATAGGGTAAGGAAAATGTTGCAAATTCTGTAACAAATGGACAAGGCATTAGGGATTTTCGTACACGTATTGTTGAAAGGAAATGTTTTCCTATCTCATCAGCAAGTTGATGAGCAATGTGAGAAGGTACTCGTTTTACAGTTGTTGAACTACTAGTGGCATTGATTTGATTCAAAACATTGGCTAGAATTTCTTCCCGGTGAAATCTAAAAAGAAAAAAAAATGTTTTAACTTATTTTATGCTATAAATAGTTGAAAATTTTAATATAAAATATGTTTAATGTAATAAATTAATAATGTTTTAAAATTACATTCTAAATTTCAATCAGAATATAAGTCTATTTACAATGAGGGTCAAGACTAGATTTATTTATCTAATCTTAAGGATCATAATAAAAGATGACTCTTATTTCTAAATTGTAAATAGTATATGTGCGATATCTATAAGTATACAAATAGATAACAAACTAAGATAAGATAAATAATCTAAGATATAGATAACAAACATTTTCTAGACTCTCAGCAAAAAAAAAAAAAAAAACGACATCGAAGGGAATATTATTTAATATTTATAATATAATATATAAGAAAAAAAAGTTTGAAAAATGTGTATGTAAACAATTAAATTAAATTTTATACCTACCGGTAATTAATAAACAACCATATACCTACATTATAATTTATTTATATATAATCAGTCATGAAATGTATAAAAAAAAACTTCAACAATGTCATTAGAAAATAGTTACACTGTACCTAACAGCAAGATGAACTAATGTGTGTCCAGTATCAAACGCTGATGGTCTATTAAGAAGTGCAACTTCTGTCGGTGTCAATGACCTGGTTGGATCACCACCTGCTTGTAAATAAGCAGCAATAGGGCTCCAATCACCTTGAACTACACCTACACATGCAGCTAGCCAGGCTCGATCATAATTACTATTGATGTCATCTAAACGACGTCTTGATGAAGATCTATAATAAAACAATATTAATTTTTTATAAACTAAAATTGGCTTTTGCATTAAACAGTTATCTGAATTATCAATAACCCACATATAAGCTACTATATAGCTACAAAAGAAAAAAATATATTCATAACCTTACTGAAAGTAGTAATCTTTTCAATGGTATCAAATTATAGAAGACAGTGGACTGCCACATTACAGCAGTCTACACTGATAAATTACATAGATTTCAGATGCAGGCACAACACTAATAATATAACAGTAAAAATTATATTACAAGTGTCCGCCAATGTGTTAAATGAGAATCACAGTTATGAATTGTTGAATTTAATAAGTCATAAATCTTCAAACTAGCGAAAAGAGAGTCAAACTTTATGAAAAAACATCAAAATATATCTTTATATTAAAATAAAAATTTTAACATGAATAATTAATTAATTTTTTTATTAAATTTTAAACATACTTAATCAAGATAATAAACTTGGCTCAATTATTATAGTTGAATAGATTGCCCAGTTTTATATACAATGAACCTGTAATGTATTATTTGACAATAAATGTAATCAAAACCTGACTGTTATATTTCACCTACATTGTTTAAACTTTGATTCATTTAAACTTAAAATGCTTGAATGTTTTAAATAGTCTATATATATATATATATGTATATATATAAATAAATTAATATTTTGTAGGACGCTATAACTTGAACACAGATGGATAGAATAGCTGATTTTTTTTTTGTGTGTTCCTAATAGTCAAAAAAAGTTTTGTAAAAGTTGTCAATTTGGATAATATTTTTGTATGTAAATCTCAATATTTTTTTTATTTCAATTGTATCATCAATGTAACCTATAAATCAACAAAAATAATTTGATAATTGAAGTTTAGTTCTGTTGTCACATGTATCCATAACAAAAACAAATTTATGATAAAAATAAAGGTTTGTATCAAAGAAAATATTTGGAAAATCTATTGGAAAAGTTAGAAGATATTTAAGTTATGGTGTCACAAACAAAATATAGATTCATTTTTATACATACATATAAATTAATAATTAATACATTTTATTTAAATTATTATAAATTGTCAGCAAATATGCTCAAAAAGGTATAAAAGGAACACTATGCCATATACAGGCAATGACTATTGGTAAAATGGTACACTTGCTCTCTCGCTATCCCGATATGGTAAGTAAGGCTTCATTTCTTTTGAAATATATCACACCAAAATTTAGTGTTAAGATATTTTTGATATGAAAATCATGAAAAAATGTCACAACACCGAATGTGGATTATCCACTTTCCACCTATTTGTTTTCATTCAATACTGACACGGTCAAAACCAAAACAGAATTCAGGTAAAAATAAAATAAAAATGTTCATGAGCATCACCGGAAGAGACAACTAGTTTATAATAATATACATTAGGTATATTATAAAAAATGTGTAACAATGTAACCAAATTATTTACTATTATCAAAAATCAAAGTTGAATAAAAAAACTAACCTTTTCAATGTACAAATATTTGAATCTGTATTAATTGTTGCTGCTAGTTCTTTTTCAGGTGATTTAACATGTTTTATAACAACAGTTGGAGGTTCACTTGTAGAGTGATCAGGTGATGGAGACATTTTACGGGATCCTCTTGTTCCTGTTAAGCATATTGGTACTTTAAAAAACATTGTATAATATAAATATATAAATCTTAGTGCAAATATGGTAAAAATGTATTTAAAATGAACTTGGCACAAAAATACATAAACAATTTATGATAGTGGGATAAAGCTTGTGGTGTTGTCTAATATTTCAATACTCAATATCTTTATTCCATGATAAATTTGCATGTAGCTACCCATTTTAGAAAAAATTAAATAGCACTGGTTTTATCAAAAAATAATAATTAACAGTAAGCATTACACATTATTAAAATAAAAAAAAGAGCAAATACTGGGGATGAGTGCAGCCATGTGCTGACATGCATCTTTCAGAACCATTAATAAATAGACAGACATACTTTACATGTGGGTCGGCCATTGTTGTAGGTGAGGAGTTAGAAAAGTAGTGGAGGGGAAATTTAAATGAATATCTGTACACAAAAATTAACCATTGCTAATGAATAAAAAAAATTCTGAGTAGAGTTCAGTTAATAGTGTTGTTTTGTCAACAATATATATTTCATACTATGGTAAAATAATTACATAATGCATAATATGCATTATATATTTTCTTTAATATTATACGTTTTATCCAGTTTTTTTTTTTTCGTTTTTTCACATTTGAAGAGAAAATCAAAAAATTACCTCCCCAAAGTACCACACCCAGAAAATTTCCTTTTAGAAAAGGATCTACATTGTATACATGGAAGTAAGCTTTCTGATAGAAAGTGTTCGCATTAAAAAAAATACAACATCTTTGTAAAACCAATACATTTTTTGCTCCATTCAGAATATAAAAACAACTAGATACTATATTATACTCAACTTATATTATTTTATTATTAAATACAACTTATAGATGAACCTTTTGTTAAATTGTCAAGAATTTCTATTTGGTCAAACAAATATATTCACATATTACCTACTAAATACAACTTGTAAACATAAAATACCTATAAACAGCTCAAAAATTGCTAAAATGTTACACAAATTTTCTAACAAAATTTCAAGTTTACAAATACTTTTAACTAAATTACAAAAATAAAAAAAACTGAAAATAATATTAGTGAATTTTTGAGTTTTGTTCAGTTATTCAAAAAGACTACACAGAAAATTCAAAAACTACTTTTGAAGGTAACTTGTCAATTTTCCATTCTAACAATATTCCTAGTAGAAAACAGTGAATGAAATTAAGAACAATAAAATCAATAAAGCTGTGGTGCGGTTTTTCGTATAATTTTGTTTCGGGTTTTCCAAATTATTTTGAAAATCAAAAAATGACATTTCTAATGCACTAGATCAAAACTAGATCATAACTAGATCAAAAAATTTAAAAAAATGATCTATGCATTTTTTGATTGGAGCAAGTTTTTTATTCCAAAAGTTGTTTACAGACAGAAAATAAAATCACATCATAGTAAGTCAATAGATCTCTTACCGTGCTTTGAATCAAGCAATTAACTAAACAAATGTATATACAATATTGCCAATGTGCATAAATAAATGAGATTCATTGGGGGATGGGGCAAATTCCAACATATTTACAGTTGATTATAAACGCTACTATGTTTTTAGAATTATTGTAAAATAAATTCTTACCACACATAATGCACTTCGAACTTTTAGGCCAATTTTGATATGTACAAGCCATACAAGTCCATTTAGTTAGTGCATGTGCTTCTAAGCTAGATGAAGCCTCCTCATTTTCAGGTGAATTAGATCTATCATTAATCTTTAAATCGTTGTTGAATTGTTCATTAAGTTCACCAAATAAATTGTTGTCTATTATTTTATCACAGTTATCAATTTCACCAGACGCTAAATTTACAATAATGATTAATTAATATTTGATTATAATCATACAAATTAATTTTACCTTCGATTAATTTTGGTTGAGGTTCAACAGGAAGTTCATCTCTAAGACTGTATATGTCCTGAGCTTGAGAAGACTGCCGTTTGGATGTCCTACACATGACACATTTGAGTGATGATTGATAATTATCGTAGGTGCAGACATCACAAGACCATTTAGATGTGATTTGAGAGGTCATTATTGAGTTTGAATCTTCCAATTACAAATGTAAATGATTTATATGGTTTTATTTCCAAAGCTTGTAAGCATAACACTGAAATTTAAAAAAATAATAATAATAAATAAAAAGTTATCTTTGTGTAATATTACATTCTTGTTAAAAAATATTATTCATTTGAAAACGAAATTCAAGGTTCATGGATTTGGCTTGAGTCACAGTTAAAATGTGCCCGGTTATTTTGCGACTTAATAATATTGAACTTGTGACATAGCAGGAAGCAAGAATGGGACAAAACAATCCATAGCACTTACTCAGTTACTCGTAATGCTATCAGGATAAACAACGAATTAAAACAATACAATACGGGCATAAACAAAAGTTATTAATAATTTAAAACTAATTTATCACCAATATGTATTTCTAAAATTAAATAATAACAACTTAAACTAAAAAAACAAAACAATTTCGCTAACAATCGTTGACCACGGGAAAAAAAAAATCTATAAAAATAATAAAATAAAAGAGAAAGACGTACCTAAATGATTATAATGATAAGATGTTTTTGTTCATTATACAAGTTAGTACTTTGATTTACACACGGTATTTACAAAACGGAAGTGATACAAAGAAATCGGTCATGTCGTCATATACATGACGTTAGTGACGGCCACTGGCGGGCCTACAGCTGTTTAACAAATAAGACTTATGGTGCCTTCATGGCTCGTCGTGAAACGTGATAATTTACTTTTTGTTCACCATAATTGATACAATTTAAAATAGTTAAACCATTATCATTAAACCGTGGTGAACAAACGGTCCAACTAGGAAGATATTAAAATCAAAAATGATTATTGACCACTGGTTAACCACTACATAATAACCACATGGTTCAACCAATCACAGTCCTAATCACGTTTCTCGGTAAGCTGTGAAGGCACCTTTGCGAACACTGGTATAGATACTATACGATAACAAGTTAAATACTTTCTATTTATAATACAAGGTACGCCTATTAGATAAAGTAGATAAAAACAGATGGTGCACTCCAAGGTTTATAGATAATTATTATCTATAAACTTTGGGTGCACCATTAGATCATATACGTATATGATTTAAGGGTGCACTTCGGAATTTACTGATAACTCAAACCCTCTTTAAATCAGTGTAACCAGATATTAGATTAAATAATTGTATAGCACCTTTTACCATTGTTAATACATGCGTCTTACAATGTACAAGAGCACAGACCATAGATTAGAGATGCTCGTGTCAGTGCAAATTAATGGAATTTCTAAAAGTTGGCCAAAATTTGATTAGCTTTAATATACTGGTTAGTCGATAGTAAACATATTGCCCATCTTTAATTTACCAACAGCTATCTTTTTAATTCTATTGCAAATTACATAATTCGATTTTATCTAATATGTGACTGTATGCTTAATATGCTTAGTAATATTTATACTTCAAAACAATTGATCCTTATTGATACATTTTTAAAATATTTTCTAGTGTTTATTTATTACTACAATTTTTAATTCGTTTTTAGTAAAAAAAAAAATTATATATTTAAAGAAACATCATTAGTAATGATTGCTTGTTTAAGTATATTATATATTTAGCAGTAAATTAAACAGGTGGTCAATTAAAAAAATAAATAAAAAAAGGTAAAATATTTGAGACGGGTGCAGCCACTAGTGTAAATGGGAATTTGGGAAGGTAGGATACAGACGAAATTTAATGTATATCTGTATATATTGATAAACTATTGCTAATGTAAAAACGATTTTGAGTGGAGTTCGAATAATAATGATGCTTTGTCAACAATATATATGCTATATTATAGTAAAATAATTAAATAGGCTCTATATATTTTCTTTAATAGTATTTGTTTAATGCTGAATCGATCTCTTCGGTTTTTTCAAATTTTCACATTTGCTGAAAAAACTCTAGAGAGAATCGAAAAACGACTTCCCTAAAGTACTTCCTCGGTGAAATTTCTTTTCATTAAAATTGTTTTTATTAAAATTTGGAGTAAAATTGCTAGCAGAAAAGATGTCCGCAGAAAAAAAAATTATAATATTATACAAATATATTTCGTACATTTTTCAGTTTTTTCTTCCTTTTTTTTGCATTTCATGAGAAAACTCTTGAGAAAATTTAAAAATTACTTCTTTTATGTACCTCTCTACAAAGATTTTCTTTTAAAAAAATTGCTACACGTACAAATCGAAGCAAGTTCTCTGATAGAAAAGTTGTCCACAGAAAAAAAAATAAACAAACATCTTTATAAAACCTTAAGAGCTTCTTCGCTCCACTCAGAATCTAAAAAAACATATTTTGGACCATGGTACTGGACGTTTTTTTATAGGTATATTACTCTATCAACAGATCGGCTGAAGCCGCGGGTTCCCGATGACTGTTGGTAAACATCAAAGAAAGCCCCGCGGCCACTAAAGTAGGACTGGTCTTCATAAACTAAAACCGTGGTCTGTCTAGTTATTTAACCATTGGTCTATCCATTCTACAGAACTTTTATTATTCTGTTCCATTATCCAGTTATTTTACATTTTTCTTTGTACAATATTTGAATATGTTGGTTACACTGCGAAATCTCGTGTTTACTGTTTTCATGGTTGTGTTCATAAAAAAAGGACTGTTTGGTGTTTTCATTCACAACCGGTCTGTAATCGTTTCTTATTTTTTTTTCCACCTTCCTAAAACTAAAAATCAATCATTAATTTAATAATTTTTCCTTAACTAGATTTATCAAACAAACATCATCATGGCTACTATGCCAGTAAATCCTAAACCGTACCTTAATGGTCTTATGGGAAAAACTATCATTGTTAAACTTAAATGGGGACACGAATACAAAGGATTTTTGGTGTCTACCGATAATTACATGAACATACAGTTAGCCAGCGCTACAGAATTCGTTGAGGGTAGTGAACCAGCTTTATTAGGAGAAATCATGATTAGGTAAGTTTATTAAATATTTAAATGGCTACTGTCCATTGTCATTCCTTCCAGCTATTTGGGATCTATAATGTCAATATTATGTATCATTTCTTTTATTTCATATTCTGTTTGAGCCTTGGCCGCACTTCAGTTTCTTATTATATTGATGGACACTTACTTTCAGTCCCCCGTAAACATAATACAAACTAAAAATATTACTAAATATATATATATATTTTTTTTAAATGCCCTTTTTTCGCAATGTTAAGAACATAAAGTCTCTACACCATTTCCTTTTTAATCTTCTAGGTGGGTTGTCTGGTAATGATTTATAGTTTGGTTGTAAAAGGATTATTATGCGATTGGAGGTAATTGTGGAATTTGGTGTAGTATATTTTGGAGAATTGATTTAAGGTGTGAGCTTTGAGGTCATGTTTGGTTAATGTTAGTTATGTACTAAGGTGTAGAGAAAGTAGGCGAAGACAGATGGATTAAAAGGATTATATTTTTTGAGTGTTTGAGGATTTTGGGGCACCCTATAGGTGGATTCCGTAAGTCCATAGTGGTTTGAGTAGAGATTTATAGATTATTAATTTGCTATTAATGTTCATTTTTGATCACAGGAGGGGTCTTAATAGGTAGAGACTGACATTTAGAGCTTTTCGTTTTGCTTTTAGGTAAGCATTTCAAGTGAGTTTACTATCTAAAATAAGGCCTAGGTAATTAACTTTTGAACAGGTAGGGATTAAAATACTATTAATTTTGACTTGTGGGTATGTTGATTTTTTTAGTGTAAAAGTTATATGGGAGGACTTGGATTTGTTCATTTTGATTTTCCATCGTTTTGTCAAAAGGTGGATTATGTTAAGGTGTCTTTGAATCATATTAGAAAACAATGCAGGATTTTCATTGGAGGCCACAATTTCTGTGTCATCAGCGTAGGTAACCGAGTTCGGTATAAGATGTTTTTGGAATGTTATGAGTGAAAAATATAAATTAAAATTTTCATTTAGCATATATTTTGAGCATTTTTTTTGAATTTTGCCCCCTCTTAAATTTCACCTATGGGTACCAATGATTATATTCTCAAATTATTAATTTAAAATTAAACTAATTTTACACAATACTAATGGTGTACTCATACATATATTTTGAATTCATGCTGAATTAATAACTTTATATTCCCAAGTATATTAGCTATGTGATATGGGCAGGTCCATTTATTAATATCCATTAATTAAAAATTAAATAATTTATATAAATACATTTAGAACTACTAATTCGTTTTCAATCATAGGAAAGGCTAGACTGAAACATTCAAATTGTTCTTTTTGGATTTTTATAAAAATATGAACAAAATTCTGCCTATTGCTTATTTCACATAGTTTATAAAAATAACAACTTATAAAGACTAAAATATGTAATGAAATTTAAGCAATAGGTAATTACGCCGTACACTATGCGGCCTACAAGACTGTGCTAGGTAGGTATTGAAATTATGATGTTTGGACTATTATTATTCTCAAACTAATTTAAACTAATTGTAGGATTTTCTATTAATGTATTTATTAGCAACTGCAATACATAATATAATATTAACCACAAATCATGATTGTCAGTTATCAATCTACAGGACTATATGACCATATAACTGCATATTCACTTTTATTTTATTACTGTACGCAATATTATAAAATTGGAAGTGAGTATACCTTTGTATACCCTCAACCATATCTCTATTAAATTATTTTTAATTTTATTTAGCTTATTATATCATAATCAATGTTTTTAATATTAATGAATGTACCTTAAACAAATATTTCATTTTAGGTGTAATAATGTTCTTTACATTAGATCAGTTGATGATGAAAATGAAGAAGGTGATGCAGAGATGAAAGATTGAATAAATAAAGTATGCCATATATCAACATTTGTATTAATAAGTATCTCTAATTATTATTTTGTGTATAATTTAATTGAATTAAAATAAATAATATTCCATATTTTATTTATATGTATATTTTGATTGAAATATATTTACTGTGACCTCACGTTTTGTCATTCATTGTTTTTTTTCCTTTATATATATAACAATTAGGATATTTTAGTGTCAAAATTGAATTTATAAATAAATAGAATAGTTATAATTATGATTAATGATCAACAATAACTCTGTACATTAAAACTCTTAGTATAATGACATCAGAATCACTTGCAGCATATGTTCTGTTATCACAGAAGAGTTAGATTTTAAAATACAAGTCCTTAGGATTTCAGGACAATTTTTAGTATTCTTTGTTGAATATTTCTAAGTAAAATAATGTTTTACATTATACTTGGTAATAAAGTGTACAAGTATACCCTTCAAACCCTATCATCTCACCACCTTTATTGGATTAAAACATTTCCATTTAAATAATATGTATTTGGCTGTCAACAGATTAAATTCCATCAAAGAACAACACAACAGTAAAATTTACCACTACTTTTCACGACTTACTGAAGTTATAGATATACATTTGAACTTTCCCGATTTGTAAGTTATTTATTTTTAACCCTGATTTTTAGTTAAAATGTAATCCTGTTAGATAATATAGAAACTGAAAACCCTATCACAACCTCATAAAAGACCATGGTCTATGAATTATACCTGATAGTTATAAATTACAGTAGTATAGTGTCATCAATTATTAATAATCATATAGGTATTTTAGTTCCTAATTTAAAGATTTTAAATTTTTGTTCTTTTTTTCCTCTTACCTACCATTGTTTTTACATATTTGATAAAATGTTTTCTCAAAAACTGATGTTCTTCAATAGTTTAACTAATATTAAAATTATAATACTAGTGAATACCCAAATTAAATATAATACCTTCTGACCAAAAATTATTGATATCTTATTGTCTACAAGGGTAGTTTAGGTACCATTTTGAATTAAGAAAAACGGGAAAATTAACAAATTAACAAAATTTATTTTTTTTGTAATTTATGGCCTTTCAAAACATGTAAAACTGACCTTTACTCAGAATCGTTGTTTGTCAGTAATGATTAATCTTATTACAGATAATTATTTTTAATTCCTATGGACTGTCGATTTTGCAATATATTAATAGTAATATCAGTAATAATATGATTGTAACAAAGTAATGTTAACAATTTTGAAATGATGAGTATACAATAATAAGTTTAATGATAGAAAAAATAATAAAATTAAAAACAAATTATTTGAATAAATCATATAAACAGATTATTAATTAATTATTGATTGTTACCACAAGATGCAGAAGATTTAGACAAAAAAAATAACATTAAATTCATCGCTACCTTCTCAACTTCTCACCTGAAACTGTGCCCACCCACTGTGCAAAGTATGTCCGTATGTTATTGTTAATTTGTATCTGTAGTATTGAAAAGGATGTTTAAATTTGTATATCTTTTGTCACTTTTCTAAAGTAAAACATATCTAAATCTCCAGGATAAAATACAGCATCAACCTAACCTAACTTTGGCATATGTCAATATCATGGTATACTCGAAACTAAATAATCATAGCGTTCATACTTTCTGTATACAAGCCAGCATTTATTTGCAGTAATAATAATTACGCTGTCATATGGTGGTATAAATTAATTCCCACTCAATATTCTATCTTCCCAACTTTTCACCTACAATAGTGGCCTGTCCATTGTGCAAAGTATGTTCATTTATTTTAAATAGTCTTTGGTTAAACATTTTTTAAATTTAATTGCAAATCGTTGTAGATTTATAAGGGACATTTATTTTAGATTTATCAATCATAGTCATCATCATTTATCATCATAGTTCAAGTTAAAAACTTTAAAAGGTTGGTTACAATTCGCAAATAATTAAATTAGTTATATAACCTCGTACTCATCAAATAACAAAAAATGTTTTTAAATTAAATAAATATAAGGCTGAATTTGGTAAAAAAGATCCTTTTAATATAGGTTTAAATGTATGCATGCAATATGATATTCCTATTAGGGATTTTCATAGCTATGATCATTACAAAAAATATGTTTAATGTAAGATAAAAACTTAATCTATTTAAATTCAACTTGTATTCAAACATTGCTCTGTTTTTTCTATTTATTTTATTATGTTTAGTTTTATGATTTAATTGAGGATTACTTATTATATAGAATTGTAAAAATGTTAAAATTGTATAATCTCACTTTATAGATAATAACTGTTGTCTCCTCCACAAGCTTAGGTTTTTAGAGACAATTATTTAAATGCATTTAAATTGTATTTGTTTAATATGTATATTTCTTTAAATGCAAATATATTATTATAACCTGTCCAGTACCTACATCTTAAAACTTCTTGACGTAATTTTTTGTTTTTCTATTTATTTATAGTAGTTTTTGAATTGTTTTGCTATTTCCCAATAGAAATTAAAATGAACTTCAAAAAGAAATAAATTGGCAGTTACTTCACTAATACAATTAAAGTACAGTGAGAAGACCCTTATAATTTTTAAACCATAACTGACAACTGTCAAATTGTTTTTCTAATAACTAATAATTAATAAGCAATATAAATAATACAATAAGTACTTTGTATTCAATAAATATTTATTGACTTATTGACTTTCAAATAGTTTTAGACTTAGTCTTCGAGAAAATGGTTGTGACTCTGATACAGTGAGGTTACAAATTTTAAAAAGTTGGTTACAAATTAAAAGGAAAATGATACATTTAACTTCTATCGATTTGGTTAATGTGGGGGGCTCACGTGAAGTTGGCCCCTCATTGAAAAACCATTTTTAACTTGTGAACCATGAAGTTACAAATTCTAAAAACTTGGTTACAGTTAGTTACAAATTAAAAAAATTAGTTTATGAATATTTTGCATGTTTTGTAGTTAAATGAAGGAGCTAACTTTACTCACGTCATGCATTATGAAAAATATTTACGTAAATCATTGTCTTAAGTCTTGAAAAGCTTTTCTTTTATATCAAGGATACAATTTACATCAATTTATTACGTGTGATTCGTGTATTTATGCATGTGTACAGCGTAAGTAGTATATTTCTGTATATTACTATACAATTAATACAAATTTTAGAATATCCTCAAACAGATGTTGGAACTAGACACGAAGTAAATTACTTAGATAACAAAATAACAGACTTAAAATGTTTGGTATCGATTGTTATGGGGTATTTTTTTTTTGGATGCACCACTGAGTGATGCTGTGATGGTATTGGTGGTAATCGGGTTCGGTGAATTGCGTCCCAAAAATAAAATGTTAATACGCAGCAAGTGAATTGTGTCCCCGATACTGATATTTACGATATTATGAAACACTGAAATATAATGTCTTCTAGGAGTATCCAAGTAATAGATATATAATAATTTATAAAACCGATTATATTATGACCAAGCAGTGAGATGATATGATTTTGTTTATCAGTCCACAGTCGTGTTTGTGTTTAATTTTTCGTTAAAAATGGAGTTCTCAATAAGTGAAAAAAATAAAAAAACAGTAATAACGGATGGTTTTAAGTTTCGATTCCTAAAACTTTAAAGGTAATATACATCGTATATTATACGAGTTATAAAATTTGAAAATTAAAAATAAACAAACTTTTAAAACAATTCACAAGATATTGAATTATAACAAGGACGCAATTCACCTACCGCCGTGGTAATGACTATATTGACCAGACTGTTTTAAAACTGACTAGACTAATCTAGACTAGATTATGTGTATACATAGACGTGGTGCGTGCACATGGGGTGTGTATGGTGTACAGCTGCACACCCTGTACAAAATTCGACCTGCTTAAAATGTTTGTTTTTCATTGTAAATTAAAATATTATTGCAAGTACTACATAGTACAATGTACATATAGGTTCATTTTAGATTCTGAGTGTAGCGAAGAATGTATTGGTTTTACAAAGATATTTTTTTTTTCTTTGGACAACTTTTCTTCTAGAGAACTTGCTCCGATATTTATGTGTATCACATTTTCTGAAAGGAAATCAGTGTGGGGAGGTCATTTTTCAATCAAATGCGAAAAACTGAAAAAAATAAAAAAGGACGGACATACTTCGCATGCGGTTGCAGCCACTGTTGTAGGTGGGAAGGTAGGCTACAGACAGGAATTTAATGTATATCTGTCAGCAACGATAAACCATTGTTAACGAAAAAACGATTCTGAGCTGAGTTCAGTTGATAATGTTGCTTTGTCAACAAAACAATATATGGTATTATGTCATACTATGGTAAAATGATTAAAACAATGTCCGTTTCCAAAACAACAATGGATGTTTAAAAAAGATTATAATAATAAAAACTTAATAATGACAAAAAATAAATAAAAACGGTTGCTACCTTATTTTTAATTTGTCAATATTTTTAACCTAAGGACCGAGGTATTCCTCATTATCTCGAATATTAATAAAAATTTAAAAAAATAACCTCTTTAAGTATCACCCAGAAAAAATTTCTTTTCAGAAAAGGAGCTATACTTAATAATTGGAGTATGCTTTCTGGTAGAAAAAGTGTTGACATAAAAAAAAAATAATAATAAAAAAATAAATGTACAATGCACGAAATATATTTGTATTCGTATTCTGTAGACAATTTATCTACTAGCAATTTTGCTCCAACTTTTAATAGAACTCCGCTCAGAATCATTTTTTCGTTAATAATGGTTAATTGTTGCTAACATACAATTAAATTACCTATAACAGTGGTTACATCCGTTCCCATTATCCTAATTTTATTCTGTACATAAATTCTACAAGAAATCTTGCTCCGATTTGATTTTCCGAGCGGTTTTCATAATATCTGGGAAAAACTCAAGAAAAACAGAAAATTTATGAAAATTATGCTTTTATTAATTTTTCAATTTTGTTATGTGTTGTGATTCAGTTAAAAATATTTGTAGAGACTTGAAATTTGGACAGAAAACTTATATTTGCTTTTTCTAAACATAGTAAAATTTTAAAAACAGTTAAGCCATTTTTGAGTTATTTACCTTTTAAATTTGGGAGTTTTATAGGTGATTTGACTGAAAATCTAAAGAGGACTAGGCATCATTTATGTTTACAGTACAGTTGGGCGTCCTTATGTCCTATTATTACCCATTATAGAAAAAAATTAAGGAGGATACATTAAAATTTGGCCAGAGGTAAGAAGATTGAGTCCCTTTCCACTTTAAAGACTACCCCTACGGCCCTACTAAATCTATTCTACACATTACGCAAAAAATCCTGCGCACGCCTATATATAGCACGTGTATTTAGGTAGGTATATATTAATATATTATGTTCATGCTCTATGAATGCTTCTGTAGAATAATACTCTATGCACTAACAGCTATCCTTTTATAATTTCGGAACGTAGTTTCAGACTTTCAGCGTAGATCTTATACTTATACTTAGTATAAGGTTTATAGGTTTCGGACCATGGCTTAAGAGATACTTAAATATAATATCTTTAAAGAGTATCTATATTATCTATTATATATTTATGTATATAAATATATCTAATATATATATTAGATATATCTTTAACCGTATTTCGGACAATATTATCACGTATTATCAAATATCCTTCTAATTTGATAATACAATATCACATTATTGACTTGTCACAATGGTAGTAGTTTTAAGTTTTCTAATTTGTTTCAACTTTTATTTTGAAAATGTACTTTCCAATTATTGTATAAATTTTATCATTAATTATTAACTGGTCTCTACATTTTAATTCCATTATTTATTTATTTATTTTTTTATTTCAGTGAACTATCTTCAACGCTTGGTATGAAACCTATATTTTTATTTTTATAATTATTGTGAAAAATTAAAAATTATGTAGGTACTCAAAATCATATTTCATCATCCAGATTAAAAATAAAACTTGAAGTAATAGTTTAATAAAACCATTCAAAATGCCAAAATTGGAAGTGGGATGTAGAGTTGAGCTTACTGGAAAGAATATTCAAGGCAATGTTGCATTTATTGGCCAAACACATTTTGAAACTGGAACATGGGTTGGCATAATTTTAGATGAACCTAAAGGAAAAAATAATGGTGTTGTTAAAAATCGCCATGGAATATCTAAAACATATTTTGAAGTAATAATCTATTAATATTTTTTGTATTAAGTAGTAGATTTATTGCAGATTGCATTAACAATAATTTTTTCTAATTAATATTCTTAATTTAATATGTAGGTAATGTATTATTTTGAATTATGTTAATCCAAATTGTTTTATCTAGTGTGATGAAAATCATGGTATATTTGTTCGCCAATCACATCTTACACTTATTGATGAAACAGGAGCACGTTTTGATATGTCTGCTAGTACAGAATCTTTGACTCCAAAATCTTCGGTTAAGTCTCGCATTAGCAGGTAAAATGGATATTTTTATGTTGTTTGTAGTAAGTTTAAAACTATAGTTTTCGTTTATCTACTTTAATTTATATGGTTATAATGCTATATAGCTTGCGAAAAAAGATTGATACAAAAACGTAAGTTAGTTTAAAATATTTTTGAATATTTTTGTTTAATTCTTGTCTTTTTTTTTTTAGTTCAAGACAATCATTAGCTGGTTCAAGTAGGTTAAGTATGATTGCCCCAAAGAATAAAGATGATACTTCACCAGTATCTCGTACTTCTTCCCAATCATCACTGGTTGGTACTAGCCGTACTCCTTCACAATCTTCAATAGCTCTTCCTTCTCGTACTCCATCACAGTCATCAATGCCTGCACCATCGCGCACATTATCTCAAACGTCTCTTGCTGGTATCGACTCCACATCAAAACGTTCTTCGTTTGTTGAGGTAATTAACATTTTTGTATTTCTGTACTGTTTTTATAATGCTTACACATTTCCATACTTCTATAAATGCACTTTCTTATATTTTGATGATTATTTTTTCATAATACTACAGATACTCATAGTGTTTAATTTAGATATATGATGTTTGACTGTGATGAAAAATAGTTGCTAATCTGCTAATCATGATAGTTCATCATACACAGAACTTAGTTAAATTATATTTGTTTCTAAAGATTATGTGTACGATTTAAGTAATTTATATTGTTAAAAATAATGCAAATGTATATTTAAGTATTTCTATAGTGATTTAAAAATATTATTCTCAACTGTAAACTTTAGGTAAGTGCCATAAGTCTTCTGAAAAATAATTATATTTTCAGCGATCACCCAGCAATGAAAAGACGAGTCGAATGTCTAAACTTATATCGCCAAAAGTGAAATCTGCTGTTAAAACGCCAATGACAAAATCATTGACGTCATTAAAAGATGTGTGTAATTCAAAAGTAATTTTTATCTTGTAAAAAAATAAAAAAACAATAAATGGGGAATTGTAAATGTTCTATACAGCTTTTAATTTATTCTGCTTTGTGAATACTTTTGGATGATATTTATTGGGCTTAATAAAACAATAATTGAATCATGTTTAAATTATTTGGATAAATAAAAGTAATAGATACTTAGGAAATATATGTAAATTTTAAATTTTAACAAAAAAACTTTTTCCATTACTTAGAACATAATATTTGTTTTCAATTAATTATCATAAAAAAGATTAAATTAACTATCATTTATTTATTATTTAATTTTTTTAAATTTTTAAATTGAGTCTGCGGCCTTATTTCAATATTTCAATGTTATTTTTATTAAATATTAATTAATTATTTTTGTAATTCAATATTCACTCTTCTATTAATAAAAACTTAAAATATTATTTAGTAATGGAAAAAGATCTATTGAGATCATAAGTTTAAATTATAGCACTGCATTATATATAATTCATTGCACATTATTTGAGCTTGATAATAATAATAATACAAATATATGTATAGAAAAGTATTACTTGGAACAAATCATACAAATGAAATATAAAAAAAGGGTGTCGGGCACATGTCTTACTTTATCCACCCTTCTGTGTAAGTAATAATATTGAGTTTGTTGGTTTTAAATGTTATTATTAAAATATTAATATAAATATATATAGTTCAAATACGGTGTGAAATATTCTTAAATAATATCTATATCAATACATTTAAAATCAAAACTACAACTATTAAATTTGTCTATTTGTCTTGATTAAATTTTGAAAATTATTTGTATATAGGTACACGAAAAAGAAAAGAATATTTTCAATTTTTATGTGGAAATTAAATAATGCATTTAACTATTTATCTATATTTTTTTTTTTTGTTAAATTATAAGCATTATTTACGACTTAGAATATATTTATCTTAGCTATACAATACTCATTCTTTAAAAAGTATTTTTAAACTTTATCGAAATGATTTTATAAAACTTTTGCTTGGTTGTTTTCTTAAAGCTTCATGAGTTCATTAGTACTCCTGTACTGTATGATGCTTTTTTAACATCTTTACTATTTCAAAAATTAAATTTTTTTCAAATAGAATAAATTTTTAATAATTTAATTATGTAGTTTATACAGGTATTTTTGTGTTTAATCATTATATATAATACTGTTTTTACAAAATTGGTGAAAATTATAATTGTTTTAAAAACAATGTTATTTATATATTTAATCAATACATTTCTAATTTAAATATTTATGAAAAATAATTAATTTAAGGGTTTAACATTCATCTGATTTTGTTCTAATTTGTACTAATTTGAAACAATATGTTAAAATTGAGGTTTTTAGTGCAATAATGGACTATTCCCATTCCATCATTCTTCATGGATGGCTAGAAAATCTTGGACTGTAAAAATCTGCAAAACAAATGCTTAAATCAGAAAGTTTTGAGCCATAATAATCCGGAATACAAAAATATGCATCTGTAATGTCTTGGACAGGAAATTTCTGAAATGTCACGTACAAGAATAATCCGGAATTTTAAAAACACTATTAATACTGGTAATTGTGACACCTGGTATGAGTATGTCTATTCTTCTCTGAAAACTGCCGTAAAATCATGAATCTTATTTTAATCTTAATTTGTCCATTTTGTTTGTACTATGTATGCGAAATATTGCCATCTATCAGTGTTTTTTTATTAAAGTCCGAGACATTACAGTGTTTATATTTTTATATTCCAGATTATTATGATCCGGGATTTCCTGGTTTAGGCATTTATGCTTTCCAGATGTTACAGTCTGAGTATTTATTTTTCCAACTAATTACAGTCCGGGTATTAACAGAGTTTCATATTCCGGATTTTTACAGTGTCATTTTCTTGTCCATGAATTTGAATTCCGTAATTTTACAGTCTATATAATTATTTTCCGGATATTTCTTGTCTAAGACATTTCAGTATGAGTATTATTATAGTCTAGGACTCTCTGTTATAGGCGTTTATGCTTTCTGGATTTTTACAGTCTGGAATATTCAGGTCAAAACAATTATATTTCTGACCGATTACAGTCTAAACATTTACAGTGTTTCATTTTCTGGAATTTTACAGTCCATTGTTTTTTTGTTTGTAAATTTAAACATTCTCAAATTTTACAGTCCATATAAATACTGCTAATAATTTTTTTTCCGGAATATTACAGTCCGTATGATTACTAAAAATTTACGGATTTTTACAGTCTGTCTGATTATTTTCTGAAAAATTCTGGGTTACCTTCTTCACCTTTATTATTGCTCTTAAAAATATTTATTTAATTTTATTTATTTTATATTTTATTTATTTATTTCAAATTTTTTATTTTACCATTATTAGAGCTTAGATTTTAATGCAAAATTGCATCTTTTTTTTGGGTGATGTTAATCACTAATTTATTAGTAGTAACATATACTTCAAAGGTGAAACTTTTATTTTGCAATTAAATGTTTTCAGTTTTTAAATATTTTTTGGGAATTTTATTAGTTAAAATGCATATTTGTACAAAAAATGATTTAATAATTTAAAATTCAAATATTTAAAGATAATCGATTTTCTTGATGTTTGGTTTAATAGTTTTTTTATACTGTTTGTTAATTGTTCTATGATTTTGACAATGTTTTGAATTTTGTATTTATTTTTTTTCTGTGAACAATTTTTTTATCAGCAATTTTGCTTCTATTTACAATGATATCAATTTTTCTGAAAAGAAATCTGACTGGGGTGATACGTTAAGAAGGTCATTTTTTGATTTCCTCAGGAGTTTTATAAAATGATGTATGGAAAATATGTACTATATTTAAGAAAATATATAATGCATATATATTATGTAATTATTTTACTAAAATATGACATATATATTGTTGGCAAAGCAATACTATCAACTGAACTCTGTTCAGAATCATTTTTTCATTAGTTATAATTAATTGTTAAGTACAGATATATATAAAATTACCCCTCTACTTCCTTCCCAACTCCTCACCTACGACAGTGGCCCACCCACGTATGAAGTATGTCCGTCTTTTTATTAATGATTGTGAAAGATGCGTGTCAGTTATTATTATCATCATCAACTTTATTCTCAATCGCATCCAACCATTACTCTTTTGTTTACTCTTTTCATTACCATTACTATTGTTTCTGGTTTCTCTTTTTTCATGACACGCTAATCAATGCCATAATAAATATAATTGTAGGTTTTAGATAATTGTCACTTTTATAACTTATGGAATTAATTATTTATAAAAACAAGTCATAAAGTGATATATAGGTCTTATATTAGTGTAACTACTTAGTTTCAGTGTAATACAAACATATTTTTGTTTTTAATTTGTATATTACATCACAATATAATGTGAATTTAGTACAATGTAGATAATCAGGAAACCCGATGATGGCATTGTACCAAAACAGTAGTTATGGATATATAAATATTATATAACACTTTAAGACTTGTTTTTTTAAAATAATTAATTCCATAATAAATATGAAACGAAAATTGTATAGGTCATTTCTTAAGTGCATTTTTGGCTATTTTTTTAGAGCATTTTTGATTGTTTTTAGTTTTCATTTAAATTGAGACTTTAACTGCTATGACTGTTATGTATACAGTGATTATGAAGTGTAGACATTTTAATGGTTTGGTGAATATGTTATTTCAAATTTTTAACCTTATAATGCAAATAGAGTAAGCCATTAAATTTTATTTTTTCTTGTTATAAGTAATATTTATGTGGTTAAGTAAAAAAAAAAAAAAACGTGCGAGTTTGTGCTTGTTTAATTAATGTTATAAACATTTTTCGCAATCGACCGGTAGATCGCAAATGATTTAAATGTTGATCACCATTTTGTTAGACTTTATTTTTATATAATTAGTAGATAACAATTGCTGGTCACATTTATCTTAATATATATTTTCTTTATTTTGTTGTAAATTTATCAAATAATACAGTTCAACAGAGTTTATCCTGACAATTGTATTTACAATAATATTATATTAGTCTTAATAATAGTGTGATAAAAAACATTATTTAACCATATATTTTAGTTTTATTATTTAGTACGTGTATGTTTATTATTAATATCTATTATTAGATAATTTATAATTATATATTTTTGTTAGAAAGTCGATTCTCAAAGAAAAAATATATTCTTAGTAGATCTCTATCAAAACAAGTTTGATCATCCCTGCTGTATATTTATTAAATGCAAATGGGATTAAAAGACACAATACAAATAAAGTTTTTACATTCACATTTCACATAATATTTATTGTTTGTAATCAATGTATTTTTTTTAGGTTAGTTTATTTTAATAAATATAATGTTAATATTAATATTAACAAAATTAATAAAGTAACAAATTAAAATCACTAAAATTTTGGTATTTATTATCCCAAGAAGTGTAAAAAGAATTTCTAGGGGATTTTTTTTTATTTAAATAATTTAAAATTATTAAAATATTTAAATTTTTGGTTATACAAGAATTGAATGAAGTACTTAGTTACTACTATATAAATAGTACCATATTGTTTTATTTTAAATTTGCAGTAAATATTACCTCTGTTTTAATTGATATTTTACTGGTAATATTCATTGAGTAAATGGATTTATGTAAATAACTTATATAAATTTTGATTAATATATAAATTTTATAATACAAAACAACAAATATCTTTGATTGTTTTCATTAAAAAGGAATTAGTTTTATGTACAAAATATATATTTGTGGATTTGATATTTACCTATACTTAAAATACTTTTTATAATGGAACTTCTTGGATATAATTACTATTAGATCTGCACTAAGTAAAACATTATAAACCATTTTATAATTTGTAAATTTAAATGAGAACCCTTAACAGTAAATATATAATATTTATATTGCATGAATTATTATTGTTATAAAAACTTAAGCAATGGAAGTCTTAACTGTTTTTTTTTTTATTATGTAAATATTATTTGGTATTGTGAATTTGCACGTTTGCTTTTGTGCCATTCATTACTGTTTCTGTTGGCAATAACATTATAATAGGACATTACCAGTGCACGAGTGTCATAACTCAAAAGTTGTAGTCATATAATTTATACTTCAATTTTTATTTAATTAATACACAATTAAAACCTGAATATGAAAAATCTTACTGAAAGAAGATAATCATATTTTTCTTAAAAAAGGACTTACATTTGGATACTCAAATACAAAATGTGTTTTAATTATGGGTTATGTCCTTATTGCACTAATATATAATGTTTATAATTTTATTTTTATTGTATTCATACAATTTGTATTTCATTATTTAATAGACTGAATTTGTTGAAGCCCTTAAACCACATTACACACCAGGACAAGCTGTTTCTCCTAATGTTCTTGCAACCACTCCTACACAAAGACCATCTCATAATATGGCAGATGTTGCTGAAATTCAAAATTTAAAGGATCAAGTACAAGATTTAACTGAGAAATTGGATGTGGTCAAAAGTAAAAAAAAAAATTATAATTATATAAATTTCTATTTAATAGTAAATTGGAAATATTATTTTTGTTGAATAGCAAGATTAAAAGAAAAAACTCATGATATTGATATGATGAAGCTTCAGTTAGACCAAGCATCAGAGTTTAAAAGCAAAATTATGGAATCACATTCATCATTAAAAAAAGAACTAGAAAAGGTTAAAATGGAAAAGCAAGATGCTTTAGAAGGAAAAGATGAATATAATGAAATGGCAGAGACTTTAGAAATGGCAACTCTTGATAAAGAAATGGCTGAAGTTAAGGCAGAAACACTTCAACTAGAATTAGAACAAGCAAAAGAACGCATTGAAGAGTTAACAGTAGATTTAGAGCTCTTAAAAGCTGAGTTAGAGAAAGGAGGTGGTAGTGAAGAATCAGATGGTGCAAATTCTTTCAAAGTCAAACAACTTGAACAACAAAATTTGCGTTTAAGAGATACCCTTGTCAAGTATTATATCCTATTGCTTCATTTTATTTTATTTTGTTCTTATAGAACATGTATTAATTTGTTTGTTGTAGATTGCGTGACTTATCAGCACATGAGAAACACCAAACTCAAAACCTGCAAAGAGAAATTGAAGAAAAGACAAAGCAATGTAATGATTTGCAAAAGTCAAATGAAAAATTAACAGCAAGAGTTGAAGAACTTGTATCTCAAGTTAATGATTTACATGAACAGGTAAAATATTTTATTATTCATCCAAAAACATAAACGTGAAAAAATGGACAAAGTTAGGTCAAAAAAAGTTTGCCTGCTTAGGCAAATAGGTGTCAAGTTTAAATTTATATACATTTACATATTATTTAATTTTTGGGCTCATTCATTATCATGCACCCAGATCTTAAAAAATGAAAATAATTTTTTATGTAGTTTGACTAATATTTATAGGTTGATGCTGCTTTGGGCGCAGAGGAATTAGTTGAACTTTTAGGTCAACAAAAATTGAATTTAGAAGATAAAGTGGCAGAACTAGAAGAAGCAGTTAATGATCTAGAAGCTATACAAGATATTAATGATCAACTCCAAGAGGATAGTAGAGAATTGGAAATGCAATTGCGTGAAGAATTAGATCTGGTTAATGCTAATATCAGAGAGGTATGAGTAATAGAAATTGAAAAATAATTACACAGTTTTTATTAAATAAAATTATTTTATAGTGTGTTAAAGAAAAAGAACGAGCCTTGGAAAGTTTAGCTGATAGAAGTTTAGTTATTGTAAAGTTTAGAGATTTGGTAAACGAACTACGGGAGCAAAATCAAGATCTACAAACTCAATTGATGAAAGAATCGGCATCAAAGGATGAAGTTCGATCATCTATACCAGAAATGCTTGACTTTAAGGTTGGATATTGGTTTAAATATTTACAATATGAAAATATAGAAAATATATTAATATATATACATATATTATTTATTAGAAAATGTTTGCTGAAACCAAAGCTCATAGTCGAGCAATTGATTTGGAATTACGTAGAATGGAAACACAGGAAGCACAACAACACATTCAATATTTATTAGCTTATATGCCAGATTCATTTATGTCTCTTGGAGGTAAGATTATTAAACTTGAATATTATATTTGCACATCCTATTTGTATATTGTGTGAAATTGGTTTATTTTATTACTTTTTTATTGTTTAAAATTAACCATACTATGTTTAATAACTAGCCATTAAATATTTTTATTGTATATTAATTTTTATATACTAGGTGATTATGATGCAATACTATCTCTTTTATTATTACCACGCATGATTTGGAAGAGTGAAATACTTATGACACACGTGCGTGATAAATATCCCGATGTTCAAGAAATTACTAAAGAAACCCTTATAAAAGATCATTCTGCTGAGCAATTTGCTACTCGATCTCGTCTATCTTTCTATTTATACAGTCTGCAGGTATATAATTTATAATATCAACTATATTTTTAATACAATAATTATTATATCACTAGTTTAATTAAATCTTAGGCTGCATTACGACAATTTGTTCATGGATTAAATACAACTACACCCGAAACTTTAATAAAAGTTGGTGAATCATATCCTGATATGACAATACAAGAAAAAGTTTTAAATGGGTATATAGAAATGTTGAAAATCGATCAGGTCAGTTAAAGTTCTTAAATTTAATTATACATTTAATTTATTAAATGTATTATTTATACCTAGTTGGATGAAAATGTGAATACAGAAAATTTAGAACGGTGTGTAGCTTACTTTAAATATGTGTATACACCTCTCATTCATGATTTCAATCCACATTATGAATATTTATTATTAGATAATGTTTTGGTTTTGACAGCAGCTTGTAATACCATTCAAACAGATGCAAATATAATTAAATGTGTTATACAAGTAAGCATAGAACAAAATGCAACTATACATTTCATAAATGTGAATATATTTAAATTTGTATACATTTTTTAGTGTGATAGTGACTCTAGTATTCTTAAATTTTGTGATGATGTATTAGTTGCTTGTGAAGTGATAAATCAACATTTAAAACAAATTAAAAAACGTGCTGATGTCAACAGTATTATAAAATCAGATTTAAGTGCATGCACCCAATTTGCAGAAAAATTAATTACTGTGTTAAGAGAAACTGCTAAAAGTGCAGTTAGTCAAATTTCCCTAGCTACAGGTATTGTTGTAAATACGTTTAATTTACCTATTTTTTGCTTTACTATGCAAATATTTTAGATGATAAAAACGTAAATAGTGAAAATATTATGCAAGTAATGTTAAACTCGGTTGAAAAAGTATTTGAAAAAGAAGAATCAAGTAAAGGAGTTACTGTTTGTCTAAAAATGTGTATTTCTACTCTGGCCAGTGAAATCGCTAATGCTGCACAAGCTATTCAAGAGGCTGATTTGACATTAGCTACTACTGATACATCTAAAGTAAAATTTTAGTTTTAAAGTTTAGGTTCATTTTATAGCTATAAGTTGAAGTTCAAACTAAATTAAATATCCCAGATTTGATTTGGTTTATAATTTGCCCAGCAATAGATTAATAAAAAAAATCAGTTATGACCTTTATGCGGATCCCCGTAGTTCTCTGCATTGATATACTACACATGTACATATATTATCATTCAGACAAATTTACAGTTTAGAGACAACCTATTTAAAATATTACGTTTTTTATATGATTAAAATTGAATTTTTTTTTTAATTCTCATAATTTACTATGGAATTAGAAGTTTTAACTTATTGATGTCAAAATAAAAAAAAATAATAATAATAATAAAAGTTTAATTAAAATATAATTTTTGAAAAATATAGGTTTAGTTCATAATTGAAATATATTTCAGGTTATTGCACTAGTGCTCTTTTACAATGTTTCATTTCACATGAATATTAAAAATGGCAGCATAGTGGCCTAAATGTATGAAAATATGACTAAACTTAATAATTTATTACATAACACATGACCGTGTGGCTATGTGAAAACAGTTTTACTCTAACACCACCATTTTATTTTTAATTTGATAATACCAGATCATAATATATGCAATAACCTGGTATATTTCAATCATGGTTTAAATCATTATTTTTCTTTTTCTCCGCCTCTTTTTCTAACTATTAAGGTAATAATGTGATTCAAGTTATTACTAATATTTTAATAGTTGGATTAACAGATTTATTTTGTAGGATATACCACCTATTACTAAACGGGCTAAACAAGTTAAGAGTGAACTTGAGGAAACTAAAGCATTAAGAAATACAATAAAATCCAAAGAAAATGATATACTTGAGTTGAAAATGGCTCTAAGATCTAAACAAGAAGAAATTGGTGAACTTAATGTTAGAAAAGAACTTGCAGAAAAAAAATTATCTACCACTATGCATGAATCTGAAATATCTATTGAAAAACTACAGGTAATTTAATTAAATTGTTTATAGGAATATAAGTCATTATTTTTATAAGATATAGATGATGGAAATACATTATTTGTTTTTCCTTTTACAGAGAAAGTTAGATGAAACACAACAGCAACTAAAAAGAAAATCAAAAGAATATGAAGAAACAATGGATCATTTACAAGCAGATATTGATTCACTTGAAACAGAAAAAGGAGAACTTAAAAATAAACTTAAAAATTATTCAAAGAAAATTCTCATTGAGGGTATAAATAAATCTGCTTCAAGTAAGTTATATTTGTTTTGAATGATATATAAATTAGTACATAATTGGGTTTATTTTTAGTGACTTCTCCTGGAAATGATGCTAATAAGCCATACCAAGAATCTCCATTTTTACTTAATGAATTAAAATTAACTAAAATGGCATTAAAATATGAAATGGATCAAAAAGCCAAGCTTGAAAATAATTATTGTGAACAATTATTTTCTAAATTAAAACCATTACCGGTAAGATTAATTTAAACAGAAAATTCAATACCTATATTAAATTTAAAATATTGGTTCTATTTAATATGACTATATTATATTTGCTTGTATATGATTTTATTTGTGAAAACAAAAAATTTATTGGTATTTGAATGTAAAATGTTTAAATGTATTTTATATTACTTAATTTGAATTTTATTTTACAAAAATCAGTACTAATAAATGATTGTTTCTAATTAATCATATTAAATAGAACTCATTATAATATAGTAACTATACCTATTTATGTTAGAGTTTTTTTCGATATTAATAATTATTAAATGAAAAATTAATTGTCAAAATTAGATACCTGATGAGCCGTCAAATGAAGAAAAATACGAAATAGCTAAATTAAAGAAATTAGGCAATGAAATATTAAATGTAAATATTATTAATGACTATTCTTAACAAATACATAACTTCGAATGCATATTAATACAATTTATATATTTATGATTAGGATTTTCATAAAACTTTAACTAATATTAATGTTATTGATGTAACTAAACGTGTGCCTGGAAGAAAACTAATGACTGATGAGAATGTATCTGCTAAACAAGTACTAGACCACAATTTGCAATGGAAACAATTACAAAAGAAATTGAATGTTTTACATGTGAGTATGACTTGACTTCAATAATTTAAGCTATATTAAATATTTTATACTTTTATTTTATAACTTTTTTTTAATTTCACCAGGACAATTATAATAAAGAAATAATTAAGAGACAAACATTTGGCCGTATTGAAACAGAAATGACTACTTTCCCAACTCCAACTTTAAAAAAAGTATATTTTAATGTATATTTGTAAACATTAAAACAATGTTTTATATTTTTAATTTAAGGCATTAGAAGAAGAACCTATTTTAGCTGCAGAGTTTGTAATACCAAAACCTTCAAACTGGAATGGTCCTACAGATATAAAAATGGAAATAGATACCAAGACATTAGCTTTATTACAACAGCAAATCACCAATGCTGCTCAATTAAATCCATGTGTTCGGTAAGTAAATTTAAAATTAATATTAAATCTTAATGATATAAAATCATGTATGGTTCTTTAATTAAACTAAAGTTACTGATGCAGTTTGATATTATACTATTGATACTTAAATAAATTCATAATAATTTAGTAAATGGTAAAGTTTATTCACCATCATATTATTTTCTATATTGGTTCTATTTGAATCTTTATTAATCATTATTAATATCTTCTATAAAATATTGTATAGTATGCTACTTTCAAAATTATCCTAAGATGTAATCTTACTTATAACATTATAGTCAAATTAAAAACTGAGTAATACATTTATTTTCTTCACTTTCAGTTACAATTTTGCTTACACAACGGATGAACTACTTGGTTTTTAATATTTTGAACAACCATACTAGGACCAGCATTTATTTTGTTGTATTTAAATTAATTTATTCTTGTAATGAATACAATATTTTAATTTTTTCTATTGTGATACTTTTTTTCTGATGATACTAATAACTAAAATATATTTTAATTTTAAATATTTAAATAGATATTTCTGTATATATAAATTTAATATTTAAATTAATTTAATTTAATTATACAATTTTGTATAAATAATATCAGACTAATTCCTTTCCTATAATATACTTAATATTTATACATTAAGAAAAAAATCTTTTAATTATTGTTGTATTAGAGAATAATAAAAATAAAAAGGATGTATTACTTATAATATCATAATATTTTGTGAAATGATTACAAAAAACAACCAAGATAACATTATCTTAAAACTTAATTTTTCCAAGCTACTTATTTTATTTTACTTTTATCAATTTATTAGGTATTTAAATTTAGAAATAACCAAATATCTTAAATAAATGTATACAGCTTTATTAAAAATTCCAGCATATAAGTTTATTGTGATTTAAATTTTAAATTTTGAGATAGAATTATTAAGTTGAATTACATACAAATTATATTTTTCGACAAATTTAAAGTCTAATAAAAATATTAAATCGGTAAATCCTTATACATAAGTAAGTACATTAATTCATTTTAGAGTTTGATTTTGTTTTAATTTTAATTTAATTTACTATTTTACATAATTAATTGTGTAAATGAAAAATATACTAAGTACCTATGTGAAACTTCAAAATTTCTATCTATTATTTATTTGAAAATTAAAAAAAAAAAAAAAAAAAATACTATTATTTATAACAATTTAAATAACTAAATAATTAATAATCAGTAAATAAAAAGAATAAATTATTGTAATAATATATGAGTAATAATATTTAATTTAAAACAATAATAGTACCTAATTTAGGTATATTAGAAAATATGATATTATTTATTTTCATTTATAGTAACTATTATTTTTATTTCACTAAAAGAATGTTGGCGCCAGAAAACTAGATTAAAATAATTTAAAAATAAAAACATCGGGCTAAAATTTAAAAATATTTATTTTTGTGTAAATCCAGTACATGCTAAATCACACATGTTTAGAAGACATCCAGTTGAAATTTTGGCACAGTGTTGTGTTTAGGTAAAAGTCTTTGACAACAGAACATAAATACCTAGGTATATTTAACTTAAATGTTTGTAATTAGTTTTTTCTTATTAAATCTTGTAAATACCTATTGCATTTGAATACTACTTATCTATTGTTTACAAAGTTTCAATAATTTATTTTGATTGTTAAATTATAAGTACCTAATAGATTCAAAAGTTATTTTTGTTACCCACAATTATTAAAAAAAAATTAAATAAAATGTGTGTAGGTACACTATTAAACTAATACTACTTTTGGTACTTAGTAGTTTACCATAAATTATTTTTGTCTAAAATTTCACCATATTATTTATCTTATACCTACTTGAATTATAATAAAATACAAAGAGTGGCATAATTTGTGCATAGGTGAGCATTTTCTTCAAAAATTATCTATTTGCTTAGTATTTTATTCCATCTATGCAACAATATTATATTTTATTCATATGTAATATTATCTATATGTAATGGCAATTATATAAAATAAAATAACATTTTTCTAGGGATGATTAATACGTACCTATAGTCTTACAAATTATTAGTCATTATTTATGTTATTCGAAAAGATTTATAAAGATGACAGTTCAGTTCAGTGGAGTGAACAGGAATTTTCAATGGGATAGGATATAGCAAAGAATCATGAATAAACTATAAATCTTAAAGTCACCACCCAATTCGACTAAGGTCATTGATCAGTAATTTAAAAGCCTGATTCTAAAAAAAACCCAATTTATAATCAATATATCATTTCCTCGTAACTCAACAGAAATATATGCAATTTGATATTATATTACCCATATGTATTTTTATTTTCAAGCCAATGGGGGGGATATAACCATTAACCTCTGCTCGTCAGTGGTTCAATTTATATCTAGGTATAGGTAAATTTAGCTAATCATTATCATTACTTATACTATAATGCAGTTTGATATAAATTATATTGGCTGATATAGGCGTGCTCAGGGGGGATGCAAGGTGATAATTGCACCCCCAGTGAGTTCAGTCATAATTTTTTTTTTTAACAATATAGACCATTTAAAGCCTTTGCTGTCAATATTAAACAACTCAACTAATATGAATGGTTCAGACCACTATGCCAGTCTGGTCTGAACTTCTGCATATGTCATTTGACTACATCTAACCAACGCTACTTTAGTCTACCATGTCGTATTTTCTTGTTTTAGTTGTTCACAAGTATCGTCTTGACAATACCTGTAGACTGTAATTTTTAAAATTTGTAAATCAAAATAATGATGTATGTATATGTATATGTATATGGATTTTCTTTATTATAAGCTCAATAAAATAGATATGAATATTCATAAATTTATTGTATAAGTAGAGAGCTACACATATTATAGAGCCTTAGTTTAAGGTATAACGTCTATACCGATAGGTGATAAGTTATCATTTTAATTATAAATTCGTGATTTGAAATTGGTTTTAATTGAAATAAGGAATCAGTTACGTAGTATACTAATATCATAAATTCTATAATTATTAAACTACCCGCTGTGTTATTGATATCGATAATACGATAAATAATTATTATTGAACAAAATATAATTTGTTGAATATTTTACTGCATCATATCACGCGAAGCCCGCTATAATTTTAGTCCGAAATATTTCTGCCATGGATTATTATAAAATCCATGACAAATTATTTAGTCATGATAAAATTAATGATAGTAATATACTAGTATATGTACCTCAATCAACTTAACCTATTATAAGATTTAAGTATTCAATGAATGGTCTCGTTTAGGTATTTCTAAGACGTACTTACTCGACTTTTATTTTTACATAATGTTAACATGTTGCGTGTTTTAAAATATTATCAAATTTTATAGATTTAAAATTGGTACCTACCTAGTATGTAAAATTATACATTATTTTCAGTTTTTAATTTTCATTATTTAGAAATAATAAATATATAATATAAGTTTTGGTATCTCTTACCCAGTCACCTATATTAAGTTTATTGTTTTATTCGTATATTTAAATAGTTTGGTGGTGGATTCAGGTCTTCATTATTGAAAGGGAGAAAAAACCATTTATAACAATGAAACTTAGTTACCACCTACATATTATTTTACCAAAATATATGGAAAAGATATCTACAGTGTTTGGGGGGAAAGCCTCTATTGCTCCTCATCAGATCTGCCATTAATACTGAAATGCATATGTTTAAGTAGGTACTCGATCCTAAGTTTCCTAACTAAAATCAAAAGTTAATTAAATCTAGTCGATTAGATATCATAATCTTATTTAGTAGAAAAATAAAAATGAATAAATAAAGATTTATGATAATAACAATGTCGAGTCCAATAATAGACTTATTTTATAGACGTGTGAGAATGCGATTGAGTTCCTAATTAGTAATTACCCGTGTTCTGTTTACCGATGAGACCAAGGTCGTAACCTTTTTTTTTTCCTGAGACAACGATCCTATACCGTTAATGGTCTGCTAAGACTTTTATTTAAATTTAAATAATTACGGTACAGTGTACATCATCCGCACTTCCGAAGGTCACACAACCCTCGAATTCCGATTCACCAAAGTGCCGGACACCGACTAGAGTACGTCGCTACGGGTCACGGGTGTGTTCGATTTTGCTCCCCCGTTAGCTGTTTCGCGTTTCGCAATATCTTTTGTCACGTTTGCTACACTGCGTGTCTCATTTACTCTATGGTTACAACCCCTTACCGCCCGCGTTCACCACCGGTCACCGGGAGGGTTTCCCCATTATCATTTAGTCACGGTCACGGTAATCCACCGTTTTCCATATGTGGGGGGAGTAAAAAAATACGCAATAACAGTATCATCATCCGTTTTGTGCGACCTTTTAAGTATTTTTCGAGTTCTGTTAGTAAGTTATCGGTCTAGCTCTCGTCTAAGTGTTGTATACTGTTGTGTTAAATAATTAGTGTTTTCGTGTTACGCACACGGGCCACCTGCCAACGTTCGAACTTTCGAAGACTTCAAAACCAGCTGTTCGAATTGTCTTCACTACCAGTGGATATTTTACACATAAGTCATGGAAATGAAGGAGGATAAAGGTAAATGATTTTTGCAGTTAAATTATTAATTTTTTAGTGGTCTGACGGTGTTATGTTAACCGTAACGTGTCAGTTGGCCAAATACAAAACCGGTGATAAGTTGCCAAAGGTCGTGTCGGTTGAATATCGCCACCTCTCGCATACACCTACAGCTGCTGTGATTATCCTGAAGTCACATTAGATTTGCCAAGGCGATTTTTTTAAGCAACTTCCTTGTTGGCTACCAGTCAATTTCATAATCTTAGGTTGAAAAGTCTCGATCTCCTAGAGTCCAAGTAGACCATAGAAACGTATTCCAATTTTATGACTTCAGTTTCCTAGTTATAGAGTATTATTTAACTAAGTTTAACCTTTGCTTAAGGTACTCACCCTAACTTCCCTCTATCTAATAGATTTATTTATTTCAAGTTAACTGTTTTCTATATAAATCTTATTTTTGATGAATATTTAGGTATCTATGACTATGGTTATAAAAATGCTTGTTCAAGTGTAGTGTAATGATGAGTTAAAGAAAAGTAAAATTAATTAATTTTAATTCATTAACAGAAAAAATAAATAAATTTTACTGCCAAAAATCTAAAAATATTTAACTACTTACCTATTGCAAATTTATTTTTTATTGCGAAAGTGCATAAAATTATATCAAACATTTATTTTTACTAGGTACTTTTGTGTATAATGTAGATATTTATATTATGCAAATAACAGATACCTACCTATATTTGCTACTATTCAATAATTCTTCCACAGTTAAAAATGTAATTCATATTGATATTTTCCATTTAAAAAAAAAGTGTTTTAACTCGAGGTAACATTATCATAGGATTACCCATGTTAATGTTTACCTGAATCAATATTATGTAGAATAATATTGGCTTGAAACTAATTTTCATTAGTTAATTATGTTTTGTTAATTATTATCAATGTAAAAGTTAATAAATTAGTAGGTATGTGACATATTTAGGTGCTTTCATAAAGTATTATTTATTTTATGGATTATTTTTAAAGACCTAACAATTATGTTATGTATACACTATACTTATTACTTACAATAAGTGTATTTCAATGTTTATTCTAAAAATTAAACCTTTTTATACAATTAAATTTTTTTAGTTTAAGTAAGTACTAGTTTAACCTAGTACGTCGGTACTTGTAAAAAAAAATGTGTTGTAGGTTAATCAATCATAGCAATTAGTATGCCTATTCTTTTGATTTTCTTATTAATTTAAGTGAGAGTCTTAGCGAATATCCCAGAATATAACTGAATGAATAACAAACTAATGCTGTTAAAATCTGATCTGTTGTATTATTATAACTGGGTGTATTTTTATATTTTTATGATGTTTAGATATTATACTTCTGATTAAGTTTAAGTATTTTTGAGATAAAATATATTATATTAGTAGGTAGGTATATCATTTATGCTTTTAAGTCCTAGCCTGTAATATATACAAATATAATAATAGTTACTTATAAATCTATGTATTCTTAAAAGATTATAATAATAATAAATGTCACTGTTTGGAAAGATAGATCCTTTTAAAAATGAATAAATTCCTCTTGCTTGTTTCTTAAAAAAAAATATTTGTTTGTATTAATGCCTAGTGTAAAGTCTAAATCTAATTTAAGGTACAAAAGTAAAGTAAACTAAACTTTTTTTATTCTTTATTTAAAATTCCAATATTTAATTTGTAATGGAAATATATAGGTACATATGACAGTAATGCCAATATTAAATAATTTCTATGAAATATTATTTTATAATATTATAACCACCAGAGTAACCATGGTATATATATGGATATCTATATTATTTCCTGTTCCTTGATCATTTATTTCCAAAGTAACACGTTACAGCCTTTGTTTTTATAAAAGGAATGTGTTTATTCCCAGCATTGATAAATGTATTTATCAGTTGGTTGGTTGGTTGCTATCAAATTTGGATTTCTCAACAGTTGGATGTAATTTTGGATTAATTTAACATTTTTCTTTCTCAAACCTGTAATCACAGTTGTCCATAACAGCATTACTTATATACATTTTCTTAGCTCATGAAAAACAATTATGTTTTTTATTTAATCGCTTCATTATAATAGAGTTTGTGTACTAGTTTGCACAAGATATTGAATTGTTCATAATTAGAAATTTAATTGTTTACTTAAGAATTTAGTGTTAAAACTATCAGTAACTAATTATAAATCTGATATTATAAATATACCATATTATTGGTAGTTGTATATTTAAGAGTATCTATATTTTTTGGTTTATCATAACAGTGTCCATAAATAGTTTTAAATTAGGTAATGACTAATTAGTATTAATTTATTTTATTATTGTTATTTATTTATATAATTATCATTCATTATAATTAATAATATTGTTATTATAATTTTTGGTATCACAAGATAACAGTATTGTTTTATATTTTAATATTCTAAATAAAATCTTCAGGTGTCGATAATAACAAAATTTGAATTGTACATTATTTGGAATTGTATTTTATTTAGATTCTATAAGCTTGAATATATTGTAAGTACCTAAAGCTTGTAGACTTATTTACTAGGTACCTAATACCTAGCCTAACCTAGGTGCCAATACATGTTTCCGTGGATACATATAGATTATTTATGCGAGAAACTTTTTTGTTAAGTTTGTAACTTATGATATTGATGCTACTAAAATATGTGTATTATATGTATGGTCTACGTTTTCTGTGCGATCTATTGTGGTTTATCTAATCTAGATACTGTGCAATTCCTTAATAAATATAAAAATATTGATCATTATAATGATTGATTAAGATTTATTTTACACTTGTATCCCTGTAACAGTGCAAGGTTTATGATTAAACTTTAGGTACCTTTGCTGATAACTTTTTACCATAAAGTACTGGTAAAAAGATATATAAAAGACAAAATACAGTGCACTAGTCTCTATTTTTAAGGAAAATTTGACTAAAATGAATTTGAAAGATTAAGAAAGTTGATTTCAATCTAACTTCATGACAATTCAAATATGTTTTCAGAAGTTTTTTCTAATCACAATGATAACGTAATTGGTAAATGTGGCTAATATTTTTTAGAAAAAAATACCCCTTCTCTGATGTACCCCTTTCCCTTAAATTCTTAAGCTCTAAATGGGTATTGGCCTGTAAATTAGCAGCCTAAAATAAGATGTATCATTAAGGCAGTCATTTAAATGTAATTTATAAAATTGAAAAAATTTGGAAAACCGTCATTAATCCCTTTAACCCTGAATTTAAAGAATTTAAAAACTGCTTTTTATTGAGTAGGTATTACTACTTATAAAGATTTCAATATGCTTTCATAAAATCCTAAAATGTGTGATCAATTTATATCAAATGAACCAGTTTTGTGTCATAGGTATATATGGGCATAAAAAACCAAGTTTTATTACCGTGGTAAACTAAATAGGTACTTACAAATTTGTTTATAAACTTTGATAAGTATAAAATTAATACCTATTATATAAAATTAATTTTAAACAAAATATCAATGAAACATAATTATTTTAATTTAAGTGGGTTTTACATAATTATGTTGAAGATTATAATCGAATAAGTATATGAGTATTAATATAGGTAATTTTATTCCTTTTTTTAATATATAGGTATTTTAATTAATTTAATTAGGTACCTACCAAATATTCTGTTATATATTTTTCTGATTTAATTTTGGCTTAGTCTTCTATAAATAAATATGTGGAATTACTTTTAATGATTTTCTCTGAGATTTAGCATTTCCATTCTTGGTACATATTTTGAGATCGGCTATACCCCTATTCCTATATTGTAAATTTGTAAAGGGTTCTTGCCCAATTATAAATAAAATATTGTAGGAACCTACTGATAATTTGTAAAGTAGTAAAATTTGTCCAGCACAGTCGCACAGTTTATCAAGGTTTATCACCACTTATTATCGTACTAGATTCTTGCGCAATTTACGAGGTACTCGTAAATTACACGTGATGAGATTTGTGGCGCAATTTACTGTCTATTTTTAGATGTAAATGGAGACACCAGATTTTTAAAATGTCATAGGGGCTTATTATTTTATAAACACATTTACAGTTTTACCATGTACTGTCAAGATGTATTGTTATCAACCTGTTTTCATAATATTCATATACCGACAAACCTTTAATCAGACACCGGTTAACCTAGAACCGGGTTGATTTCCAAAATCTACACATTTTCTTTCTTAATTAATTTATTATAAAAAAAATTAATATTTTGAAGATGCACATGACAAATATTGATTTTTTTTATATAATACGAAAACCGTGTGGAGGGGGCTGACCTCCGTCTTATCAAGCTCATGGGGGGCTGCAGTCCCAAATTCTCCATGTACACGATGCCCCTGGATGTAGGTACAAAATCGATCAGCACAAATATTATGTCTACCCGGGTCTCCTGACAGGTTTGTAGATTTTATTACTTGATTTTTAAATTGTATTAAATGTTTTTTATCTAAACGAATCGATTAAATTAAATTATACTACTATATGTGTAAGATTGGTAATACAAATTAAGTACCTAGTATGATGCCTACAGCTTACCTATTCAATTGAAATATTATAGAGATTATTATATTATGCAAATTTTAGGTAGGTATTTACTATTTGATTGATTTATTTACCAGAAATTAATGTAAGTATTAAAAAATTATTTGAAAAAACACGACTTAGAATGTATTTTTAAGTTAAACTACTTAGTTCGGTATATTGCCATCATCTGGTTACTTTTAACATTGTTTTTGGTTAATTGCACCTAGAAATTCATGATGATACAGATAATATTATAATATTAGAAACTTTCAAATCTATTTAATAATTAAATATTATATATATAGTTATTATATATACTATATTGACAGTTCAAATGATTCACTATTTTTATATAGGTTGCTTTATTTATTTTTTTTTTCAAGAATTGTTTGTTATTTTATTCATTATTTACCTAAAATTTGTTGTCTATCTTCCTGAATATTATTGTGTTGTGGATGTCACATATGGAAGTAGAAATCGGCGCCACTAATCGCATAGTAAAAAAAAAAATAGGTTGAGTTTATGAAAAATAACTCGACTGTAAAAACGTTTTACTCATAAAATATAATTTATTGGTTATAATATATTAGGCATATTGTAGATACGTATTTTAGCAACGGACGACACAGACCAGTTAACAAGTTCAATACCCGATTGTCCTTTTTAGCTGTTAGACTACCGCATTACGATTCCATTGAACTGAACTATTGGAGAAAGTTTTGTAATAATGTGACACGAATCTGGACATGAAGTTATAAAACTGTTCTATTTGTTGATACGTATAGAGTATAAACTTACTTTTTCAACTGCCTTTTGATTTTAAATTAAATGTTATTTTTAATAATATTTAGTTATATAGTTTATAGTATTATTTAGTTATTTACATTTAGTTATAACAATTATATATTTTATACTATATTTATGGGGTTAAGGATGGATATGCACTGGAAATTTATGCTGTGCATCATAGTTTATAAATGTTCACCTCGCCACTGTTTCCGACTATTGCGAAATCATTATTTATTATAAAATATGCTATTTGCACTGTAGACCATACACTATTTTTTAGTAGTAGATAATTTATTTTGGATCAAGTTTATAAGAAAATTCTATTCGCATACAAGTATAAATTGGTTTTAGTTTTAAAGTCACATAGGTGTACGGTGAACCTTTATACTCGAGTTTTATTTCACTTATATTCTAAAGAGTAATTTATTTATTTGTGTAATCCGATTAACACACATTAACAATAAAATGTAAATTAAATAAAAGATATGAAATAAATTACAAAAAAGAGCTGATACTGAGAATGGGAGTGGCCACCATTGTAGGTGAGAAGTTGGGAAGGTAGGATATATAAGGTTATTTTATTTTTATCTGTAAGTAATGATAAACCATTGTTTGATGAAAGACGATTCTGAGCGTAGTTCGGCAATACATAATTTGAAGTACCGTAATTTTTTTTTGCGATTTTCATTTAAATTTGATTTCAAAACGCTTATTAAAAAAGGCCAATGATTTTGAAAATCTTACCATGTTTAGATAAGTCCAATATAAGTATTATTACCAAGTTACAAGTCTCTACGTGTATTTATAACCGAATTACAGCAAAAAAAAACTTTTAAAAATTAAAATTCCTTTAAACCTCAAAAGAGGTTCAAAAGTTTTGGTAATGATATAGTAAGAAAGTAAATCAAAAAGGAAACAAAAAAGGTATCTTATGATTTTTCGATTAAATCAATTTTTTTTGGTAGAAAACGTCCTCCGTGTTTTTATAAAATAATGAAGTCGTAAAATTGAACGTTTTCCTAATTTTTTTCCACTTAAGTGCTTTCATTTAAAAAATTACGTCGAAAATCAAAAAATGATCTCTTTAAAGCACAATTTAGACAACTTGAGTTTTCAGAAAAAGTGTTACACGTAAAAATCGAAACAAGTTTACGAGGAAAAAACGTGTTCACAGACTAGAACAAAGAAAGAAAATAATAAACACCGTAGTAAAACCAATAGCTCCCTCGCTAGGCTCGGAATCTAAAATAACAAATTATAGGATAAAATTACACGATAAAATAAAACTTTAAATTGGTAAAATAAATTATTTAGTGAAAAAAAATATTTAATTTTTAAAAGTTAGTTAAATTTTATTATAATATCAAAGTCCTTATAAATAATAAATAATAATTTAATTGTATTTTATTTTATTTTAATTCCTATATCAATAAACGTAAACAAAAAATAATTACGTTTTCGTTCATTATGTAAGCCAAAACGTCTTGTTTAATTTGTAAATATTTTCTTGATAGAATATTATCATGATGATTGCGTTAAGTCACGCAAATTATTTCTGACTTTCATGGAAGTCTTCGTATTTATTGAATAAAGCAATGTATCAAAATATTAAGGTGGTTATCTACACTATGTATTTTTTTTTACAATATTGTATCCTATAATAAACGTATATATTTATAGGCTATAGTGGGTATATTCCACAATATTTTTAAATTAAGTCCTCTCAAGTAATTACTTTTCAAACAAAATAATCAATTAAGTTTATATGTTTAAGTCTATCTATCTATGTTACTAAATTTTTACGTTCCGTAGCTTTTACGAACACAATTTATTTATTTTCTCGAATCTATCGTTTTTTAAGATCTTTTCATCTCACTGTGCTTATTATTTTATATTTGTATCTGAAACTGTCTCGGTGAGAAAAAATTCGAAAACGTTTTCTCTTAAACTGAATGAGGCTTATTTATATATCTTACATTCGTAAAAATAACCTTTGGCTTTATCAAAGTATATGTCCAATTGTAGTCATAATATTATTGTTTAAACAAATTAAATTCAATTAATCCTTATGAATTACGTCAGATGTTTCAAGTGCCAATTTAAAAACGACAACCATTTTTCATCTGCGCCTATATTTGTATTATGTTTATAATAATTTTTTATAAATTATTTTAATATTTAACTGATAAGAATATCGTGAGAGCAGAGAGTATAATATTTATATTTGTTTAATAAATTGATCGTAAAAAATATTTACGATATTATGTTTATTATGGTATAGCAGTTTACAAGTGAGACATTGTGGTTTCTTTTACTCAATTAATAATATGATTCATGGTATTATTGATACGTTTTACAATTTTATTTTAGCTATTATATATAATTAATAATCGTTCAATAGATATTAAAACAAGAGCTGATACTGCTGATGAATGTGTCACTGTTGTAGGTGGGAAGTTGAGAAGATAGGAATGTAGAATACATAAGATATTTACTATATATCTGTACACAACGATAAATCGTTGCTAACGAAATATGATTCTGAGTGAAGTTTGGTTAAAAATATTTTGAAATTCCGTGATTTTAACGGGATCTTTACTTCGAAAAAATTTATTTCATTAGTATGCTAGACTTTGTTTTTTTTGTTGACTTAATACAATTTATGAATATACTCATGTACTTTAGAGTATGAGTTCTGGTATAAAACAAAAATCGGAAAAATAAAATAATAATGCTGCAAATATTTGTTTGTTTTTCCTATATACGTTTTTTTCCAATTATTATGAAAAGCGCTTGGAAAATCGAAAAATGATCTCCTAATGCATCAATATTAATAACACATCCTAATTGTAAAAAAAAATCCTAGTCATTTTCGGGTTGCAATAAGATTTCTTTTGGAAAAGTTGTCTACAAACAAACAAAAAAGTATACATTATAGTAAAATCAATACATTTTTCATCACTTGTTAAAAATGATTTCTCGACTTTTTTCTCGGTAAGCTATATTGTGGTCAAAATATCAATGGTCACAAACTTAAAAATGTGTAGGTATATTAATATAGTTTGATAGAAACATAATATTATTGTGTGTTTGTGTGCAAGGCGACATTTAGGATTCGAAGTCTAAAGAAATCAAGAAATTATGAATAAACACGAAACTCAGTTGTATATTTACATACAGGGTGTCCCACGAAGATATTTTACATTCTTTCTGACTGGGGTACCACCCTAGTTAGATATCCTTTCAGAAAAAGGTGCTGTAATTGAAAATTGAGCAAAATTACTAGTAGAATAGTTATTCACAGATAAAAAAACAAAAAAAAATCATTGTAAAACCAATACATTACTCCTTCCACCCAAAATCTAAAATGTAATTAAATATTATGATGTTTAGGTATGAATTTTTTATAGATAAAGTAAATATATATTTCAAGTTTTTACTATTTTGAAGCGTCATGTCATTATGTGTAGTCAAAAAGTTAGATGTTTATAAAATATACTTTCCTCAAACATTCCTCATTTGAGGAACATTCCCAGTACTTTTCACGGAAAAGTACCCACCCCTACTCGGGATATGGAAAAGGTATAAATTAAAAATGAGACGTATTCGGGATATTCCCGTATTTTCTATAATAATAATACAATTGGCGGTTTTAGTGATTATTACCTATATTAATAATAGAACCGATATTCAAAATTTAAAATATCGGTATTTAATAAAACAGCTGCATAAAAGTTAATTAATTTTTTATTAAGTCAAAAAAATACTTACTGTTAAAATAGGAAATCAATTGGTTTTGTTTTAGGATGTTTTTTTTTTGTATCATCCGAATTTGTTTTAATAACTCATATGTTGTACTTACTAATCTCGTATTTTAATAATTATCATTATTTTTATTTAAATTTTTTTTTGTAATTGTGATCTTCATTTTTTTATCATTTCAAGTATACATAATTACACATTTAAATAAGTCGTTATGATGTGGTACTATTTGAAATAGCAAATTTGTATTTGACAAAGTTGTGTTCTTATTAAATGACATAACTTAATTATTTAAGTATTATTTGGTGGTTTTCCGTTTCATACACGAAATTAAGTTCCTACGCTTAACAAAAGATGCACTGTTTCAAACATTTAGTAACTTGTTTGTTTTTCATTCAACTGTGTATAGAGTTTAGAGGGGACTTTAGTTCCTTGTTTAGTCTTTTATCAAATGTATTCTTGCGATTAAGGTTGTATACAGCTATATAGGTACAATATATAGAATAAATATAATTTGTGTCATTAATCATGTTAGTGTACACAAAAATGACATGGAAAAACAACTGTCACTGAGATGTTATTTTATAATATATAAGATATAATTCTCTCACATTATTAATAATATATATTGCTGCAGTATAATAAATAATACAAATAATATTATATAGGTAAGGTATACATTTATTATACTTATTTTCATATTTAGACACGCGGGACGTAATATGGATAATGGATATGATGTATATTATATGATTCTCATAAGAAAATATCAAACTCATCGTTTACAGTTTTTTATTTAATAAATGTTAATAATTATTCGGTTAATTTATATGTTACTAGTATTATATAGTGTCGGGGAACTAGGTAAGAATTCCCGACAGGTGAAACATAGTCAAACAATATAGTTAAATAATATGAAACAAAGCAAACATAACTATAAATTCATACGCGTAAATGCATATATTATTTTTAAAGTACTGCAAGTATCGGGGGGGGAGGGGGCGTCGTTTTAATTATGAACAATTTATAAATTAAACTAAAATAAAACAGCTGATATTGCTAATGGGTGCGCCACTGTAATATAGGTGGGAAATTGAGAAGATAGAATACATACCGTTATATAATTTTTATCTGTACTTGAAAATTTAACACAAGATTCATTATAAGCTGTACTTAGTGTTAAAGAATAAAAAAAATTGAATTTAATGTAGTAGTTTTTTTTTATAAGCGTTTTTTTAGATACAATTTTTTACGAAAATTGTAAAAATGACGGTATTTCAAAATATATTTTACTGAATTTCGCTTTGCAACGATTTATACGAGTTATTTACACAGTTATAAATTAAAGAATTTTGAATCTTACCTTCTGAACTTCCCATCTACAATAGTGGCACACTCTTCAGTAGCATCAGCTCTTCCTTTTTCTAAAACGTTAGTTTTTTTTCGTTTGTAAACAAGGCTAGAAGTCGATAATATAGGTATCGAGGTTTGTATGCGGTTAATTATATATATATATGAAGTCAATGACAATAAGTAACTTATTTACTTATATTGTTACACATTTTTTATACCACATCTATTGTATCTATTTTATAATACCATTGTATATTATTATTATAAATTATTTAAAACATTGATGTTTGATGTTAAAAATTAGCAGATAATATTATGTTATAGAAAATCTAAAACCTAATTGATATTTTTTGGGCTTTAACCGTTCCAAATTCACAACGCTATTGCAATGTTTTTTTTTCTAATTTCTGTTGAATATTATTATTTCAGTTATTTGTTTTCAGTTGTGTGGGTGGGAGGAGAGATTAATGTAATATCCCCCCCCCCATTCGTTCAAGAATATAACAATTTTATCTTGAGTTATTATTTCAGAATGTATTTACTAATTTAATCTTAAAATGTATTTATTACACCCAAGTTACAGAGAAAAGCTTAATTTAGGATTTGACTTTTAAATTCCCATTGTCGGGTTAAGTATTGAATACATTTCTACTATTTATTTTTGATTATTACTCGATTACTTATCTTCTCTCATTGAAAATTCCTGACACGGCATTGTTTATTTTAAGTTAAAAATGTATAATATTCGTACCAGCGAATTTGTTATTAACTAAGTATCACGATTTTTATGATGAGTTTCTGTCGTTTTTAATTATGCCAATAAAACAAATAAAATTGTCAAGTATCTTAGTATATTAAAGTAATATATAAAATATAATACATTTGAATATACAAAAGAGATTAAGAAATTTATTTATGCGTAGTATATATAGTTAGAGAGATAAACCGCTTAAAATCGTTTCCGATCTACTGCACATATAACGGTAATAATATAAACCACAAGTCTGTTACTTGTACCCAGACTAATACCATTGTATACATTTACAATATGTCTTTTAGAATGATTTTCACACATGGAAACATACAATTTCCATTGGTGCTTACTCGTGAGATATTGTTTTATAATAGTAGTTTGCAATTTGTTTCGCTTTTTAGCGCATTTGATTGATGGAATACTTCTTAGGTAATCGGCTGCTATAGGAATATCCCGTCATACAACCGTGCCTCCAGTTTTTCTTATTCGCTGTTCTTGTCTTCTAGTTTAAATCTTCTCCTGAGACTTCCACATCATTACTTACTACATCCTTCTATCTCATACGTGGTCTTCCACGTGGATTCTTAAACTAACTAAGATATCTTTGAAGCTATTTTATAGTTAATTTTGGATATACTATATTTAGGTTAGGTGTATTTTTCTGAGTACTGTATATACTTCCATAATGGTTATTGTATTTTTTCTGTTACGAGTTTATTATTGTTTTATTAATTTTATCTAATTTCATATATTGGAACAGAAATAATATACATGTGTACAGTAACTGGCCAACCGTGTACTAATAGTTTTTTAGTTACGTAGGTTGAAGAGTGTTGGAAATATGAGAGTTAAGCTCGATAAAACTGCCTGTGAAGAACGACCGGTTTTGTTTTATAAAAATCATCGAATATTCAAAACGCATGTTGTAAATGTGGCTTATCATAACAATAATATTATAGTAATGAGTAATTATCGAATAACATTATTTATTTCGTAATTGCGCAAATTAATATCGATGATCATAATAAATTAATAATTGAATTATAATGCGATAAAAATTGGTATTTTACTCGAATGGCGTTTAATAATCTAAATAGCTAGGTATAGTATTTGTAATAGCCATGTCAAACATTTACGAATAATAGATATTAATAATGAACGTTTTAAAAAAATTACATAATATCAAAGACAAAGATCAATATAATTATTATCATATAGTTCATAATGAAGTGTGTTTCGTTAAACTTGCAGCGAGTTAATTTTACTCGTTTGATTTGTTAATACTTAAAATTGGGAAATTTCTCAGATGTGACAAAATATAAACATAAGTACTATTTTCTTTATGTAAGTAATTTTGTCTTCTGTAATTTTTCCCATAAGGCATAAGTACATATATATATATATATACAACACATGTTTCAGTGTTATACCGAAAATTAATTTATTATCTAAACTCACTATGGTATGTTCTTTTTGTTAGAAAAATAGGCATAAGTCATGTAACTATAATATGCCTTGAGCTATTTAGAACGTCTGCATTTAGTTCGTACTGAAGAAAACTATACAAAACTGACCCGAAGCCCTTTTTTCTGAGACCAAATATATTTATCTATACTTACCCGTGGTGTAATTAGAAATTTGTTTCGAGGAGGAATATAATTTTTAAAATCAAGTTACTTCGCCCTCGCCATCATGGATGGAGTTAGAAGAAACTTTTCAACGTTGATAATAAACACAATTTTTTAGCTTTGAATAAACTGTTTAAATTTAATTAGCAATTTGTATTCGAATTTTGTCACGTTATTTTTATCACTTACGGGAACACTTTTTAAATATGTTCTTTTAAATTTAATTACATTTTCTATTAACTAATCTAAAATTATAAGTCATTGAGTACATTTTAGCTTTACAATTTAAACTACAGATAGTTTGTAGACTTGGGACGTTATCTAATAAAAAAGGGTTTGGACGGTCATAATAATATTTACGCATTTCATCACTTATACCAGTGATAATAGTTTACTGTGAAACTTAAATTACATTTTTATTTTAAAATATAAGTACACTTACGGGTCCACTGGAACTCGAAATTAGTATTTTATTTAATTTTTATCGTTATTGTCAACGATATTACCTACTTATTTTGTAAAAAAAAAAAAATTCCTGTTAGTGGAGGGGGGAGGGCTCTATCCCCCATATGTCCACCCCGAGCCACTGATAAATCTCATATATATTTTGCGCGTGGACAAATTAAATGATTCGTCCACGGGGCTCGGTCGAGTATATCGCGCGTACCATAATAGTATGCACATAATAATATTACGTAGAGAGACTTCAAAAAGTGAATATACTTTTAGCACACACTCATTCTAATGTTATTCTCTCGTCAGCTGCTATATAATAATAATAATAATAATGAGTACATAATATAATATAGCCGGCGTATTCCCCGCCATCGGTTTCTCACCGTAGCGTTGCGTCGTCGTCGGCGTTGTATATTCAAAGCTATTAAACTGTACGCGCGGCGGCCTCACTCCGCCGCCCGTCCACGCGGCGTCCACCACCTCCTGGTCCTCCGCCGTCACCGCCGCCGCCGCCGACTATAGAGCCTATAGGTGGTTCTCTCCTCGTTCAATCGTCGAGTAACCGCGACCGGGCGTTTTTGTGTTCTGTTTGTGTGTGGTGTATGGTGTGGCGCGTACGTACGTGTGTGTATGTGTGTGTCTGTGAGAGCGTGAGCGTGTACGTGTGTTTGTTTGTATGTACGTGTGCGCGCATTCGTGCTCCGTTTCAAAATCGGTACGTGGTAGTATTATAATAATAATAATTATTATCTACGACAGAAAAAAAACTTTGTTTAACATAAAAAAAAAAATTTAGTTTTTTTTTCCGACCTGTCCAAAAACCGCCGAGTAAAAATATTACATACGTTTACGAAAGCATAGGAAAACAAATTCGCATTATTACAATGTACCTACTCTTGATTTATCCTGCGTGTGTAGGTACGATTTTAAATTTCGCGGTTGCTTACGGGTTTTCTATTTTCATAATTTTTACGTCGACAGTTTATGGAATGTTTTTTTCTTTCTATTAATAATATTTTATAATATGGTTTTATATTTTATCGTGTACACAAGTGTAGTGCTATAAAATTGTTAGATATTATACCTGCAGACCCTATTACCGTTCATTTTCATAAGTGTACAATGCCATTTTTATTATACCTCATTCGCTACGAAAACATCAATGTCGTTAAAAGTTGGGACCTATAAAAAAAAAAAAATTAAAATTATCGACACGATAACTACGCATACCTACTCAATATTGGATTTATTGATATATGTATTTACAGTACACGTATCTACCAAATAATAATAATTGTTTAAAACGATGATGATACACAAATAAAATAATAGAACAGTTTTCGAATAGCGTTCGAGTCGTGCACTCACCAGATTAAAATTGTGCAATAGTTCATTTTTTTCCTCTAAAATCGCGTACTGGTAATATTTTTCTAACGCTCACTATACAATTTTGTTTTTGGACAGGTCTATTATTATTGTTAGGTGTTCGTGTTCCCTTTTTGTTTACGTGATCTGTTCCGATTTTGATAGGTATGGCGATTTGTTGATGAGATAAACACTTATAAATTATATATCCTCCGGAGACGTGCATTCGAAATAACTTCGTCGTTATTTGTGTCGAAACTGGGAGAATTATATTAATATTTATCAGCTTTTTTCCGGCCCAAAACCACAATGACGAAAGGCGGTTCGTCGCCGGTACTCGTCGAAAACGGCGGTAACAAAATGGACGGAAACGGCGCTACGCCCACTGTCAAAAAGCGCGGTTTCTTTAGTGGCTCATTCCGGCGCCGCCGGAGTTCCGACATCAAACTCAACGACACAATAATTATCAACGAGAACGTGGTATTCAATGGAAACAATAAGAACAGCGGTACGAACAGCGTTGTAGACGGCAGCAAGGCCACCGAAAATGGCAAAAGCACCGTGGCGCCTACTGCAGCTGCCGTGAACGACAAGAAGCCGCCGTTGCAACAGAAACAACAGCAGCAGGCGGACAGCAAGAAAGTGGCCGCTGCCGCGGCGGAAAGCAAGAAGCAGCAACAACAAGCAGACAAGAAAAAAGCTGCTGCGGCGATAGAGGACAAGAAGAAAACTGTTGCGACGGCAGAGGACAAGAAAAAAACTGCTACGACGCCAGAGGATAAGAAAAAAGCTGTGACCAAAAGAGGTAATTGTTTTTTCCTGGTGGATTTATAACCGTAGGGGACGGGGATTTTTGCGACGGTTTACGCGTGAATCGGAAATCTACTGATTTTTGTAACAAATGAGCGTGCGCGCGTGCAGGTACTTTAGAGGTTTCCGAGTTCGATGTACTACAAAATAGAAAAATAAAATGGCAAATAGGTACATTCGTAAAAGTAAAACGTTGTAAACGTCGAGTTAAACTCTGAATCGTTTTTCGGATTAGGAATAATTCGTTTACCGTGAAAAGAAACCCGTCAAAGTAATAATATCTAGCCGATTGTCGTGTGAGAGTCGGAGACTCTCATAGATTGTAGACCCCCCCTCTTAAAAAAAAATAAAAAAATATTTCCTCCATTTATAATTGTATTTATTTAAGTACTTGATAATATTAAGCGAGTTCGTAATGTAACTGTGTTTGAAAACGTATTGCCTGCTCTATCCTATTTCTATTAGAATCACTTGTATTAAAATAAATTACGTATATTTATACGTAAACGTGATTAAGTACGAATTGTCGGGGAGGAAAGGGGGACTTAGACCCCCTTATTGTTTATTATTAGTCGTGGAAACCCTTCGGGGACTGTAATATTGTGCGTGTCGCCCGCAGTGTACCGGCCAGTGAGTTATATTTTTACCAACCCGAATGGTCGTGGCCACGAGTTGAACGACCCCGTGTGTCTGTATGTATATATATACATATATATACATATTATTTTCTTGATGATAATGTTCTTCGCTGACGAACGACAATAACCTTCTAATATTATTATATGTTGTGTCTTGCATTTTATATAGATATGTACTTAGATGTGTCTTTTATGTAACGCGTCCGATTCTTTGATGGTGATGCGCATCGATCAGCGTGCATAAAACGATAATCTCGAAACAACGATTCGATCAGTATTTTACAATAATTCTTCGGTCCCGGAAAAGAAGGGTTTAATTTTTGGTATTTTTTTTTTAAATATATTTTTACCTTGTGTTATTTGTGTTTCCCTTTATTTTTTCACTCTAAATGACACAAGTGTATGTATATTATTGGTAACACATTATTATATTTATTTAAATAAGTATATTAAAAATTAAAATATCCTAATGTACATCTTATATGACATGAACATTTTATTTTGCAAAAAGGCATAATTCATAGGTACGAGTATAATACATTTTATTAATTAAACCATTTAAAACACTATATTTAGTTAGGTCATTTAGCATTTTAACATTTAATTTATTTGTACCTATTTAAAACCACTATACATACTGGAATATCGAGCTGTACATTTTTTATTTTGTGCTCTCTAAAACACTATTTTAAGTCCTGCCAAACGAGTGTAAACTGTGGAATGGGGTTAATATATTAGAAAAAAAAATGCATATACGTATTCTAATAAAAATGTGTATATTTAAGTAAATGATTTGTTATAGATCATAATAATTAGGATAAAATCTATTTCGTCGTGGTTAATAAACATAATAATATAATGTAACTATTTTACGATGTCTTGAAATATGGCCCTCTGCCCCTTCCCTTAAATACGTTCCCGGATGTGGTATTTCTATTTGGTTTTGTTTTACTTTAGTAAAATCATCATTTACATGCATATTTTTCTGTAAATTATAATATTTTCAAATGATCTATATTATATTTTATTAAAAAGCGAAAGACCATATATTCATTTATACAAATCTATTAGGACGTATTCACTGGGCATTAGAATATGACGTAATAAATTATTTTCATAATATAATTTATTTGGTATTGTCTATTTTTTTTTGTATTCGTTTATTTAAATTTAAATCTAAACCGTGTGCGTAGAATTATATGTGACAAATTTTTGTATATTATAATTACAGGCACGCCGTTTTTGAGTAACAGTATTGGAATATAAATGTGTAAAGTATGTTCGACTATATAGATAAAACAAAAAAAAAAAAAACCACATGGCTCTCGACGTATTTTTACAGCCGACATTTAAATATGACTTTAAAATAGCAGATTTTATATTTGGTTTTAATAATAATAATAATAAAAATATATATATGTATATATATATATATATATATATATATATATTTAATTGATGATTCGTATTTTTGATTTGAGTTGAATTTTAATAATAATTATTAATAAGTGGACGAATTTGGTTATAGGTTTTGTTTCAACAGCGTGGTCTATATTTTCATCTCCTAAAATGTTAATATTCGTATTTGAGCCGCATTACGGTCATAGTCTAAAGGGGAAAGATACTCTTGACGGGGCTCTTTTTTTAAAATATAGATTTATTAATTTGTATTTAATATGTTTTAGTATTGTCGGCTGTCATCTTGTTATATCAGTATAATTAATAGTATCGATAACAGGTATAGGTACTTGTAGTTTCAAATCAATATTATTGTTATAAAATGACCAAGTGGTTCCTAATATAATTTACCATTGATTATTGATTATTTACCATTGCAAGACGTCTATGTCTAAAATTGAAAGAAAAAAAGGAGACAAAACATTGTGGTTCTCTATTCTTCTCTTCGACTCGCTACAGCCCCCTCCGCTTAACCTCCCTTAATTTTGTATTATTTATGTAGTTTTGGTTAATTAATGGTTGGTTTTTTCGGTTTTTTCCACCGGTGTTATACTCGGGTTCGCTATTGTCATTAAAAACATAGAATTATAATATTAATCCGTAGACATAAAATAAACATCGGTTTCACGACAAAATATCCCCGCAAAAATATCCCATGTCGAAAAATCCCACGTAAATATTAATTTAAAATTTTAACCTTTATTATTAATAAAAAAAAAAATTAATTAAAATATGTTAAAATAAATACTAAAAAATATTTGCTCTTAAAAATTAAAAAAAAATCTATTCAAATACATTTTTTCTTTTTTAATTAGTGCACCGCTCAATTATTATTTTTTCACTCTTTCGGTGTATATTAAATGAGTAGCCTTTAAATATTAGTAATTTATTGCCTTTTTGATTTCGGATAAATTCTAACACTTTGTACTTGTCACAAACTTGTAATAACCCAAACAGTTAACTCACGAGTAATGAAAACAAAACACTATACCATTATTATATTATTACTTCTAATCGTATAACATATCTAATCGTAACTTTCATAATAGAAGTTAAACATTTTTAGGTTAAAATTTAGAATTATTATTTACGTGGGATTTTTTGACATGGAATATTTTTGTGAGGGTATTTTGTCTGGGATATTTTGTCTTGTCACCATAAACATAGGATGTTCGTTTAAATTCCATAGATTAAAATTATGATTATATACCGGATTTTACAGTTTAAGATTAAAAGTTTCTACTGTATTGTATTATTGATATTATTCTAATACAATATTATTGTTAAATATATTATTTTTTATGGGCGTGCACGTGTTTAGTTTCAAAATGACCCCTCGTTTTTTCCCCTAACCTTATCGAGTATCTTCACGGATATTAACAACCGAACGTCGTCATTTTTGAATTTCCGGAGTGAAAGTTGTTTGCGGCGGGTAGCGTTTCTTCCTTCCTTTTAGGGAGGCGAGGCGGCGAGAAGTAATATTTTTCTCATATAAGAAATTTATCCCATCTATTATGATAATAAAGTTATTTATATTAAATAGTTCATTATATAATAATATAATAATTGGCCAAGTATTATATGGTGAACATATTATTATTTAAAGATTTTTGTGCGAATAACTATTTTAATACATATCTAATTTAATTTATTGTTGTATCCGATTTATTTAGTAATTGATTAATAATTAATCGAATATTTAATAATTGATTAAAAATATCAAACTCCGTATCGAACAATTACCGACATTATTAGTCTTTTCCTAGATAATTATATAATGCCTAAAAATAAAAATCCATTGACGATTAGAATATTGTATAGGTAAGTACATATATATATGTATATTATACCATTTTTTTGTGATTTCTTGGTTTTTCGTTTTAAAAGATTTTCTTTGTGACTGAAGGACGTTTTTTTTTTACTATAAACGTAACTCATGCTTAATTTTCTCTTCTATATTATTATTTTTTGTAAAATAATTTTGTTGTATATTACTATAGTTTGTGTCAAGGTCAGTGTAATAGTGTTGAATGAAAATAATTTGTTACGGTGCAATGATTTTTTTATGTTTATTTATACATTTTATATTGTAATAATATATTACCTATATATTATTATTCATTATAATATATAAAATTCAACATAGCGAATACTATAAATAATATTTCCAATAATATTATATGCGTTGTAATTTTTAATATTAAAGAGACAAAATTTCACGTTCAATTGTTGGTTTTTTTACCTATAAACAAGACATCATAATGTGTAAATTTAATTAGATTAATGGCTTAGTGTTAACCCACATTTAAATCTAAAATATTTAAATATAATATAAAGAGAATTGGTCACTGTATATTTCAGTCGATTCAGACTAAAAAGTTTGACAAAATTGTTGGAATAGTGTTTAACAGATTTCATTTTTCAAAGCGGATAAGCTATCATGAATTGTTTAGTTTGTTTATTAGGATATGTTGAATGTAAACATTATTTTTGTAGAAATCGTAAAAAAATCTGATTGTATTTTTGAAAAATGTTCAAAAATATACATGAAATAATTTGATGTTTAATTATAATAAAAATAAAAAAAAATTATTCCAAAGTATCCCAGAAAAGAACTTTAATACGTTATTAAAATTAAAATTTGTCACGTAATTTCTACAGTTTTACGGTCTGAAACATACGTCATATTAGTTCATAAAAACGGCCGTACCACTTCCCCTTAATTGGGTATTAGGTAGTAAATTAATGGATAAGTTTTATCATTAAGGTAGTCACTAAAATATTTAAAAAAAATTAAAATTTTAAAATTAGAGAAATTGGAAAAACCGTCTCCTCTTCAAGGGTAATCTTAAGTATTTTTTATTGTAAATTAATCTATTTATCGATAAGTTTAATAGGTTATGAAAAAACCGCGTCAAATGTAAATAATTATTAGTAAAATGATTTATTAGTATAAGTGTATTACTAAATCTTTTTATACGTAGGACATTATAGTTAAAAAATTGCACTAAAGTAATTATTTTCATTACTCTAGATTTTAGAGTTGTTAATATAATTGAATTTAACTTGTTATTTTAAAATACATACTAGTATAATATAGTGTTTAATAATTTAATGCAAATTAAAAATATTAATAATAATAATAATTTATTCTGTTTTACAACTTTGATTTTTAATTATTTTTACTTTTATAAACTTCACACATTAGTACTAAAAAAAAAAAAAAACACGAGTATCGGTTATTAAAACGAACCGTCATGTATTATGCAGTACCTAATAGTTTTGTTATAATTTTATAATTGTTGAGAAAGTTGATAAACCATTTCGTAAAGTATAACTCGTTTATTCCGATATTACGTTCCCATCAGATATATTTTCTAATATTGTAGGTAGACCTATAAATTATAGGTTTATTGTATTCTTTTGAACAGGGAACGTAAATAAAGTACCGAATGGGATTTTTTTTTTTTGAGGTCAAATTATTTGTTATCATTACGTGTATATCGCATAACGTTAATACTGAGCAGCATTTTAGTGTTTGCGTTTCACCTGTTGTGCACCTCTCATTCTCATGACGAACAAGGTCACCATTCGAGTTCTATAATCTTATCAATCATTTGAATTTAAAATCGCGACTCTGGTTTTTAGTATGTTTTATATTATATTAATTTTGACAAGTTTATGGATACATTTTTTCATCAGCTATTCTCACATATTATTATTATTACCTATACTTACTAATAATTGTAATTGTTTATTCTTTCGTATTGTAGTTGATGCCGAATTATAATTATTATCGAAGTCTTAAAATTTTAATATTATAACTAAAACCGATATGAACGTGTGTATATTGTTTACAATAATCTCGTATAATTCTGATAATAATGTATATTACTCATTTTTGATAGGTTGAATACCTATTTTATAAGTGATCTTGTATATAGATATAGTATATCATTCTGTATGTATATTGTATACATATACAGATTTATAGAAATACGCATGACATGTTCTATGTTATCAGTGATCAGATGTCATTGTATAAATAAATAATATACTTGTAATACTATATGTAATACAAAACTGCAGTTCAATTTTTTTTTTTTTTATCTGCAGTAGTGTTAAAGTGTATAGGTATAAATCTGCTTGTAGACGATAACTAAACACTTCATGAAATTCACCTATAATTATTAGGTACACATAACTCTACATTTTATTAGCTTTGTTATTGATTTGTATAGATTATGACGGTTATTAAAAACAAAATTACTATCAATCATTTATTATTACATTCGTTAAATTTATTAGTATTCAAGGTAGGTTATCTTTTATGGTTTGACGTATTAAATATAGGTCAGCCGTAGTATATTTTATAAAATAAATATTTGGTCTTAATTTATTAATCATAAAATATTATATTTCATTCATATTATTTTAATTGTCTATAGAAAACAAATATCAGCAATTATATACTTAAACAGTGTTATAATAAACATAAATATTGTTTTCATGGTAGTTATATATAACTACCTATAATAGGTGCCTAATCATTTATTTAAATTATTTTTATTACGTTTCAAATTAACCAAAATTATATACCTATATATGTGTGTGTATATACGTACTAAATAAAAATTGTCTTGAATAGACGAAAATATAGTTAGGTAATTATGATTTCATTTTGGAAGAAAAAGTAAATGCTATTTAAACCTTCATTATAATAATCTACCCATTTTTCACTTTTATGGATTTTTTTTTGAGGTTAAATAAAATTACAATTTCCCCTCTAGGCAAGTTGTTGATAGTACGCGTCGTATACCTATAGTAGTAGTTCAATAATATACCGTATTAATAGTTAAACTAAAATAATTATTGTAATAGTTTTTAAGTTTAATGCATTGGTATAATAATGTGTATTTACAACGCACATTTATAATAATATATTAGCGTGGTGTTCCGACAGTTCGCAATTACGTCATACTATCGTAAAAGTGGCAACTTGAACACAATATGCAACATCAATTAATTTACGTATATATAATATTATTATTATTTTCATGTACCTAAAACACTATTGCCGCACACGTCACTAGTATTATTACTAAATTAACAGTTGTCGTCCCATCGATTTTATTTAAGCAATACTCAATAAAGACAGTGGTGTGCGAAGGTGGGAGGTTAGAAGTTATATTAACCATATCACCTTGAAAAAAAAAGTAACTGAGTATTTATCTAATAATTTTATCTTGGAGTTATTTATTTTAACCAAATGACAAACAAAAAAAGCTTGATTTATTAAATACAACTTTTCATTTTAGATCTGGCTTTTAAATTTACATTGTTGGGTTAAGTATAACAGGAGGAAATGTTACGATTTATTTACGAATTATAATTATTGTTTTTCTAATTACTATACGTTTTTTCCTATTGATATTTCTGGGCACGTCTTTGCTCGACGATAGTTTTATTACTTATTCGAATATAAAAATAATTTTGTTTTACCTAATATTTAACCTATTATGTTTGTTTAAGATCAGGCTATATCATTATTATCGGTCTTTACCAATGGCGTACATCACTCAAAATTAAATTGGAAACACCAAGTTGATCGAATAACACTTATTTCCCACCCATCAAATTGTACCAAATTAGCATTAGCATCAGCTATTTATAATTGTTAATTTATAACTAATGATTTCTAACATAATGTGTAGATATTTTTAGCTTACCAATATCCGCCTAAAATTTTGGGGTAGAAGCTGTTAGAAACCATGCAATATGCGCCACTGACAATTTCTGTCTCAACCTAATCAAAATATGTACCAAAATATTTTTTTAGGGCAGTATTATACTACGTTTCTGCAGTTTTTCTAAAATATTATCAAACTAAAAAGCTACAGATTTGTTTTTGAAATATAGCATTAACTTTTTATATAATAATATGTTAGAAAAATAGAAACATGGATATTCTCATTCTTAATTTTGTTTTTAAAGTTTTATTTGATTTACTTAAAAATTATTATAACACGCAGCTATTACAATATTAGGTATGTTCGTGTGTACTGTCTAGGTATCTCGTAAATTATTTTTGACGTATACTTACATCATGACCTATATTGATTACGGTTTTTATATCGATACCTTTATTTCTGTAAAGCACGAAATAATAATATCATGTACTTACGGATGAAAAGTTTTGCACTTTTTTTTTCGTTTTATGTGCATTGTGTTTTAGTTTGACTAAGTGAAACCATCCGTGACCTAGATTATTATGTTTATCATGTATAATATTATAATTTTATATTCGCAATGTTTACTTTTTAAAAGTGTATAAATAAATGAGACACGTTATCATTATTGTTATTATTATTGATACCTATACCGCAAATAGGTAAAAGATATGACTAATAATTCTCTACTGAGAATCGTTTTTCGCCATCGTTGAGTACAGATATCGAGAATAATCAAACATCAGTTATGATTTTAATAAGTACATATCGGTAAGAAACTAAGAAATTTGGAGAGAAATTACACCAATTGTATTGTGTTTTTTGAGGAACGGCGAACAATATAATAATATACGATTATCAGTTCGCATGAATATTCCGTAAATTTGCAATGTACTTAGGTATGCAATAGTTATTGTGCACAATACTCTGTAGTCTATGTATGATGGCGTTTGCGTGTGAAACAAAATTGATTATTATTATATTACTTAGTACCTATGTATCTGCTATTGCGTGTCGCGGGGAAACGTAATAATTTTATTACGATATGTGAGCACAATTTTATTTTTTGCTTTCTAACGGGACAGACGAATACCTGACGGGAAGCGAAAAAAGTCTCCGTTGTTGCACGTGCGCTGTACATTGGAATTGTTTCGCACTTGGCTCCGAAATAAAATTTGGCTCGAGTACCACGCACGGGTGTTGCGCCGTCGTCGTACTGCCGGCCGTGGCCGACGTGTTCTCTAAAAATAATATTCCCCTCGACTATCCTGTGCCCTCGGCCGTGTTGTCGTCTCCTCTATAAATACGCGATATACGGCGACTTAATATAGTGTGTACCAAACGATCGAGACGCTTATTAACGTTCCATAATATTTGAAACGAGCCACAGACGTTAATGGAATTCTCTGAACGTCTCTTTGATTGCTTATCTCAAGTTAATAATTATTTTATATGGACAACATGATTTTAATGATAACAATAATAAACACTCGGTTAAGTGTTTTTCACTCTTGTTCCAAACTTAATATCACTCCAAAGAGTGTTATAAGTGTATACCATGGTTATCTATGGTGGATAATCGTGGTGTTTACCTGAAATTTCTACTAGCTAGTAAATGAAAAACAGCCACGAGTTTAGATAAAGCAAATAGAAAATGGAAAACTTGATAATATTTCGAGAAGTTATTAGTGCCTTAAGTGTAAATCTAAACTTTAGTCGATGGAAATCCATGGCAAGTATATAGGAAGGAGGGGGAACAGCAAATTTGGTTTACGATCATTGATTGACACCATTAAAATGTATAATGTTGAATTGTGTGATTAGATATCTACTTTAAGTGAATTAAATGCCATATTTGGCTAATCAAAGGATTCCGTTTGCGTCTGTGACCTGTTTCAAGTAGAGAACATTAATACGCGATCGGGACACACGTAGTATTGCATGGATTTTTATTTTTATTACACGAGTTGCAGACGGATATCCTGCCCATGCCACTAATAATCACTATATAGGTGTGCTGCACTGTATAGACCAAATAGTCACGTATATGTGGACGTAACACATTGTCTTGATGATGAAGACATATTTATTCACTTCGGTTGTATGTGCCAAAAAAAAAAAAAAATAATAAAAAAAATATTGACGTTCGATTATACTTACTAATAATAATCACAGAATAATTATTGTTGTGTGATTTTAACCATGTAACATTGTAACTTATAAGTATACATCGTAGGTTATATATTCCTATTAATGATGACGAGAAATCCGATTTTTTTCACAAGATTTTCTTGTAATTACTAGAAAATTACGTATTATTTTCTATGGATAATATTATGCAGTTGTTATTCAACGCGGAAAAACAACATGTACCTATTATGTCGAAATTTTTACCTGCAATCATACTAAAAATATGTAATTTCAACGTACGCATATCTCTGCAATGCCTCATTATATCTACAGTGGTATAATAAATAATGTACAACCAATTAAAAATTGTTGTGTTAGGTGTATCTACATAATAATAATATGTCATCAAATTGAAGTACCTATATATCAATATCTAATGTTGAAATGCTTAATACTGTAATATTTGCACTTGTATTTTAAATACCTGTATTTTTTTACCAATACGCGTAGACAAAAGAACACAAAATATTAGGTGAGTAAAAATATCTATTTTTTTTTTTTTGAGATTCCAATTATACCAATGAAACTATTAGTTTAGAAACTAAGATTTGTGGTTTTTTTTCTCGGAAAACACTTTCGATCAATAAAAATATTTTGACTTTTTAATGTCTACATTTTACAAGTAGATGCAGATATTTTTGACTGATGGTACTTTATTTGAATGATTTTTCAAAATTCCCAGAACATTGTATAACAATTGTTTTTTACGGGTTTTTTTTTACTTAAAAATATTTTCATGGTTCAGCAAATGTTCCACTTTCCACACGCAGTATTTCAAAGGATCCAGAATTTCTGCCCAGTAGTATTCATTATTTGAAATATTTATCGACATTTTTTGTAGTTCCACCCTAAGGTTAATTTAATTTAAATTTTTTTTTTGGAAAAAGTAAAATCACCACTATTGCAGTTAAAATCGTTTTTCGTTTACATAACTTATTGTTACATATAGTATATAATCTAAATTACCTGTATATCATACTACCCATCTATAATAATGGCCTACCCGCGAACAGTATCAACTTTTAAAAAAAAAACATATTTACAGGACGGTTTATAGTATAATCAATTATTATTCACCCAATCAATATATTTTTAACCTCTGTCCGCTTTAAATGATATTAACTTCTGGGTTTCAAATTATTTTTAATATTTATATACGCGCTACTCGGATACGTATGTAATAAAATATTATTTTCGACCAATGACTAATGCGGTTATAATTAATTGTGTGATAAATTTAAATTTCAAATGAACGAATGATGAAAAACATTTTTAAAATGTGCCTACCTATATTATGTTCTTAGATTATACCCTATTGTTCCTCTCCAATTTAACCTTTAAATTATTATAGTTAATAAACCATTTGTTAATTGTCAAGGTGTAGTGTTTTATTAATATAAACTTCTTTGAATAAAAAAAACCATATGCCTCGTATTCAATTGAAGAGTATAATAAATATATATATTTATATCATATAGGTACCTATTTTAATAATATTTCTAGAAAATAACGTTTTTTTTATAGGTTACATTTTTTTGTTTTTATACTATTTATTGTAACCTATTTGAATATTATTTATAAAGTTAATGTAATTTAGTATTATAATTTTATGTGGGTAACTGATTTAAAATTTAAAATTTAAAAAGTAAATATATTTTCTACGTTTTATTTTTAAACCTGTGTTTAACGACGCCATAATATTATGGTTTATGACCGTAAAAGGTTACCATGTAAAGCTAACTAGCTGGTATGTTGAATTTAAAAATGTAATATTTAATTTAAACATTTTATTAAACTTAAATTATGGAGGTTAAAAATAACGATTTTGAATTAATGTATAGGTAGTTTTTAAACGCCTTTCCAATGATAATATCTAAATATGTATAGGTATAGTGATGATTCGCTTATTTAATTATAAACGTTGGCGGAGGAACTAAGGGAGGATTTGTCTCCAAAGCCTCTTTAAAAATTGGTATTTCATATAATAAACCAGTCTTAATGTAATATACGTATATAAGAATTTTAATTTCTTTCCTAAAAATAAAAGTATCAAATCTCCGACTATGTATAATAAGGTTATTTAATATCATATATTATCTAATAAATTATAACTATTACGAGTATATAGATATCTAAATATTTGGTAAAACTTTGGAGGTAATATATAACTTGTGTACCGTATGTAGTTTTTAAATTTTTAAAAATACACGACTTTCATTAAAAAAAGTTTAAATTATAAATGTATAAGTATATTGAATCCAGACCTCACTAGCAGGGGATGCAAGAGGGAGAGAGTTCAGTGCCGCAATTAGAGGGGGGGGGTTATTTTGGGTGTCTGGACATTCCCCTACACATCCATGTCTAAGTAATATAAATGCATTAAAAAAAATATGAGCCCTATAGAATTTAAGTAGGAAACCACATTGTCCTATGTAAGTGACAATTATTTATGGATGTTATTTGCTGGAATAATTTGAGGCCTCCGGGGAAATTATATGACACTCCCCTTAAAAAAATCCTAATAGCGTCACTGAGAGGAATTGTAACAAAATTAAATACTTAATAATTGACAAACCCGTCGCACATATTGACCCATACAGAGCACAAAGCACAATATGATCTCATATGGCATACATCAACGATAGATTCTTGTAATATAATAAGAGTTTATCTTAACCTAAATATACCGAAAATAAAATAACCTAAATTGTCTAATATTTGCAATTTTGAACTGTGTTTTATATAAAATGAATTAAGGAAAACAATTTAGTAATGTTTCTTTTTTTACTTTGTAGCTACTTATCTTATACTAAATACAAGTATAGATATTATATATGTGTTATTGATGTTTTTGAGGGGAAGTTTTTTTTTTTTTCGTAATGTAAAATCAATTGTAAATAAAAAAAAACATTTCGTGTCTACGGTGTATTATTGTATACTGTATAGTAGACATAATATTTTGAGGAGTGATTTGTCGACGCGATTTTTTGTTGTTATACAGGAAATATTGTCTAGGAATTTCGAAAGGCGATACACGTTATCGCATATCGAATAGTTTATAATAGAAGATATCAACAAAATGTATGAGGTGTATTACGATGGGTGTTATGAAAAAAAAAATTTACCGGAAAGGATATCGAGTAATCGCGGAAAAGGAGGAGCCGTTATAAAAAATATACATTCTCGATCGTTCGAATAAAATAGAACTTTTATACCTATACTGCAAGTATTATGGACGAAGTAAGAAAAAATGTTAAAAATGTACGTATAATATTTATTGGTATGGGCTCCTCCGAATGGTTTATACTAGCGATAGTTTTCAATCATTTGGATGAACTATTGAATATTTTTATTCGGAAAAACCATAATTATATTATTCCCCATATGGTTATAACATTTCTATTTAAAATATTCGAATGAATGAATATTCTGTATAGTTTTTTCCATTACTGAATATAAACTATGCGTTCTATTTAAATTATCGTATAGTTTTTATCAATCGGATAGTTCGACCGTATCTTTCACGAATCGATATACCTATTGCAAGTATATGGTGGACGAAGTTGGAAAAATGTTAAAAATGAATACTGTGTGTGTACGATACGTTATATTAATTTGAACTATTAATTTAAATTATCTTTGTTATAATATATAATTTAGACGCTATACCAGTTACAGTTACCGATTATTATATGAATGAGGCCACGTGCAGGAGGAGACGACCCTAAGTCGGTAGCAATTATCCTCATCAGCGCGTTTCATTAAACACAATTATTATTACTGCTGCGGTGTTTCCTCCATCATATCACGGAACCAAAAAACAACACCACCGTATATACAGATACGCGCCGTAGCAAGCGAATAGGAAAAAAAACTACCGCTATACGTTTTTGTACACGTAAAATATGCGAGTATTTTTCTTTTTTTTTCAAAAATAAACCACATTAATCACTTAGAGTATACTGTTAGTTAAAAAAAAAAAAAAAATCACATATATAATAATACAACTGCAGTCTGCGAGGCAATTTGCCAAATGAACGTGAAACGATGACCTCCTCTTCCCCTGGCCCATATATTGGAAGTTTACGCCCGACGTGTATCCGTATATTATATGGGTTTTCTTCCCCCGCAGCCAATTGATTTTGATTTATTACTTCTATTACACTTAGGTTTTTAAGTGCGCACGCGCGATACCATCAATCCGATATTGGTGTTATTATTGATTGATACCCATATTGTTGTTTCTTTTATTTATATATTTTTATTAGACGTGTATCTCGTTTGGTGCCCGAATGTCGTCGTCGCTCAACCCCGTATAGTGGGTGTTAATAAATTACGTATTTTTTTTTTCTTTTTGCACGAGACTCTCGTTTACAATTCCTTGTCATTATCGTTTCAGCCATAGTATTGCTTTATTAAGATGTATTTTGGCGATGCGATTTTTGGTTTATGGTTTGCTGTTGTTTGCTATTTGGTTGCAATATCGCCAAAACGTTTTGTTTACTGTACAGTATTTTATCAACGGGAAACCAATAACTGAAGACAGTAAAATGTAGTTTATAAATTTTTTTTTGTTGATTCCGACAACCTGGTTGTCAGAAAATGGATTCAAACAATTGCAGTGAACAATGCCCCCAAATCGATTTGCTACATCACGTTTTGATGTTTGATAATTTGTGCAGGTTGTGTGTGACAAAACATTTTGGTGGGTAATATTTTTGTTCATTATTAGGTATTCACGAGTAGGTATGTATTATAATAATATATACATATAATCTGTTACATTCTTGTTTTCCTAATGTCTGCGCTTCACGTTCATACGTAAAAACGCTCCGAACAAATGTTTTTTGAAAACTATTTCGTTGTGTTGATCTGATGACCGATGCCAGTGGCGGATTTATAGGGGTGGTCCAGAGGGTCTGAACCCTCTTCTCTCCAGACACTGATATAATTTCAATAAAATGTCGTCCAAAAAAAAATCATCTATTAATAGTGATACCGTTTAAATATATATTATTTTTCAGGATCACTTCTAGAAAAAAATTTTAAAAATCCGTTACTGACTAATTAAATGTCGGTTTATTCGTCGATCGCGTCTTTTTGACCCGTGAAAACGTAATGATATACTGAGATCGTATGGGCATCCTGCAAAAATGTTTTTTTTTTTCTGCCGAAACCCGCTAACATTACAATATAAATAAAAATAGAATCTTCTAAAATAATCTACTACGGTTCTCCGCCGAGATAGTTTAGCAGTAGGTAATTACAGCCAGTATTGGTAGTTTCAGTAGTGGTTGACTGCGTTTTTCCTCGATCATCATCCTCCTCCTCTTCCACCGCCGCCGCCGTCACCACCACCTCCGCGCTGCCTCATCGCTTCGGCTATCGCGTATCATCGTTTCACGGATTTATTTTTTGGAGTACGTGTAACTCAAGGTCGGAGGCAACGGCGACGGTGCTCAGTCGGTCGTTGTGCACGACTTGCGCTGAACGAATATTTTATAGCAGCCATTCCGCCCGCGCCGCCCCGCGTGAATAATAATAGTAATAACAATAACGCGCCGTTTTGGCCAGCATCATCGCTGCTGAATCTCGCGTCCGAGAACCGGATTTCGGCTGCGCGCGCGGATATTATCGACGAGGAAAATGTATTCTGTATAATATATTATGTATACGATTATTTTTTTTTTCTCCGTACGAGAACGAATAAAAACGTCGTGCGCGGGCGACCGCCTGACGTCTGTATACGTGGAAATATATAATAATACCGCGCTCGTCGCAGTTACGATGGGGATACCAAGGCGGTTACCGATGATGATAATAATAATAATAATCGTGTTTTTTTTTCTTTTCTATGTTTTTTTTTCCCATCCATCCGTCAATTTATTTATAAAAAAAAAAAAAAAATAAAATATGAAAAACCCGTGTGTTCCGGTCACGGCCGACCGACCGACCGGCTCGCTGGGGACGGTCCGGTAACAATAATTGCCACGGTCGTGGTGGTTACTGCTGCTGCTGCTGCGGCGGCGGATCTGCTGCGGCTGTTATTGTGTATTTTCCGACTGACGAGCGTAGTTGTAATGTAGTGTGGTGTCCAACGGAGCAGCGCGACACCGCCGCCGTGTATCGCATTTCGTATAGGTGCGTTTTTATGAAAATGCGCTACGCCCGCGCGCCGCCGCCACGACATATATTGTGGCGGCGGCCGACCGTGAGCGATGGTTGCGTGCCGTATTCCGAGCGGTGTCCGTTGTACGGCCGTACGGTTTTTCGACGCCGCCGTGATTATTATGTTATTGCAGTGTACGGTTAGCCGTCATACGAATATACCATTACGGGCGTCATTATTGCTGTCGTCGCCGCCGCATTACATTGTTATTGTTTTAATATTGTGATATTGCAATAATTATGGTGACGTTACGAACCCGGTTCTGTTTTATAGGACGAACCGAACTTTTCCCGGAAAAAAATAAAAAATTAACCAACTCGAACAGTATATTCAAAACCGAAACGAAAATCCAAATATAAGATTGTCAAAATTCGAAATAAACTAACGTGGTTACTCACCTGCATACTTTTGCACGGTTCGGAGACCGTTATTTTGCGATTCGACGGTCGAAGTTAATGATATATATATATATATATATATATATGTAAATAAACCAAAATAAATCCCATTGAATTTTCGTGTTTTCAGCGGTGGTTAAAGTGGGATAAACTTCGAAGGCGGGGACTATATATTTTCCAAAAATAGTGAGGGAAGTTCTAAAGAACTAAATAAACCCAACTAAACTTTTAGGAAACCTACCACGGAGACTAGACTTTCAACACGTTTTTCACCCATGCTCATTTATTCATAAAAAGTGTTGTGCTAAAAGGGGCTTAAAATAGACTGCGACCTCCGAAATAATATCATCCACGTATAACTTGCTCAGTAAAATTAAAGTAAAACGGAGTCCGATTATGTATAATCCAATAGGCATTAAATAATTTATTTTAATTAAAACGTATTTAATTTTTAAAATTTCATTAAAAATACTTCAGTGACAACCACTATTGCGTGGCCCTGAACTTCGAAACTTTAATCTAAAGTGAAAGGATAATTTTACCTTAAATAAAAAGGGTTACTCTGTTCCCCGTTGTCCTCCCACTGTAATCCACTGTAATTCCATTGGCGGATACAGGGGGGACGATCGCCTGTCGCCTCCCGTCCTTTGCCGTGTTTTCCCATTAATACTAAAACCTACCTAATATTATATTTCACAATTGTTTATATAATTTATATACATATGCATATATTTTTTTTATTATAATCCACCCCCACCTGATCATAGAGAAAATCGAACAGTTGATGAACATACAACTAATGTTGTACAAAAATGTTTAAATGAATCTTCGATTAACAGTAAACTAAATACGGTCATAATAATAGCGATCGATATTTTCTCGATTGATTCGCTCGCGGAGGTATTGAATGATTATTTTTTTGTAATTCCATTTTAACACGCATCATTCGTTTGTTAGGAGAGGTTGGTTTGGGTTGGGTAGAGATTAACGTTGTTTAATTTTTTTTTTTTTTTTTTTTTTTTTGTATTTTATTGTAATAATATATAATTGGTTTTGCGCAGTATTCAGTTAAAAATAATTTGTTAAAACACCTTGTTATGCACGTTCGTGTGAAACTTCATTGAATAATGAATAACAGTTCCTTGACGTGCATATACTTTAATTATTAATTGCACGAAGTTATAGTTTAAATTGCGTTCGTTTGATTTAATTTTTGAATTTGTATAATCGTTAAACTTTTTGCGATTCACGTATATAATATATTAAATTTTCCTAATGAATAATTGATAGGAATCAGTAATAATAACTAGTTGTAGGTAGCGTTAATATTTTTTTATTGAGTTCTTTATGTTGTTGCGCGATAGGGAAAATTGTGTAATATTTTAGAATATTTACAGTTTTAATGGCCTCTTAAATGACATCATTAGTTAATTAACTCTCAATTATTGTAGCACGTATCTTATATTTTTTTTTCAGTTAATTATATTTAATTTAAACCAAATATGTGTATTTAAGTTAAATAGAAAATGGTTTTAAGAGGAAGTTATATACATTATACATACACCCGTATTTGCCATGTCGATCAAACTACCGGCAACACAGGGAACATGTAGTCAGTATTGCCACCTTTTTGTTTTCAAAATAAAATAAATTTTTTTTTTTTTTTTTTTTTTGAAATTCCCATATAAGCTCAATTTTTTTTGAAATTTTTTGGATTTAAAACCATTCAACTTTAATGAAATGTATTAGTATACACAAGTGAAAAAAATTACGAGTGGTAGCCGTGCATTTGCTGCAGGCGTTTAGATTTAAATTAGACATGTTTTGTGTAAACAGATAATACAATAATTTAAAGAGGAGAATATTTTCGAGGGCAATAGTATAATATGATGTAGTTTTTTAAAAATATTATCAAATAAAAATTACAGCCATCATGTTAGTTTTTGCTTTTTTCAAATAGTTGTCACCTTTGTTTAACAATATTTGCGATAAACCGTGAGATCACCGTCCAATCTTTTTTTTTTTCTTTAATTTCTGTTATAACTTTCAACCGTAAAACGCGCGATATCTCGTATATAATTGCATGTTACGTAGATATTTCCATAATAATTTATTATGAGTCATAGTTGTAAAATTAGGTTAACGTTGATCTATTGTGAAAGTTTTCAGTAAAAGTATTTTTGGTGTTAACCTACTATACGAGTATAAATATGGTTTGAATATTAAGTAATGAATATTATGCAATTTAATTTTGCTATATAATTTAAATAGTTTTTTGTTTTAAAAAAACATTCATTTTTCACTCGCGTATACGCGGAAAATAATGTTGGTTTTTAAAGCAGTCGTATTACACGATAATATTTTGCGTTTTAAAAATTCGGATTTTTTTTTCAAAAATTACTACCTATATAGTGTTAATTAAGATTAAAAAATAATAATACTAATTTAAAATGTATACAATTTTATTTTATTGAGATACTTGCAAAGCTGGACAATTAAAAATTAAAAATGACTTCGAGTAACTCAATTAAGTTACATATTTACTGGGAAATAATAATTTAGTTTATAAGGTGACTGTATTTATTTTAGTTGATTTAGACACAAAAGCCAGACAAAACTGTAGGGATTATATTTGACAGATTTCAATTTTTAAAACGGATTATGATTATTTAAACTCTTTACTATGTTATGTTATTAATAAAAATTTTATTTTATAAATGGAAATCTTTTGCTTCTTACTGTTAGTAAAATTAATTAAAATTAAAAAAAATAATTCCAACTTATTCTAGTTAAGATCCTAACGAATAATGTCACGTTTTGAAAATAGAAATCCGTAAAAACGACAATAACCTTTCCCCTAAAAATTGATATTGGTCAGTAGATTAGTGGAAAAGTTTTATCAATGTGATGGTTTTTGAAATCGAATAAAAAATTTTAAATTGGAGTAATTTAAGTTAAAAGTTACTTTCATAAAATTACCCTTTGTTATAATATTACACTTATAAACGTATTTCGTATCTTCTCTATACGTGTATAGACTTGCGGTTATATCCCATATCCTTGCATAAGTCGCATGTCCGTTTTGTGATCGTGTTTTAAAGCGCACAATGTATTTCGTACTAGGTGTTTTCGATGCCCGAAATCGACATAAATAGTGGAGCGAGCTAAGCCACTCAACAATTTGGGATTTTATATTCATCGCTAGGATTCTTTTCTTTAAAATGTTTGTTTTATTTTTCGTCCAAATCGATAAAGGATCGACGAGGATCCGCATATAGCTCCTCCCCCAAGTTGAAAACTATATTTACGACTAAGTATAGTATGTCGAATATGTTTTTCGGCCGCATTAAGATAATTTTTTTTTTGTTTAATCTTTTATCGTATGATCTATAATATTTAAAACACTCGTTTATTGTTTTATTAATATATACTCCCTCGCTTATTTAAAAATACAGCGTTACTTCCGGCGTTTAAATTGGATGTGGTAAAAATTTTTTTTTTAGCAATTATATTTCATGGTCGTCATCCGAATTTGTATACAAACAACATCAATATGCAATGTTCTTATACATTTTTTTTTTCATCACACATCGAATGGCCGAATTGTAGTTAGGTACTGTAATTTAACGCTTTTGCCGTTCCTATATATGCATATAATATATTTATTTGTATAAATAAATAGTATTCTTATATACACACAAAATTTAATTATACGTGTAAAATGTTATTTTACGAATACCGAGCACATAATATAAACGTATACAGGGCGATCAATATGATGAAATTGACTCTCATTATCTCGGAAAGTATTCTATGAACTTTTCAGCATTTTTGTATTGGACAATTAAAGAAATAAGCAACTATTAAGCGTTATATAGCCCTTATTTTTTGTCACCCTCATATTTGGGGGTAAACCATAATATCACATTTTGATTTTCAAATGAAAATTTATATCAAAAATCATTTGAGTATTACAATGTGGTGTAATGTTATATTTCTGTTATAGTTAATGTTTCTTAATTTTTTTTTTTTTTTTTTTAAATCCATAAAAAGTAAATTATTATTTTCCTAATTAACGAGGTACCATCCTGTATGTAGACACTTTGAGTATTTTAACGTGAATATAATTACTTAATACCTGTGTGTGTGTTATTGACTTATTGTGATGTCTTCTATGTACGTGTACATACTTAGTGATGATTATTACTGTCCATAGTATGTAACATCGACAGCAGCACCCGTAAAGTCAATTAGGTAATGTGCCGCGGCTATGTGTGAATTTAAGTCGGAATTTGTGTAATATATTCCATGTTTTTAAAACGACATATCAAAAAAAAACTGTTGACAGCATCAGCTGTACGTGCGGCGAGGAGAGGACATGATGTTCACGCCTATACAAAAACTCAAACCACACGAGTGTACAGTTCTAAAGATATCTCGATTCATCGTGTTTGTCTAAATATATTATATTATGAGAGGCAAAGAAATTACCAGCTAGAATGAGCTTTGCTTTTTTTTATTCATATTCTATAACTATAAAACACTACGGCGTGAAATCGTAGTATTTTAGTGTCGTGTATCGTTCATTTGCTCCTCGACAATATTTATGCTACGTGGAGTGTGTGCACAGTACATTATAATATGATCGTATGTTGGACATTTTCCGTAATTATCTTGCATATAAAATTGAAATTCTGTCCGTTCGTCCTGTCAGTTATACAAGTCTACAGTTTTATTCCGATCATCATGAAACTTTGCATACTCGACATTTAAAACAAGACCAAAGTCGTTGTCTACTTCTATCTCGAAATTCGATCCCTAAATGGTGGTTGATTCAGGTAGTGTTTTTGATATTTTTGGAACGAACATTTATTTATGGGTTGCCTTGACGACACGGGTGAAAAAAACTGATCAATATTATTAGCGTGATTGTCGCAGACTATGTAGGAAGTAACAATTTTAAAAGATATAAATTGCTGAGCAACAATGATAAATTGCGATATGGTTATCCACGGTTAATAAACGAAAAGACACGTAAAATTGAATTTCTTTTATTGATGTCTGTTTTTGAAAGGATTGAGCCCGGTAAATATCGGGTAACTCAGTTATTTCTATAATAATAACAATAATTATACAATTAAATTATCTCGGTACACGTGTATGTTTATTTGTATACTGTATATTATAATTAATTGATTTACTATATATACATACGTTTTATAAATCATCGTTTAGTCGATAAATGTATGTTTTACAAACAAAAACCAGAATGTTTGTTAATCAAATGATTGTATGTACCGCCGCCGGCCACAAATACTGCGAGTCCCTTTTATTTTGGCCAAATGTTGTTCTCTTCTGGTCGTGCTACAGTAGCATAGTGTAGGAATTTTGGCCGTATTTCAAAAAATGTCTATGTTTATTCGGTTGGTTGACTAGATAGTGTTAAATAAACGTTTATAAATTTCGTAAAAAAATATCAGTATATATACCTATATGATTATTTTAATATAACGAAACTTGGAAAATCGTACCATTTATTTAACTGGAGTGTTTATTTTTGTTTACAGGCAAAACTTATTGCAGCGGTTGCAAGAAAAAGTGTTCCGGAGAAGTGTTGAAAATTAAAGGCGACAAATATTTCCACATCGAATGTTTTAAATGCACGGGTAAGTTCACGTTGTATACCTATTATATTAAGTACTTCTATTACTATAATAGAGTTTACTGTAAAAATATGTGAGTTAATCGTTGTCGTGTGCAATAAAAATTTTCGAACAACACTTAAAAATATTATAACTTTAAAGTTTACATAAGGGTTATCAATAATAATTGTACAAAGAATTTAAAATATTCTAAGAAAAAACGGGTTAGCACTTAAATTATGTTGAATATTTTTAGGCGAAGTTTACAATGTAAGGTGTGCACTCGAGATAGTAATATTTTATATGATATTTATATTATATTATTGAAATTTATAATAATTAATGTTTCAAAACATTTATTTTAACTATTCTGTTAGATTTTTTTTTTAAAACACTTATAATTAGTCCTCCGCCTTTAATTACAATGGCTACAAAACAAATTGCATTATGTCTCTTCGTATTCGCCTAATGACATGCAAATCTCCAGAGCTTAATACAACTTTTCAACAATACATCAATATATATTACTATAATATATTGGATACGAGGATAATAGATATGTTATAATACGTCATCAGAGTCAGTTTTAAGGTGATTGGCCATGGCTAGCACATCACAATGTATGTACACTTACTGCAACAATTCCACTGTCGCTATCAATCAAGAGTACAATGACATGAGTAGGCTTATTGTTGTCAGGCATACATAATTGTTATAAAATTCCATTTGTAGCATGATGAAGAGCATAATATTATTTAATTGTAAATTTAAAACTCATAAAAACATGCTACCTACCTATTAGTTTACAATTATGTGTTATTTATAGATTGCAACCGGTCATTGGTCCAAGGATTATTTTTTTCTGAAGAGGGTAATTGGTATTGTCCCGATGATTATCAAAAATTATTTGGCAAAAAATGCACCGTATGCAATGATTACATAAAAGACGAATTAGTCATTGTTTTGGGATTGACTTACCATCAACAGTGCTTTACATGTTCCCATTGCAGGTAATATGATAACTAAATTTAAATATTCTAGGTTAGTCTATTAGGTTTAGTTTTAATACCTTAGATAGATAAACTCTGTAGTTTATAATGATATATAGTTTAATAAGTGTTTAATATGAAAGATAAGAAATTAATTGTATGCTACTTAAAATTAGATTGCATTTATTTTCTAAATTTCAAACACTTATGAAATATAAATGATACATTGTGTGCTATGTTCTGTGTATTCAAATTGTCTGAACAATATTCTGTTTGGTACATACATTTTAAAATAAACTTATTAAAAACCTATATTAACAAGAAATTATGTTATTGTAGACAACCTTGTCCAAAAGGAGATCTAGTCACATATGTTGGAAATTCTATTCTTTGCTCCAAATGCAAGGAAATTCCAGTTAAACGACCTGCGTCTGCCCAATCAAAACAAAATAGCACGGGTGAAACTGGTATATATACTAGTTTATCTTGAGATAATAAAATAACATTTTTGAATAATATTTTTTAATTCAAAAATCTGGATTTTAGATTGTGCTCAATGTGGTGAAGATTTAAGAAATGGACAAGCATTGTATGCTTTGGATAGACAATGGCATATCTATTGCTTCAAATGCCATGAATGTTCTGCTGTACTTCATGGCGAATATATGGGAAGGTGTGTATTTCACAATATTGATAGTCAATTTTTACAGTTTATATAATTACTAGATTTTAAATAATTTGGTCTAATAATAAGCTAATATTTATTTGTATAATAATTTAAAATTTGTTTTTTTTTTTAAATTGAACTTGCCTATTATAGCAATATGTTATGATAATAATTTGTGGAATTTCAGGGATGGTGTTCCTTATTGTGAAAAAGATTATCAAAAACTTTTTGGTGTCAAATGTACATATTGCAATAGATTTATATCTGGAAAAGTTTTGCAAGTATGAATTGTTATTTATTAATTGAATATAATCTATAATTTTATATTAATTTCATAGGTATAATAACATAAATTTTATTTTAGGCTGGTGATAATCATCACTTTCATCCAACATGTGCAAGATGTGCTAAATGTGGTGATCCATTTGGAGATGGTGAAGAAATGTATTTACAAGGTAATGACAAGTTTAAATAGTTTAAATAATTTGATTTTATTTAGGTAATGAAATAATTATAGCTGAATAGAACTAATAAATCAAAATGTTTGTTTAGTGAATATTTCATGTTGTACTATTCAGAGTTAATTTGACAAAATTTAAAATACGTGACACACCTTATATATTCGTATATTCATTTGTTGTTAAAACTAATGCATTTTAAATATTTTATAGGAGGAGCAATTTGGCATCCGCGTTGTGGCCCTAGTCCGAATGAAAATGGCACTATAATAAATGGAGGTAACTAAAATTTAGTAAACAAAATGTAAAATAACACTTGCCATTACACCTAATTGACCCTCAATCATCATTATAACACTTTATTATCACTAATTTAGTGCTTTTCACTGTTTCGCTGTTTCTGAATTTCCATTGTACTTAAACTTTTGTTTAGAGTTTGCTAAGTACAAAAATGAAATTATTTTGTTTATCTATTAGACCATTATATTTACTTTACAAATACCAACAATGGGTTTTAATTGTTTAGGCTTGGGTGTATCACCTGTATTATATTGAGAAATTACTATCAATTTTATTTTCATTACATTGCCCAAATAACTGAATAATTTGAGTAAAAAAAAAAAAAAAAAAATGTAATCTTTGATATAAGTGATATTACCCAAACCAGAATAATTACATAGTTTCAACATTCTCCATATTTATCTTACTGATACAACTTGTAAGCATATATATTTTACATAAATATGTGTGTTGTCATAGGATCAAGTGCCATGCTTAACGGACATGACCCTGAAGAATATGATAGAATCAGTTGCTCAGCTGCTAGTGAAACACAGGTAACATTCTTAAAACTACTTACAGCTTAATATTTTCAATTTTTTTCCTGTAGTGTTTATACAAGTTAATATTTTCGAATGTAAGGATTTCATATTGCTCATGCAATTTTTTTTATATTATTTATTTTTAATTTAGTGTGTTAATTATTATTTTATTAGTAGATATCTAGATGTATATAAAGATATTTGCAATCTATAAATTATCATATGTATATTAATTTTAGTTTCAGCAATTTTTTTTTTTTTTTATTATTATTATTATATTTTTATTGCACATCAAGCATTTATTTATTATTTTAGTAGACTTTTTTTAGATGCTTTTATTTAGTTTGTGTATTTCCAGTTTTCATTACGATCACGATCTCGTGCTTCAAGCTTTAATGGTTCATGTTATAATGGTTCATGTAATAGTATGAGTAGAAAGGTTAGTACTACACAATCAATTTTGCTTCGTAATATAATTGTACAGTTGTATTAAATCATAATTTATTAAATTTGTGATTATTAATTGATTTATCTAGTTATTTAAATACAATTTTTTTTTTAATATATTTGAATTTAATAGCATTATTATCGTGATATTCCTGGAAGCCCTGGATTGTTACTCCGGGAGTATAAAACGCCTAATGCACCCATAAGCCGTATCTATACATATAGTTACTTAACCGAAGAGCCAACTCAAGGATATTTAAAACGCCCGATAGATCCATACGATAAACAACCCACATCACCTCATTTCCACAGACCAACATGTAAGATTTATTTATTTTTTATTGTTTAAAATAAACTTATATGCATATTGCATGTTTTATATAAATAGTTTTTTCAGCATGTGGTAGTGTACGTGGCAGTAGTAAGTGTTCAACTTTACGTTCGGCTGGTAGTCGTTCCGGTATGAAAGCTTTGGTAGACAGTATACGATCGGAGACCCCTAGACCAAAATCACCACATAGTATGAATAATGAAGAACCTATAGAATTAGCTCACTATCCCGCTGCTAAGCCACCAGCACCCGGCGAAAAACCAAAGATCGAAAGGGACGATTTTCCCGCACCGCCGTGTCCTTATACTGATCCAGGTGAATATTTAATTATTAAAATTAAATTAATAACCTTTATAACAGTGTTTTACTCGCTTAGAAAAACGTAAAATGTGGTTTGACAATTATAAGGGTATATCTGATGATGAGGATGAAGTAGATCAAAAAATGAATGCTGATAAAGGAATTGACCCTAAACTAAAAGTATGTTACTAGCACTGAAATGTACTTAAATTTAAATTGTTTTTAATTTCATATTATTTTTATGTAGAAAGAAGAGGAAGAACTAAGTAAATTGGGATCAGGAATTGGAAAAGTATTTTTGCAAGAAGTTCGGGAACGTGAAAAACATCAAAAATGGAAAGTTTCACACATGGATCCTCGTAATGCTTCGAGATGTCCTTCTGCTGCACGAGAACCAGCTTATCGGCTTAGATATCAGTCACCAATAAATGCTTGTAAATAAATTTCAATGAAAATCTTATGTTTCATAGGTTTCATATTATTTTACTCCATCATTGTGTAAACTGTTGAGTAAACAAAAACACGTTTTTGAGTGTATTGTTCCCAATATCTTGCACAGAAATGATACTTATTACTGGAGTAATACTAAATTGTTGTATTTAATTCTATACAGCGCCATCCCGTAATTTGGACCATTAGAGACCTTGGGAAGAAGAAGGTTACTTAGATTCGAGTTACAGATCATCAGTCGGACAGTCTACAGGTGCCATTCCCAGTTACAATAGTAAGTTTTACAGTAAACTACTATTTTACTTTTCATAATATCTACATAGACAATTTATGTAAATTAAATAATATGTATAATATTAACTTATATTATACATATTATACATTAATTTATATTCAATTAAAGCCGACCTTCTGACTATAATATTAACAACAATTATTTTTAACTATTAATATATCATATATTTGTTATTAATATTATTATTAATTTTATTTCTTTATATATCAAAACATAAAACAAGTGTCTCATTTAATTTTAAAACAAAATGTAAGTTTTAATTAATAACATAATTTTTCATGAAATAACTTTTAGAATAAGTAATATTTCATTGACATTACTTTTGTTTAAACTTTTTATTTTTTATTTTCACGTTGCTTTCTATTTTATTTTACCCATTTTTTATAGTTATTCTCAATAAATTATTTTACTAAACTGTATTGATAATATTTTTGTTTTGCTTTTCTATCTAATTAGTTATTACTTGTCTTTATTTTTGTACACTTGTATTATTATTGTTTTGCATATTTAGTATTGTGTGTGGTAATTTAATGGGTTAAATATCTTTAGTATTTCCCAATTTCCTATACATCTTGATAACAAAGAAGTTAATTTTAACCACATAATTAGTACATTGAATTATTAAAACCAAACTAATTAAATACTTCTTGACTAAATATTAAAAATAATTATGATTGAAGTAATTAATTCAATTTTTCAAATAGTCAATTAGGCAATAAACTAACATACTGTTTGATTTATTAATTAACTATACAATTTTACTCTTAGTACATATTTAATATTTGTTAATATTTTTGTTATTTATAAATACTCTTACAAAAGTATTTTATTGAATTAACATAGTTTTTAAGTATTATTTCATAGATATTATTTTTCAATTTATTAGTATCTAACACATTTTACCGCTTGCTTTAAAAGTTTTCTTAATTTTAGTTCATTGATAGAAATATATATATATATATTTTAATAAAGAAACACATTTTAAATAATATGTATTGTTATATAAAAGTAAAGAAGTCTAAAATATATAACATAGATCTCCATTATTTTTTAAATTTAAAACAATAAAATTATATTATTATTTTTTAAAATGTCTTAACAAGTTAATTCAACCTGATTTTCCAAACAATTTTGTTTTTTTTAAGTGTCACTTAATTCATTAAAAAAAAAATTTGTATGACATTGCATATCATTTCAGTAGTTGCCTTGGTTTTAATATTTGTACTGCATTTTTTAATCTGTGTTATAATAGTATAAACATAAAACACAATTTGTCTAATATTAAATGTTTGTATTAATTGTTGCTTGGCATTATTTGTTTGTTTTTGTTGCATGGTGTGTTATTTGTTTGTAGTGTACTATCATGGTCATCATGGGTCGGCTATAATGATGAGGGCTGGCCGCAAGTCGTGCACTCTTCCAGCCGGCTTCCACGGTGGCCCTGGAAATTATGTTCGGGTAAGTAATACGTAGCCATTGTTTTTCTGTTCTTATGTTCACAGTCGTAAGTGCACTACGTCACGTACCCAAACCCGGCTATGGCTTGGCGCCTAGTCGACGGTCAAATACTTTCAGCTCAGCCTACTACGTCAAAAACCCTTTGGTATGATGAGCAATTTGTTTATATTTTGTATTATGCCTCAGAAGTAACGCTCTAAATTTCCAATCATGCAACATGTGATATTTATGAATATCAAAATAGTCACCACATTCATTTATTAACTATTCAATAGTATCAAATTTTTTTTTAAAAAAAATACAATCTTTATTTATTCATACAATTCGTATTAAATTTATAAGTTATTCAAAATTTAATTCTTAATTTTTCAATCAAATATTATCTAATTTTATTTTATATTTTTAGGATGGGTTTTCCATTAACGGCTTAGACAATAAAACACTTAGCACAGATTTTAACTGCGCTAGGTCTGACGGTAAGTGCTTATTAGTTTATTAAATATTAAATTCTACACCTAATTCATTACTATTTCGGTGTATATAGTTTTTACTTATTTGATGGTGATTACTTGATATTGTATTAGAAAATGGTTTGTTTTTTTTTTTACATTTTATTTTAGATACAAAACAATATCAGTATTATTATTTTTTGCCCAATCCTACTATAAAGCTTTTACAAAATGCAGTGCATGTAAGCAAAAGCATATACATATACAAGCAAAAGCTTTTTTTTTTTATTCAATATTTTTAATTTCACTAAGCTAGAATAATATCTCATATTTGTTATAAAAATTAAATATTATGTTAGGTTTAAAATTAGCTAGTCAAGGTTCAGGCTTTAATAATATTTAATTGTATATTCCAAAAATATTTTAAGGTTTTAGGGATATTAAATAAAATAGGGAAATAGGTTGATAAGGTTTTTTATAATATATATATCATATTTATAAGAAGCTTTTATTTTATATTTTAACATGACTCCAGAAACATGTATAAACATTTTACTTATTGTTTGCGCCTACAATTTTAATTTATACATATATGCAAAACAAGGAAAGTAATATTCAGACAAATAAATGAGTAGAGTTTTATTAAAACTCTGATTTGTTTTCAAACAAGTTGTGACGAATCCAGTTTTAAGGTCTCTATGTACTTTATAATTTGTAATATTAAATGAATTTTATTTATTTGAAGTTATTTAAAATTAAAAGTTGTAAAAGTGTAATGAATTATATTTATCAGTATAAATTATTCATTGCAGTTTTATACAATGTTTTTATAGGTATAAAAATTTTTAATGTTTAATTTATTTACGCATCCAATATATTATAAACTGAGGGGCAGAAGTTGTCTCATGGCACTCAGCTAACCCTTTGATAGCCAATGTAACTAATATATACTATATTTAAAATAACTGTTTTTATTTTAATGGTAAAAAGAAAAAATTGTATTTAAATTTAAATTTCTACTATTTGAAAGTATAGTAGCAGCATATTTTTGTAGTTTTTCTTGTATATTTTTTCAATTTTTTATAAGAATAATAATAACTACTGTTTCAATATTATTTATGTAAATATCTTTGGCAAACAATAAGTAATAATATATATTATAATGCTGCCTGATGACATGTAGGAAAAATAAATGCGTGCTTATACTAATCTTGCTTGTCTGTTTTGGTGCAGTTTCTGCCGGATCTATATCTGAAGTGGATCAAGGCAACACGGTACGTAGACTTAAAAATGTGGGATCACATTCTAATCTGTTTTTTTTCTTCAAATTAAAATGTATATTTAATACAATCAAAATTCTTCAGAACTAAGCTATTCTCAAATAATGCTTGCTATTTTATCTTTATCTATTAATGATAATGTTAAACCTGTCATATATTTGTTATGAATATAATTAATTTGATTTTGTAATTATGTGTATAGTGTTCTGAAATACCAGCATCATCTACATTTACCGGATCGTTACGCTATGTCACTAATATTCATCGTTCACTACCTAACATGTCTTCGTCGCACCACAGCTCTGAACCTCCAAAAATCTATCCATATCACTTGTTACTCATTACAAATTACAGGCTGCCTTCGGACGTTGATAGATGTAACCTTGAAGTAAGTTCTTCATAATTATTATTTCTTTGTAGGTATATATTTAAACCAAATCCATATTTCATGTATACGTATTTATTTTGCAAGTGTGTAGTTCACTATTAAATTAAGTGGTATTTTAGAGATCAGTTATTATTGACAATTATAATATTTTTGTTTTTATTGATTTAAACACTTCAGATTAGTTGATAAAAATTAGAATTTTAGATGCAAATACTCTTTATAATAAATGTACTTGGATTAATTTAGGACTAATCTCTGATTAAAATAATTATATTCTTTCTTTCAAATTATCCTAAATTTAAAATAAATATATTTAAATATACAGTTGTCAATTAGTTTAGACCAGAATTTATCTATTTAAAGTAATGTAACTTGTTTTTCTTTTACTTTGAAAATATAATTATACAGGGGTCATAAGACTCTGTATTTAACAAATGTAATAACTTTTTTTTATTACATATTTTCAAGTTGTTTTGTAATATTTACTAAAGCTCTGTGTTATAATTTTTATTTTATAAATTTACAACAAAAAATAAAAAATTTACATTTTTTTATGATATAAAATAGTTGTTTAACAAACTGTTATTGTTTAAACTATTAGGTTACGTCACTAACTTTTAAAGTTTGTTAAAATACAAATTAATTTCCTGTTAATTTTATTAACAATCAATAAATAGCACTCTTCAGGCTTACAATTTAAATTAAAATGTATTATCTAATGTATTAGTGTATTATCAAATTGTAATCATTAATTAATGTAAATTCTTATAAATCAAATTAACCATTTTAAATTTTAAGCATTAAAAAAATATCATATTTCACACAAATATAAAAATTATTGAGAAAAAAAAAATTAACTTAGTTAAAGTTTTTGAATCAACATTTTTCTAGAAATAAGATTTTCAAAATAGCTATCTTTATTTTCTTTTTAAAATTTTAAATACAATTTTACATTTTTATTTCAAATTCTTAAACATTAAAATTTAACTAAAAAATATTGAAATTATAGCACCAATAGGTAATATAATTTTTTTTTAAAAAAAATGTTTAAAATATTCAATAGAAAAAAAATAATTACATTTTGTATACCTAAATTTTTGTTTTATTTTAAAATTGTTTAAAGAACATTATAATTTATAATTAAAATAATAATATAATGTTTTATCACATTAACTACCTAGTATTTTAACTAAATGTGTGTATGTTCACAGCGTCACTTATCGCCTACAGAGTTTGAAGCAGTTTTCCAAATGTCTCCAGCTGAATTTTATCAATTGCCTAAATGGCGCCGCAATGAACTGAAGCGTAGGGCACGCCTGTTTTAAATTCCAAATTCACATATTGCCATACATTAGAAGAAGGCAAATATATAGGCTTCTTAATTATAAACTTTATCTTAGCAGCTTAATTATGAACTATGACAATTATTTTGTAACAGCCAGTTACATTCATATACCATGTTTTTCTTCTTTTTTTAAAATCTTTTTATTCTAAAAATAAATTTTTTTTTATTTAAAAATATATTTATGACTATATTTTATTTTTGTTAATCGACACTCAACAAGTTTTCATTAAATTATTTAATCGTATATGAAATGGTGTATAATTTATTGTATTATATAATATATATTAATAAAAATTTTGATGGCTTATATTGTTTTTGTGATTTATTCATAACAATTGTAGTATTATTAGACAAAATATATAATGTATTTATATAATTTTAATTACATTTTATTTAGATTGTATTTGGTTTAATATTATTTGATTTGTATACATTTTGTTGTTATGATCACGTCTATAAATATCTACAGATGTGATTAAAAATCAACAATCTGTCAAATAAGTTTATCATTACAAATGTAAACCTAACAATTAACGTGTCAGATATCATTATAAACTAACGTTTTATATAATAATAATTATGTTACACAAAATATTCAGCAAATCAAGAGCATGCCTTTTTTTGCTTTTACTTTATGTAAACATTATTTTGTGTTTGATAAGCCATGCACTATTTATTAATTAGACAACTATAACAAAGTTCCTTTGTGATAAGGAGATATTTTTAATAAAAATATTTATGTATTATTATAATATATTATTATATTTTTGTAAGTATACTAAAGCTTTGATATAGCATTATTAGTTTTAAAATAATTGAATTATTTGCCAACAACACCGAACTTGTACAGTTCCAAAGCTATATTGAATTTATACTAGTTATATAATATAATATATAATGATAGTTGTTACAGTTTCTTTACATATATATTTTATTATGGTAATAAAATGTAATGACATTTTTTCCAAAATGTTATTGACATTTAATTAATAGGTAATCAATGTGCAATTTAAAATCATCTTTTTATTTATTATTCTTATAATTTTTTTTTCATATAATATATTTAATACAAACCTAACATTATATATTTATTTATGAACATTGATTATACACATTTGCAATAAACAATTTTTATATATCAGTAACTTGAATGTTTTTGGTGCTAGTCTTTTATCGAGTCACAGTCTATGGACATGAATTAATTGAAAAACAATATTACAGTTATTATGTACTACTATATTTGTATGCTTTTGTTTAATTTTAATTTTATTTATTTAAATTAAAGTGATTTATCTGAGTATGTAATATATTGTTTTTTTTAAACACAATAGTAAATGTATTATATTTTATAAAAAAAAATGTAAATCTTATTTTATTTTGATAACAAAATTAATTATATTTACTTAACAATAATTAAAAACAATACTTAGATAAATCACTATGGAAAAGCAAGTAGCTATGTTTCTAAGATTAAGCGATATAAGTTTATTTTATCATTTATATTTTTTTTTTTATTATATTTAATTTATACTATATTATTGTCAGGCTTAACAAATAAATACAAAAAATTGAAACAAAATTATTATATTGTATTTATTTAAAAACCATAAAAATAATACTAACATAATTTAATATGCAAAGAAATTTTGGTTTTAAAAATTAGAGATAATAAAAATATTTGTTGACTTAAAAGTACCACGGTTATGATTCATATTTGATATAATGTATCTATAGAAAATAGTTAGCTTACAAATTTTCCGAATAAAAATTCTCAAATGATGAACATTTTTTTTTTTTAAATTTCAAACCAAAATTAAATATTATTATGATTTGTGTTTTTATATATATTTGTCTAAAAATACCTTTTACCAGAAATTTCACTCAAAACTTCAATTGCAGGTGTGGTTTCTGGTAGGTAGCAAATTAGGTATGTTTAGTTAGTTGATCAGGGGTATGGTTTTTTGATTTTCCTTGAAGTTTTCTTAATAACTGGGAAAACCCAGTAATATTTATATAATATTGGTTTCTATTATTATCAAATTTATTTTATTGTTGTAATTTGATTAAAAATAATCATAGCTAGTCTAAAATTTACACCAAATATTTATATTGGCCTTTACTTGACATAGAATTTTCAGAATGTTATAGTAATTTTTAGATATTTAATGTCTAGTTTTATTTACTTAGTTTTAGGTCTTAAAATATAACTACAGAACACATTATATGTCCACTATGTCCTTTTGTATAGTGCATAATTATGGTAGTTGATTTGGTTAATATTGACATGTTATTTGTAATGTAACATCGTACTAGGTATTAAAAAATAGATACTTACCTATATGTGCTGTTAGTTTTAATACTAGACTGTAAAAGTGAATTGAACAATTCAATTATTAACCTTAAAGACAAGAACATTATTTGTACAACAATGAATGTTTTTCGATAGGTTTTATAGGACACATAAATAACTAATGAACAGGTAGGTACTTAATGAAAAAATGAATAAATGGAATTAAAAATAAATCAATATTAGTATATCATTCGTCATCCAGTCAAAAGTATGGCGAATATTGAGTTGGCAAGCAATTAATTATTTAGGAAACTATTTAGCCATTTAGGAATATTGGCTCCTAATAACATGAAATATTTTTCAAATATCAGTTCTCAAAATATATACCTACTGAGACGTGATACATTTTTAGATAATCTAATTCAGAATTTCTAACACTGGCTTAATATTTAGATTTCAACATAGGTATATAAATATAAATTTAAGCTGATAAACATAAGCTAATATAACAAGGTATAAATAAATCCATATTTTGATTTTTAAATTATTACCTTTTATCTTTTTTTTGGTTTATTGATTTTTTTTTTTTAACATTAAATAAATGATAATTTTGACAATATACATAAAATACCTAATATTGTAATAGGTAATTTGTAATGAAGTAATATTGGAAACAAGTATTTCAGAAAGAATGTGTAGGGAGCTACTTACTTCAATAACCAGATTTTAGAAGCCAATTCAATTTCAACAATAGATATAATATGTTATTTTTATTACATTTTTTTGATATTTAATTATTTATCATTTTATAACTTGTAAATAAACTAAAACTATAGCCAAATAATTATGAAGGCATGAAGCTATTTATGTATGGTAACTGCTCACATTTTATTGATAACTAGAATTAAAATAGATTATAGAAATAAACAATAATTATTCTTAGTTAATTGATGTGTGCCTATTTACATTACAATTTACAACAGCAACCGAATTCAATAAACTAATATTGTTAAATAAACAAAAAAGCTAAATAAAATTGGCATTAATAAACCGAACATTTTTTTATTAACAAAATATCGGCAAGTATAATAAAAAAAATTAAAAAAGGGTTCCGGTTTCAATATTTTCAAAAGGATTCGGTTAAAATACCGATATTTTAAACTTCGGTCCCGAGCCTTGCTCATAGTTATTCATATTTTAACCGTGAATTCATCTTCGCACACTATCATACGACCGGCTCAAAAACCTAACCTAACCAAGATGGCTCTGCCGCGACTTAACGATCACTCATGGAACGCGTTCATTGGTTCACTGATGACACCGCGGACCTTTTAGATCGCCGACGACACCGATGAAACTCTGAAAATCCGTGGCGCCTCTCTAACTTTTCAGTTTTTGTCCGGCTTCGGTTACGAGTGGTTCGCGTATCGTCTTGGGTGGTGTTTAAACGAAAGCTTCATTGGCTGTAGCTTATTGGACTTGGACCGCAGAATTGCCCGCAAAATCTATAATAACTAATAAGGGAACAAAATCGGGATTGAATATGTCTCTATATTCGTGATACGGCCAATATAAACTAAATACGGATCTGCCGCGTATAACGTAATATTTAATTATTCAATGTTTCTGTTTTGTGTAATTGTTTTTTTTCTCTGCGGTAAATAGTGTAGTGTCGATCGGATTATCAAGACTGGAAAACAGTAGTGTTTTGTGAAAACAGATAGCTATAGAGCATTTGATTGGTGAGTGCTTGAAATTTTCACATTTTAACCTACAGGTACCCACTCTAGTAGGTACCTATGCCAATTTAATTATGTTCAAATTTCCAAAAACGATTTTTTTTAAATTTTTTTTTTTTATTTAGGCATTGTTAATGAGTGAAATAGATGTATAATTAATAATAATGAAATCTAAATTCACGGTACCTATGTAGACGTATAGTAAATGCAGCAAGTGAAGGTTTTCTATTGTCACCCATGATGCCCATATATCTTGTTTTGTGGCTAAAGTGAACTTTATCACGTAGACAACTTTAGCTTATGAATTTTAATTTTTTTTTTCAAACACCGAATCTAAAAATATTTAAATTTTTTACGGAAACCATTATTAAAGAAATTATTACAATAAACGGCAATAATAAATGCAGCCTAATACTATGCAGTTTAATACCATTGCTCGGTTTTTGATTTTTTTTTTTTTCAAAATGTGTTCAAGATATTAAATTTAAAAAAATGTTCTAACAAAATTGTCGCACTTTTTTGAACTTTTCGATAACTTTTATTTTAGAAATTATAACAATTTGTAGTCTGTATGTCATTATTATACAAATACATAATACACAAACACGAGACTGAACATTATACTCCCGCCACTTCCGTAAATTGGTACAGTATAATATTTTTCGTTTTTTCCCTTGTTGTCTACCTCATACCTAAAGTAGATTTGCAAAACACTGTGTTTGTTAAAGTCATCCTTAGTATTGCCTACCCATATTAAAATTAGATAGATTTGGAATTTATCATTTTTTTTTATATTTATTTTTAAAATCAATTTAACATATAATTTCTGTTTAATTGTATTGTATTTATTGGGTAGGTATAATAATTTTAAATTTACTTTGTTTTTGTTTTTGAAGATATCTAAAAGATTTACTTACCTAATTATTTAGTCTTCTGTTGCTCATACAGGATTAGTTATTGGTTTATATAAATTTGAATAATTGGGGTTATTATGGTTCTTTGATTTTAATGTTTAGGTTGTGTTGTTTGGATAATATTTGATATAAATATTTCAAAAGTATTAGCATTTTTTCAAATAAACAGTAAATAAATATTTTTCTTTGTTCTTATATATTTTGAATGATTTATACAAATTTATATTATGTTCTTCAAATATACCTTAATATATGATTTTGAATCGTGAAATTTTATTTTTTCAAATCATTACAATAATATTAACTATTTATTTTATAGTTAACATAACTTAAAAGAGCTTAAATTTTTTTTCTTTTTTATTACTTTCATCTAGGTACTTAAATAGCAAAACAACAGGTAGGTATTTATTTAGCAATTCGTTTTAATAAGAATTTATAATTTTTAATTTATATACAATTTTATTAACTATTTCTTGTTTAACTATAATAATATCTGGGATAAATGTAATTTTTAATTTGATTTAAAAAATATATTGAGTTTTCAACTTAAATTGAATCAAGGTTTTATATGTAGAACTTTTTGTTTAGGTAGGTAAAATTGAAATCTATTTTTTATTTATTAATTCCCCTACGTATATTGTTTGATTATATAATATTTTTTAGATAAGGAATTTTAATTTTAAACATAAATAATAATCAAGATATTCATAAAATACATGGACATTGCTTAATTATTTACCTTTTTGTAGCCTAATTTTGTATATTTACTTTAATATCATTATGTGGTTTTCTTTTTTTTATAGATTTCATTCTTAAAATTTTATTTCTTATTTTAAATTTAAAAAAAAAAAATTAAATGAAAACTTTTTTTAAAATTTTTCCATTTTTTTGGATCCTAATCTATATCATGGTACTATTTTTACCGTAAAGTTCGTTGGGCTCTTAACAAAAAGTGTACTTCGTATACATTTTCAGTTAATAGAATATCGAAAAAAATATGCAATATTAATAAGTAATGTTTAAAATAATACACCATAAAAGTTCTAGCAATACTTCGTAATTATAAGGCGATAAAAGGCCTGAATACCAGAGAAGTGCTTTAGTTGCAATAAAAGTTAATTAGGTATGTACTCGTATACTTAGTATTTACTTGATTCGGAAGGCTTGACCTTGTTGGAAAATGAAGCTCAGTGTATAAAATTTGCCAAAGGTGTTGTGAAGGGTTGTTTATATACTATTTGCAGATTGCAATAATAAATCATTATAAATAAAACATTATTCCTAGTTAAAAGTTATATTAGTCGGGTTTTCTCCTTTGTTTCCAATGGAGCTCAAAAATCAATACATTTAAAAATTTAACGTAGAGGTGAATTGTTGAAAATATCAATAAACGTTTCATATAAAGTTAATATTGTATATGTACTTTACTTATGGGCAGAAGTATCATATTTTTTCTGCATCTTTTGAAGTTAGGTTAGGTCCACATCTTTCTAATGACAAGAAAAATTGGAAAATGCTTAGGTACTAACCAAAAGTGTTTTCGGAGAAAAACTCATGCTAGTAAAATATTTACTTCTTCACTACACTCAGAATTCGAAATGTTATTTTGATCACTGATAAATCAATTATATTTGATGACCATATCTATATATTATTATTATATATATTATGTTAAAATGAATCGTTTTTTTGTTGCTGACGACATAACTTGAAAATGGATAAACCATATTTTTTTAATTAATTTTTTATGTGTTCGTATTGTCAATGAAAAGATTTTTATGAAAGAAAATTTTTGGAAAATCTCTTGGAAAAGTCGTAAATGTTTATGGTAGTTTAAATTTTTGAATTAAAATCTCAATACTTTTTAGATTCTGAGTGGAGCGATGAATGTATTGGTTTACAATAATATTTATTTTTTTTATACAAGAAAGCTTACTCGGTTTATCAAGTATAGTACCTCTTCTGAAAGGAAATGTTCTCTGGATGGTACTTTACAGAAGTCATTTTTTGAAATTCTCTTTAATATTCGAGATAATGAGGAAAACCTGGTTCTTTAGGTTAAAAAAGATTGAAAGATTAAATATAAGGTTGCCATTGACAATCGTTTTTATAAATTTTTTTTTTTATTATTAAGTTTTTATTTTTTAAATTTTTTTTTAAACAATCATTGTTGTCACGGAAACGCACATTGTTTTAATCATTTTACAATAGTATGACATAATATCATATATTGTATTGTTGACAAAGCAACATTATCAACTGAACTCAGCTCAGAATCGTTTTTTTCGTTAGCAATGGTTTATTGTTGCTGACAGATTCCTATCTGTAGCCTTCCTTCCCAATTTTTTATCTACAACAATGGCTGTACCCACATACTAAGTATGGCCATCCTTTTTTTTTTTTAATTTCATTTGTATCACCAAGGTAACCCATAAATCAACAAAAATAATTTGATAATTGACATTCTGTTCTGTTGTCACATGTTTACATCACAATAGAAGATTGATATAAATAAAAATTGAATATTAAAGGTTTGTCTCCTATTGTCAGTTGTCACTAACTGACATATTAGGTTAGGCTTCACTTCCTTTGAAATTCACCCCCTCCCCCCAAAAAATAGGTTTTTAGATATCGGTATGAAAATTATAAAAAAATGTCACAACAAAATACTTTTAATCTACCGAAGGTCTACACACTTTCCACCAATTTGTTTTCATTCAATACTGACAAAATCAAAACCAAAAACGAATATGGGTAAAACAAATAATAAACAATTAGCATTGCAACGCTGGGCGGGACATCGATGGTTAATTTTAAAAATTTTTTGATGAAAAATAAATGTAATTATTTGTAAAATATGTTGTATTAATGTTTGCATTTCTTATAAATTATAGTAGGTATTTTATCCAGATGAATTGATCTTTTTGATCATAAATAAAAATAGTTAAGTTTAAAATATCATATACATCTGTTATTTACACTAGATATAGTAGTATATAGGTAGGTAAGTAAGTAGGTAACCATGGTACATACGTACCTACCAGGTTTTTTATGCAGTATTGATATAATCGTGGCCTAATATTATAGCCTCTGTAGCCAAATGTAGTCAGAATCTTTAAGTATAAACATCTTGTTTTACTCTTAATAATCATAACACAATACACAGTTATATATGTCATAGTATAAAAAAGACAATTTATTTACACTTTTATACACTTATAAATTAATATTAATATTAATGGCAATTATACAATGTTAAATGTCGTTAATACAGCATGATTGCACCGTTAGTTTTTTCTTCAATAATTGGCGATGGCGACTTTCTCGAGCGATTATTTGTTGCCCAGAACACGATGAAAATATTCAGCATGTGTAAAATTGACGCAAGAATAATGAACCTAAACAATTAAATAAAAATAAAAAAAACCGATTTTGCACTTTTGCATTTTTGCAGTAGGTAACAAAGATGTTCAATTCTAGTAATTTGTTTGATATACTTTATGCGGTACCTATATTATTTAAATCTGTATATACAATAAACTAAAACTAACCAGAAAGAGAACCCTAGTGAAGCGTTTCCATCGGATGTCCATTTGTTTCGTCGGTCGTCTTTACTCATTACATTGTATTGCAGTCTTTGAAAATACTGGCCCACCCATAAGCCGCCAGCCAACAGTTGAAAAAACACTGATTAAAGTAATTATACATATATTATTAGAAAATGATATTGAATAGACACGTTATATTAATTATATTAATTCATATATTATTATGGTTATTTACTTGCACTAATGTTCCAAAAGTAAAGACCTGGTATACCAGCCAATGCAGATATGGGAGTGATAGCAGAATTGATTACGGCGAACACGGCTGCGGCCACAGCCATCACAAGACCTGCTAACACTCCGATAACAGTCAATATCCACAAGCTGTAGACCATTATGTCTGGATCCATTTTCATCAGTTCGATCACTGTAATAAAAAATCAAAACATAATTATTTTATCCATTCAAATACGACTGACCCCTTCTTAATCTTCCCCTTACAGAAATAACTGTGTTTAATTAATTACTCCTTAACACGATGATTTTTTTAAATACCTATCTCCTAGTTATAGGTACTTGAAATCGAAAGATAAAAATGACTTTAATGATAATAAATTACTGATGATATTTTATGGTCTGTTATAAAATAAATGTAGGTACCTATAAATAATATCATTATTATAGTAAACCTCATGATGTGCATAGGTATAAGTAGGTATCACTGAAAATCAATATATTATATACAATACTTGACTTAAGGAAGAAACGAAGTGTCTCAAGTGAAATTTCAGGTCTCTACGATTATTTTTCATTGAATTGAAAAAAAAAATTAAATAAAAATATAAATAATACTAGTAGAAAACATTGCAGTGTAAATATTCTAGTTTTCTCAATTTTTCACTGATATTAAGAAAATTACGAGGAAAATCAAAAATAACCTTGTTGCACAATCTAGACAAAATTGTCTACCAAAAACGGCAGAACTACCCTTAAAGTGGTTATCGGAGCAAGATTTCTGGTAGAAAATTTGTTCACGGCACAAAAAATAAAATCAACCACATATAGTAAAACCAACATATTCCCCATTACCCTCAGAATCTAAAATAAATAAATATGTAAGCAAAACCTTAGCTTACAATATAGTGTTACCATAGTGTTTTTCGTAAATTATTAATAATTCAATAATGTTTGAAAATGGGTGCATATATCTATAAGGTAGGGGAAGCAAAGATCCTCACAGTTTAGATTAAGTTAACTGTATTGCAAAGGACGAGCATTATTTTTAAGTATTATAGTTCCTCTTCTATTATTTTTCCAATTCGAGCACTGTATATAATAACGGGTGATCTATTTAAGTGGTTACGCTCATTATCTCGAAAAGTATTAAATTTTTCCGGAATTTGTTTTCTAAAACATTTAAAAAACAAACAGCTCTAGACCTTTATATCTGTTATTTTTTTTCACCCTTATTTTTGGGTGTAAAACCACTACTTACCTACTTTTGATTTTTAAATGGAAACCTATATTAAAAATTCCATAAATAGATAGAGTATTAGTTAAAATTAATCTGAGTGTTGAAATTTTTGATTTCCGTCGATCTGTTGAAGAGATATCCAACTTTTAAATTTGGGTTGGAGTAGAGTAGTGGAGTATCATTTGTGTGGCGATAAGGTGAGAGGAGTGTTAATAATGCACCACCATTCCACTAACCCAAACTTAAAAATTGAATATCTCGTCAACAGCTTGACACAACTCAAAAATGTCAACACTCAAATTTGTTTTAACTAATACTTCGTCTATTTACGAAATGTTCAATTTGGGTTGTTATTTGAAAATCAAAAGTAGGTAGTGGTTTTATCCAAAAAAATAAAGTGGGGGGGGGGAAATAACATAGATATAAAATTGTAGAACAGCTTATTTCTTAAATGTTCTAGAAAACAAATTCCGGAAAAATTTAATACTTTCCGAGATAATGAGTGAACCCACGTAAATGAATCACCTGGTATATGTAGAAGAAATAAAAGTTCATTCTTATAATGATGATAATTGCATTCAGAAAGGTGTTTTATAAGAAAAACGGAAATTGCAAATTATTCCCCTAAGACATTATTATTGCAAGTTTTATTATTACATTATTACGCCAAGTAACAGTGTTAAATTTAAAAAATATGACTAAGCCCAAAATAACATAACATTATAGGATATGAAATCTTGTAATCTATAAGTATATCTACCTATTATATAGTATTTAAACCTTTTTTTTTTTATGTAATTAACATTTCCTCAAGCATATATTATGACTAATGTTGAAAATTAGATAATATCAACTTTTCGTTAAGCAGACCGATCTTGTTTTGTTAGTTTTAATATTATAGTGAGGTGATAAACAGTTGTCTGAGAATGATAAGAATCCGATATTCGATATGATTTTGGTAACACGGTTCGCATATTAACATTTTCTTTCTTCGGCTTTTTATAGGCCTTTTAAGCCCATTGCCGCAACAACATATACTGCCTTCATTTGTCTCTGTCTCTTACAGTTCCTTACTCTCAATATCCTCAGATCCACCTTTATTCTGTCTATTCATTTTTGGGTATCTCCTCATGTTTGTATCACCCTCTGGATCACTTTGTGTTTAGTTTTCACGCTGTTATTTGTCAAATTAGTCTTTTTGATCTTCATACATGCCCAATCCAACTTATTCGCGTACTTTTTAAGGTTCCAATACTAGGTTCGATATATATTTCTTCCAAATTGTTGTCGTTTTGTATTTCATGTTCTCCTTCAATGTTTCTTTTTGGGTGGAATACGCATATTAACATACTGCACATGAAATAAAATCCTACCCGACATGATTTTAGATGACATATCGTGGGTTTATTTTCGATTAATTTTCTCCATTCACTTGCTTATTGTATTATAATATAGTGTTTAAATAGAGATTTAGAATTTACGCTTTCAGATCGTTATCATTTATTCTTATCGCTGTTTGTATTATCATTTTCATACGATTATCCCTATTATAGTGAATTGGGCGTATATCAAACTTAAAAGTAAGAACATTGTTTTAGTACCTGGGATGGCTAGGCCAACCGGGGCACTAGAATTTTTCTCATGGGCTTCCTTTTTTTGAAAAAACGGACGTGGCGATGTCTTAACGACTATGATATTGGGCCGGAAGTGTTAAATTTCTCCCAGGTTGATTTTAAAGGTTTTTAACCTGTATACCGATACACATGATTTTAAAATTTTAATATTTCCACATATTTACTCGTATCTCGCTTAAAAATTAAAGTATCGAAAAGAAAAACCAGTGTACCTACCAACACAATCAATGTTATTACATTTAATTGTGGTAGTAAATTCACACTAAAATTAAAACTAATAAGAGTGCAAAATAAGCTCTACTGAAAGAAAAGTACGATACGAATAATACAATCTTATTACGTTTACTAATATTTTACAAGCTCGTATACTGAGGGGAATTTTAGGTGTTCACTCTCTTCTCTAAATTTTTAATGTAGGTATATATTTACAATACAACAAAGGCTAACTACAAGTTCATGTGTTATAAATATTTTAAACCCCTCCGAAAATTGATCTTGAATACATGCTTTATATTTTAAAACCAATTTTAATAATAGGATTAATAACTAGATATTAATTACAGGCGCAAATAGCAGGGTATTAGTGGTCTTTAGCACCCCCAAGTTTAAAATTAGCATAAAAAAAAAATATAAATAGAGCAGATCAACAGATATACAGGTTTCCTACAGACAATGCATATGTGTATGAAAAATAATGTTAACAAAGTTATGATAAATTTGTGTATCCAAAATTGTAAATGAAATGTGTAGTTGACTATTGTAATAGTCATGTAAATGGGATTGTGGGGGCTTAGCCATAGACCCCTGGGTCTTTGATGTGTCCATAATTATTTACCGCCCTCCAAGTTGATGATCTAGTTGTGTCTATGATATTAATTAATATCTACCTATAAGTATATTAAAATGTACCGTAGATACTTACACTTGTAAATATACCTATATAATACGTTCAATATAATATAATATAGGTACCTATTTACATGTCGTGCACATATAAAAACATTAACATATAATTTGTACCTCTCCTATACGAGATAATAATTTTGTAAATTATTTTCTACTCGGAATAAATTGCTGAATTTCGTGTGTAAGATTTTATAAGTACCTATATTATTATTATGTTATAAATATGTGTAGATATTTAGTATACTTCGAAAACACAAAATACTCTAGACGCGTGTTATCGTGTATGTCTACCTATTACTAGGCGTCGAGACATTTGCACGAAATTCATTGTGGAACGACTGCGTGAGCGTCTGCTAAGTGAAACGAACAAATTTTACAGGTTTTATTCATTCGTGAAGCACCTACATACCTAATTATGGATCTCGAGTTCGTGTACTGCGTATTCTTGGTTAACGCGAAAGGCCACCTAAATGTATAATAATATAAAGACTGGGATTTTAGCAGTCGTTCTACTTTCCTTGGTTACTTTTCAGACTCTTAACATTGCAATTTTCTTTATTTGTTTAGTTTACTAAGTAAAACCTTAAGTGTTTTTTAATTTAATACAATAACTTTATCCAAATTGAAAGCCTATACTAACACATGTTGGAATATTTATGTGCAAAACACGGGTGTATTTAGCATTTTCTTGAATTTGTAAATTAATTTTTTTGTGAGTAATTCCTAAACCCCTGTGAGTGGGGATTAGAAGTTATCCACAATAGTCCAAACTCCAAACCGATCGTAAAATGCAATTAAATGGATCTAGGAGTGGCAAACACCGTTCCTACTGGAATAAATGAAAAGTAACACTTAAAAATAAGGCTGATAGCTGTGACATGGAAGAAAATGACCCCTATATTTAGTTGGAGAAAATAATTAATTTAGTTATATTCATACTAAATGAAAATTTAGTAAGAATATAGTGAAAATAATAATTTTAATGTCCATAAATATATCAAAGTAAATACTAATTAATTTTTTAGACAAAACTGAATATTAGTACTTAAATAGATAGTAAAAAAGTATTTAATGGCATAGCCATAGGCGGCAGTGTTGAATATTATTTATAATGAAATATGTATTTAATTTAGTTGGTTAATATGTTATCGTATTATGTTTGAATTAAGCTAACTAATAATCAATCACATATTTTAACCATTTTCTCGAGAGTATAAATCCGACTGAGTAAAAATAATTTAAAGGAAAGGGGGCGCGTCAAATATTGGAAAATATTTACTCGAAATCGTATTTTTGTAAAAAAAATATTTTGTAAGAAACGTATTCATTTATTGGAAATGTATTCATTGGAATCGTATTTTATTGAAAACTTATTTGTTCGGAATCGAAAAAATAATATTTAATGATAATATAATTTTTATCATTCTTCACTATCAAAATATTATTTTTTGAAAAGACGTTTCCGACAAAAGACAGTTCCGATAAAATACATTTCCGATAAGTTATGTCTCCACCAAAAACATATTTTGGTTATTATTTTCCAACAAAATATAGCCCTCCAAAGAAAAATTTATGAAATGATTCATTCATTATCGTTTCAGTAAAACGAGAAGAAAAAATACTTCTTTCATGCAATTCCTAATATAGTTCTTTATTCTCTTTAGAGTTGAGACATATCTCCTGAAACATTTCAGTATTTGCATTGGACTTATGGCTATACATACATTATATAAATGTCAAGAGAATCTATATCCTTCTTGTAAATACAAAAACTTGTCGCCGCTGACTTTATTTTTTATTGTGAATAGAGTATAGTTGATGCATTGATGACGATTTTTTAATTTTCTAAGTTGTTAGTAGGTTTTCAAAATAATTGGAACAAACCAGAAAGGAAATTATAGGTAAAACGGCAAATATAGACTGCGCGTCGCGGCGTTACTGATTTTATTGTTTTCAATTTTTTCAAACTATGTTTTCCACCAGAAATATTGCTCCATTTAAAATTATTGTAGAGACCTGTAGTAAATAATTATTAAAACATATGACGAAACATACAAAACGGTGACTTTGGTGAACAGTTTGATATTTTTCTAAGAAACTTCAGAGTTTACTCAATGACCGAGAAAATAGTTAAGTCAAAGTATAATATAATATAATTGGAGATTCTTTCAATAAAAGACGGTCCTAGATGGTTGGATGATATACAATCTTATACTCTTACTCCAGCATTATTAGGTTTTAGTCGTTTTAGGTATACTATATCCTACTATCTGTAGTAGAAATCGTTTATATATAATAACACCACTTAAAAAATGACATACCTGATTATAATTATTATCATTACCACACAAACTTACCTATAATTACGTTTACTTTTAACACATTAAAATTTTTTTTTTTTTTAATAACCTATAACCGTGATTTGTATTAAAGTAAAGATATTTTTTCCATCAAATTTCCAATCCCCCCCCTCCCTATAAAATCATAATGATAAATTTGGAAATTTAATTTTTACGATTAGTTATAACTAATAAACAATAATAACTAGTAGCAGTAGCTACATTTCAAACCTTATAAGAAAAGTGTTTTTAATATTTATAATTTATATTTAAATTAAATAATTCCTTCTAGCAGTTTAGAAGACTTTCTCGTATCCTGTCGTATATAATGTTTTGAATTAATTGCTTCTTCCGAAATAAGAGAAATATCTTTAGCATTAAAGCATTAGATAATATTTCTAATCTCTATTTTGGCTTATTAATGATGTGTTTATTATGGTTATCCACTTACCGTCCACGCTGTATGTCCGAAGCCCGTAACCGATGTTCAAATACTTGTCACCGTGAAACAGGCCCAAGTTGACCTGACCCACGGATTCGGTGGTGTTGGATGTGCGTCTGGCCGATGCTACAACCCATCGCTTGGTGCCCAGGCCGGCACCAATTAGACCAATGGCGGCACACGAGTAGATAAACGTACAGAATATCAGACGTCGCTTGTTCAAGTTCATAGTTCCGCAATAACAAACCGTTCACCTGCAAAATAGTGAATTATTAAAAACTAATAATCAAATTCACATTATATAAACACCCGGAATTTAAATTAATCATATTTATGCATATAAATTATAATAATTTAATAGGAACGGTTAGTGGCAGCGAAAAATATTTTAACCTTAAATTACCGATTTAATTTAATTTATTGAAATTTAAAATTCATCAAATTTACGTAGTTTAAAATTCTTTTATGATTTTAATTAATTAAAATTTAATTAATGACTTTCGTTTACTAAAAACATGATATTTTTTATTATACTTTTGAACACTTAAGCACCCATGATTCATCCACCGGTTTTTTTATGAATCACGTGAGTCAAATATACCTTCTTCGCGTCGTCACTGGGCACGGTCATACAATATCTATGCACAGCAACGCCTACCGAAATTGGATTTGCTTAATGTACCTAAATAACTTGAATTATCCACCCACCGTTTCCAATTTACCACCCAGAAATATTTCCAGGACCATCTTAAACTATGCAGGAGCCCTTGGGCACACAGAGTTGGGGGCCCTTTTAGAAGCCAAAAATAACGTGAATGAAAAACCCAATATTAATTTTTGTTTTATGACTTATGAGAGAATAACATATCTAAATAGACTTTTATGAACAATATAGTTGTTATTTTTAGGTTTTAAAAAATAAATATTAATAACAAAAATAAAAAAAAAGTCAACTCCTAATTACAAGATTTAAAAATGCTTTTTATTTATAATTACACTGTTATTATGATCATCATTCTTATCATTGACGATGATAAATAATCTCATGAACGTGGGCGTAACCAATGTTGTAGGTGGAAAGTTTGAAAGGTAGGATATAGATGGGAATTTAATGTACATTTCTAAGCAACGATAAACCATTGCTAACGAAAAAACGATTGTAAAAGGAGTTCAGTTGATAGTGTTACTTTGTCAACAACTGTCAACAATATGTCATATTATGGTAAAATAATTACAAAAATGCGTGTTTCCATGACAACAATAATTGTTTAAAAAAATATTGAAACAATAAAAATTTAATGATAACGAAAAATAAATAAAAACGGTTGATAATGACAAACTTATTTTTAATCTTTTAACTTTTTAAACCTAAAGAACCTAGTTTTTCTCATCATCTTGAATATCAATGAAAATTCAAAAAAATGTACCATTCAGAAAAGGTGATAAAAAAAATAAATAAATATCTTTGTAAAACCAAAACATTCTTCTAAACTCAGAATCTAAAAAAATGTTAAATGCCATAACTAGATGGAAGTGCGCAGATAGCCTCTTACATATTTTTCTAGAAATAACAAACAACTCCCCTTACCATTGGAAATTCCCGAGAATGCCACTAATACAACTATAGACTTCAAATAAAATAAAAAATATAAATAGTTTTATGCTTAGACTGTAGCTAGACAAATAAAAATGAAAAGTTATGAAATCAATGATAAACCGATTGTAAAGCAAATGAAATTTGACTTGGTAATAGGTCTTGATAATAACAAAAAGATCAAATGCTTTTATTGAAAGTAGGTATATGATCAGTATTGTCAGTTAGTATTACAAATAATAATAATAAAGATATAGTGATAAACTTATCTTTACCAAATAAAAATTATTCACAAAATTAAAATATCTATAAATTGTTCAAAAATGGCTCAAATATTTGTACCACGTTTTACCACGTCTAGAAAAAGCAAATATAAGTTTTCTTTCAAAATTTCAAGTCGCTACGAATATTTTAAACTGAATTATAAAAACATTATTTTCGTAAATACCCCCGGCTTTTCTTACCTTTTATCCCGAGTTTTCTCAGATATTATGAAAAGTGCTAGGAAAATAAAAAATGACCGGCTTAAAATACTATCTAGAAAATATTTCCTTTTAGAAAACGTACTAATCATAGGTCAGTGACTAATCTTATATGACAGCAACAAAATAAGTGTTATATCAATTGTTTTTTTTTTTATCATAAATATCAATATTCGATACTACTTAACTGTATTCAACTTAATTTTTTTTTTCGTTTAACTGACAACTTGGCGGTTCTGTGTTAACATTACTACACCCCTGTTGCCAAACTTAAATTAACCTAATAATGGCTAGTCATTCCAACGGGTATAGCATTTAACATATATGTTGGCGATTTCTTTTCGTAAACGATGACCTAAACTTCTAATCAATAATTGGGAGTTGAGTTTTAAGAAACTATTTAAAGAGATCATTTGATCTTGTTGTGGTTCGACCTTTTTTATCCGAAATTTGTTGGGGAATGCGTCTACTACAAGTCAGCATAAAAGTAAAAACAAACCAATTATATACTATGGCGAAGACAAAAGAAATTATGTAACTTTACTCATAGGAAAAAGACTTTACTAGGTAACGGATTCTGTGTCTTTGTGACATTGTTGTAATCATTAACAATAATTTTTATCAGTGGGATAACAAGTTAATCAAAAGATGTTAAACGACTATTATCGACTGTCATATACTACAACTAAATTGTCGAATGGTATTCAAGAATAGAGATAAACAGATAAGAAAAAACGTATATTACAGCGATAATATTATATGACTATCATACTTATATCATCACATACTAATAATTTTCGCTTATATATCAAATGAATTCAAGAATTGACTCCTGACTATACTTCTTTAAATTATAAAAAGTTACCAAGTAGTATCTATACAAAATAATTTATTTCATTTGTTTATGATAGTTTTGTATTTTATTTTAAGGTTCATTAAATATTGTCCACATTATAAATGGATTCTTAAAACATACTCAGAGTGTTATGTGCAGGTCTTTACATAAATTTATGTTAAGTCTGAATTTTTTACCCACCTACTCATTTTACAAGGTGGTATAATTACATTAGAGAAGTACGTGATCACTGCCACTGATTATTAATACATAATTTCGATAAAGTTTGTTAATTTCTGAATTACCTTGGCAGCAACGAAAAAAAAAAAATTGATAAACGATTTTCAGAATCGTTTTTCGTTAGTAATAGTTTATAGTTGCGTACAAATATAAATTAAATTATTTTACATATCCTCACATTCAACCTCCCTCCTAAAACAGTAGCACACTCATGTCGGTACTATTATCAGTTTTTTTAAATATAAATTTAAATATCATTTTTACACTAATTATTAAAACAAATATTGGTATATTTCTTTAAAAGCATTTGTTATGTTTTTATAGGGCACTATATAGTACGTGTATAAGTCATAGTAACTTAGGTATAGTGAGGTTTAATGTACAGTTTTTTAAACGTACAATTCAATCAATTCCTTTACAATACTTTGCCGATCAATTAATATACGAAGGCGTCTAAATATATCTGTGCTACTTATTTAATGTAAATAACAATAATATCGGCCGACAAAGTAACGTTTAGACATCCTGCGTCTATTTCAATTTCCTCCGTATACAAACGACAATAGGTACAACGAATAGTTGTATATATATATATATATTAAAATAATATATAGTTTATGTTTATATCGTGTAATACCCACAGATCCTATTCAAGTTCTTTTGTGGTTCTATTACACTATAGCTATGTATATTATTGTGAGACTCATTTTGTTAAACATTCACGATGATGCGTAAAGAGGTTGGAAATTAACAAAAAATCAAAGTGCATTATTGTTGTGATGTGCTCGTACATAAAATATATAAACTCGTACATGAAACATAAACAGTATAATCTATACAATTTGTGAGTACGCGACGAAAAGAAAAGCAGCTGACATTAGCTGTGTGGTGGAACGCGGTCGTGTATATTATGTGAGGAAGTCACAGAAACCAATTAAACGTTTTGCGCGTGAAAAACGATTTCGTTCTCTGGCGACTTTCACTATGTACAAAAAAAAAAAACTAAAAAAAAGGAACAGAAAAGATATTGGTAATTATCGTGGTCACTAAACTTTATGCGGACGAGATATTACGATCTTATATAGCTATTAGCTGGTTGTTTCCATTCATAATAGACACAACATTGCCATCAGCACGGAAGTACGTTTTACTACCTACTTCATATAAATATTGAAATACCTACCTATATTATAACGGTTGTCTAATTATTAAGAAATGCATTTTTTTAAATCAGATATTTTTGGGTCAAAGTCATCGAAACTGACTTCAATGTAGTGACAGTCCAGTGGCGGCTAGTGGGCGCTGATGAAGGGAATGCGATATCCCATTTCGCCCCAAAATTAATCCCATTTTATCACATAATTCCCAAATTATTTTTGTTTTTAAATATAGTTATTGTGAATTTGTGATTAATAAAACAATAGATAGACACAGTGAACGTATTACACTAGGTAATATAATCGAAATAAATATCGATATAATAACATTGTTGGAAGGTAATACCCAGAGTACTTATTATCATTGATATTATAATAATTCTGTAAATCAAATTACTAGGAAAATTTATGACAAGGATATTATGGCTTGAAAAAAAAATTATCTTTTTTTTAACAGAGTATACCTAGTTAATTTTATTTTCCATTTTAACTTTAAACTTATATCGAGTTAAATTTTTTATTTGTTAACTTTTAACTGAAGGCAGTTTAAATGAATTAACTTAACTTGTAATAGTTCATTATTTTTATTAACTTGTTCACCTTTAGTATTAATAACTTGTGTAAGTTATGTTAAGTTATATAAAAAATAAATTCGGTGAAATGGTACGACGGCGAAATGGGAGCTGACTGAATGTGACAATATGAAAAAGTCCTCTGTCTTAGAATTATACAAATTCCTACATGACAACACACATACTTTTATAATACCTAACTAGATTTATAAGACTATTATAGTGATTAACCGTTCTTATTTTAAATGTTTAAAATAAAATTATAATTTGTCCTTTCCTTCAATTTTACATAGGGAGTGCGATCGTCCTGTAGTCTAAACCACGAGCTGACACTGAGTGACACATTGGCTAGGCAAGGAACTTTTCTGAAAATGGATTTCCAGTAGAAAATTATTTGTGTATTAAATAGTATTGAATGTATGCATACATTCAAATATTTTCCCAGCTAGTATTATGTAACATATTTCCTTATTGATCGGTTGAAATTTCTTCATCAATTTTAACCAAGCATCTTTTACTATAAATCTGATACCATCTTTGTTTGTTTCACTATAGAACATATTCAACATTTTTTGATTTAAGGTAGCCCGAGTCCAGCCACCGAATCTTCTGCAGTCCGACTATACCTATATTGTACCAGTAATGTCCTGTATTATGCTTTGTAAATCACTAAAGCTGGCTGTATCCTGACTTATAAAAAGTTCTAACGTTTCAAGTTCCAAATTTCAAATATCCAGCATTTTCAGTCTGATTTCCCTAGCTGTTATCCAATGTATCAATAAAAGTCCGATTTCTGGTATTTAGTTATATATATATACTCCCTTTCAACTTACCTCTTAAAACAGTAGTGCAAATGTGTACACAAGGCATTTTCAAGATTTTGTTATTCCCAATAAAACCTTCAATACTAGATACAATATACATATTCCTAATACTGTTTATTTTGTATGACCTATTGTTCATTAATTTATTATAGATTCATTTTACGTAACACGTAATGGGTGAATGAATTGATATTATTTAGTAGTCAAAATAAAAACAATTTAAACTAGGTGTCTAAAATTGTGGGAAATTAACGATTCATTAAAGATTAATTATGAGTAAATATTAGTAACACCAAATTCTGTTTTACTTATTAAATAGTTAGGTATCTTGGATTTTGTGAATACAATTTTTTATGTTTAGTTCAATAAAAATAAATAAGGCTCGTGCAATATTGTTATCAGAAAAAAAAATACTGAATAGAACAATGTTATTTCAGGTGGCATATCTTCGTGTTACAGACTGTGTATTCATAAAAAAACTATCTTAGTATTGTAACAATAATCAATTTCAGAGAGATACCTGATAACTAAGTTGCCCGATAACCAACTAGCTAGTGCAAATCTTTCCACTCCAAATTTTATTTACTACATCCAAATATATTCAACTTTTTAAATATATTATAATACACGAGTAGTATTTAATCTAATACTATAATTATTGTATTAATTAAAGATTAAATACAATTTTAGAAGATTAGATTCGAAAATATGACATTAGTGTAATTTCAAGGTTTTAATATACAAAAAGACTGACATACTTCGCATGATGAGTGGGCCACTAGCTGTTGTAGGTGAGAAGTTGGGAAGGTCGAAGAGGAGAATTTAATGTATATCTGTGCGCAATAATTAATTATTACTAACAATAAACGGTTCTAAGAAGAGTTCGGTTATAAATGTTTTAAAAGGCCGTAATATTTAAGATTTTCGTTAAAATTTGATAATAAAATGCTTATAAAAAAAATACTACATACATTAAACTCATTTTTTTTTCATCACAAAGTATGACTTATAATGAATCTCCTGTTTAATTGTCAATATATAGTTTAAAAATTTTATCCACAGAGTACCAAACATAAAAATTAAGTAAAAACCTCGCATAATTAAAATGTCTATAAAAAGTTCACAAATAGCTGAAATGTTTTTAAAATTTTACCACGTCTAGAAAATCAAATAAAAGTTTTCTGTCCAAATTTTAAGTCTCTACGAACATTTTTAACCGAATCACAACAAAAAACAAAAATAATAAAAACATTATTTTCGTTTTTCCTCCGTTTTCCCCGGCTTTTCCCAATTATTATGAAAACCGCTTGGAAAATCAAAAAAATTACCTTTTTAAAGTACCAACGAGATAAAATTTTCTTTCAGAAAAATTGCCACATTTGAAAATCGGAGCAAGATTTATGGTAAAAATTTTGTACACACAGTAAAAAAAAAATAATAAATAAATATTAATTTAAAACTAATATATTCTTCGCTTTGCTTCGCTTAAACATGTATAACCGAACTCCGCTCAGAATTATTTTTAGTTGGTAATGATTAATCGTTGCATACAGATATACATTAAATTCCTCTCTATATCTTACCTTACCAACTTCCCACCCACAAAAGTTGTCCAATCATCGTACTTATAGTATGTTCGTCTTTTTATATATATAAATATTTTATAACGATACCGAACACGTTCAAATTAATAATTGTCTGTATTTTAGTTTTTTAATTATTGTTAAACTTTGATATTGTCTAGGTTAGATTTTATTAAAATTAAGAATCATACTAAACTTATTCGGTTAACTTTCTGACGTCAACTGGTTCATATTGTCTAACTTTAAAATAATTAACAACATTTTGGTAACCAATATATTTTTGAAAAAAAATAAAGGTAGGGAATCAATTCAAATGTTCAAAAATTTAGGAATATTGTACAAAAATTACTAAATACCAAAATGAAGATAATAAATACTTATAATACCTTATTAATAACCTAAGTTATCTTACCTAATTAAAGAAACTATTAATAATTATAAACGAATGACTGCATTCGCGTGCGCAAACTATCTATATAATACATAATAACGATTTTGAAAATGATCTAGTTATTAAGTAGCACTTGACTAATGAATGCAGTGTGGTCTTGACACCTAATGTGGTATATGTTGACCTTGCAGTATATTCCATTTGCATTAATCTTTTACGAACACAACAAGTTACACGGCTAAAGCGATTATATTATATTTCAACCAGTTTTATTTTTGACGTTATTCGGGCAATTTAAATTTGTATGATTTATTATAATATAGTTGATATAGTTGATAGGTACTTCATAAGTTACTTTGAGTACTATAATTACTTTAGAAGTTTGTTTAATGTACCTATATTCTAAAATAATATTATTTTATTTGTGTAATAGTTTTTATTTTTTAACACATCAATACACCCTAACTGAACGTTTATCAAAATGTTACATTGAAACTATAACTGTATAATGTATAGCGTTCCGTAAAAATACCAAGTTATAAAAGTGTTTTCTCTTTACCAACAAGTTGATGGAAATGTCAATTTTAAAATTTTTTTCAAACAAAATTTCAATATGATATATATAATGTTGCCAAAGCAACACTATTAACCGAACTCCACTCAGAATCGTTTTTCGTTAGCAATGGTTAATCGTTGCGTACAGATATACATTAAAGTTCACCTCTACCTTCTTAACTTCTTACCTTCTTGCCTACCCAGATACAAAGTATGTCCGTGTTTTTATATTCTATAGATATTAATTAATTTAGTTTGACGGCATTCTCGACAGCTTTGATTTCTTGTAATATTGTAATATATTTCAGAGATCGTATTTCACGAGTCGCACATTAGCACTACACGACAGCACTGCATGGGAGTTTTAAAAGTATGTATAGAGATAATGTACACATGGCTTTGACTATAATCTAGATGAATTTATCTAAAGGTTTCAGAAACCTTTTTGTAGATACCTACGCGATGTAGTTACAAACTGGAATTGTATTGTAATATTACAAAATCGTGTACGTGTGTAGGTGTCCATCCGTGATTCGTATGTACATGTACAGTCGTAGAGTTCATATACACACCTATATTAATATTATATATAGTAGGTAGTATTACCTACTATATTTATAACTAAATATTATTATAATATATGTATATTTCTAAGTACCTATATATTATTATGCATATAGAAGTATATAAGATCTAATTTAATATGAATTGTAAAGTAAAAGAAAAAAGAGACTATAAAAAGTAGCACATTGAATACTTTCATTTATTTGATATTTAGAATAGTTGAGTATATTTATGTCTTATATATATATATCATCATCATTTTTAGGGCATAAACGCATACATAATTCAATCATCGGTTCAGAGGCACTCTTAACCTGCCTAATTTACCTGCAGTGCACTATGACGATCAATTATAATTTTCACTTTTCTAAGAAGACCATTTAACACACATAATATTATACATGTGCCTGTGTTCGGTTTAATGTAGTTAAAAAATGTTCGTTTAGATTAAAGTAATAAATTCTAAAAAAAAATAAACAAATAATAATAATACAGATATATTTACAATAGGTAAAGTGTTATTGTTATTTAATATATATATACATACATTTCGTTTAGCCAGAGCGTATAATAGGACTATTTATTGGTAGTTGTTTATTCAGTCTCGTAAATAATAGGAATACTTAATTCGTAAATACCATTTCAAATCATTAATTTCCGCTTTCAATGACGCCAATACTTAGCGAATGTGATATAGCGAAGAAAACAATCACAAGTACGTTAGTGAAGCGAGAAAGTCTAAAAATTATATTTTTTTTACAAGTGTTTAAATGTATATTATTAAGTATAAAGTATACAATATAATTTTTAATCCATATAATGATGTACTCGTATAATATTTTCAATAGAATCAATATTTTAGTACCCCCTTGTAAAATCAAAAATCGGTCAAACGTAGTGACATCTTTTTCCGGGGGAGAGGGGGGAGCGTAACTGGGATTCTGTTTAATTTTCCGGGTTTTGTATACTTAAGAGGGCACCACACCCGCATGAGTTGTCTCCGATTTAAAAATGCATAATATAGCTATACATTTTCGTTCAGCGGGGATAACTTTGTACTATTAATTTTAATATTAGAATGAATTATGAAGACTTATTACAAAAACATACTATCTATGCAATAGCGTCTGCTTTTTTAGACATTTTAATTTTTGAGCGAGTTATAAGTCTGTAAAATATCAAAGTCGAAAAATACTTACACATCTAACTTGAAAATTTAATTTTTAAAATTGCCAACGTAATTCAGTAGTTGCACATATTATGTGACTTGTGCTGTATATTTCTTAAATAAAAATATATAATTGTAAATAATTGAAAATATATGAAAATTAATTTTAACCTCTCCACCTCACACACACCTACCTTTAACAGTTTATAGTTCAATATCGTATAACGTTCTAATGTATTCAAAATTTCGAGAAAAACAATTAATAATCTACCTATATAGTTCTCTAATTAAGTCCACGTTTTGTTGTTAAATCGAGAATCGCGCTGCGCCAGATGAACACAGTGCGGCTGATGATGAAAAAAAGAAGGAAATTAGCTATGGTCCGAAAAGTAATTAACACGCAACGACCTGACCATGGCGAAGACGGAAATGTCCTCAATGTTGCGTTTGAATATATTATGATTATTATTTTCACAAAATAATGTAATACGGACTGTATGAAATAAATTCAAGATCACAGTTACATTGCGCGTTCTTGTAGTATATAAGAATTTATTAAAGAAAAGAAAAAACCATAGAAAAAAAAATCGTAATGTTATTTATTATTATTATTATTATTATTATTGTTATTATTATTATTATTATAACTTCTAAATTTTATTATTTGCGGTTATTTGACCCGTCTAAACTTTTTGGATTAAAAAAAACCCCTCGTATATTTTACCGTAAGTATATACATCTCTATAATATTATTATTATTTTTAGTGATTTAATACGGATATTATTATTTAAAAATTCAAATAAAGTACCTAATGTATTTATGGTGAAACCAAATTTCGTACTTCATTTTTTACTATTATTATATATCAAGTATTAAGTGCGCTAAACTTACGTTTTAAGTAGTTTACGACTTACAATGATAAATTTGAATTCCTCTATCGCATTGGAAAGCTTATAAGAAACTCAAAGCTTAAAGAAACAGAAAACGGTGAATTAATAAAATACGAGGTGTGGCTATTAAATAACGAGACTGGTTACGAAAAAGTGTTTTATTATAAAAGTTATTCTACATTCAAATGCTTCCCTTCAATATACTCCCCTTCACTTTACACCGTTTAATTCGTTTCTTCCATTGCTCGAGGCAGCGCTGGAAGTCTGTTTTCGTAAGACCATTCAGGAGTTCCGCCAATTTTTGTTTCACCTCTTTCATCAACTCAAACCGGATTCCTTTTAAGGCAGACTTTATCTTCGGAAACAAGTAAAAGTCGCAGGGTGCCAAATCGGGTGAGTAAGACGCGTGTTCGAGTACTGGAGTGCCTTAAGCGGCCAAATAANCATTCAGTCATCACGAAGCCGTTGATATCGAAGAAAACGGTTTTGAATTTGGATTACGACTGAATTTGCATTCCGGTGCACTCTCGACCTTCAGAAAATAATTTATGCCACTCAAAAACACGTGCCCGAGATAGGAAATCCTCACTATAGGCCTCTTTTAACAACTTATAGCACTCAGTTGGAGTTTTTTTTAGTTTAACGAGAAAATTTTATGTTTATCCGTTGCTCATGTTTTTCGTCACACATGGTTTTCGGCACGAGAAAAAAACACGTTCGTTTCAAACCACTACTGCACAAATACTATAATAGTGACGAAAACGTGTTTTGGTACGTGCATAGATAATATAACTATATACCCAACGCATTACTCGCTTTTTTCACTACCCATCTAGGGCGCCCTCTAGGCGAGCAGTCTTGTTATTTAATAGCCACACCTAGTATTATAAAGATCTACATATTATCTCATGTATGGCTAACACATAGATATAGACGGAAGTGAGTTACATTATAAACTTCAAATATTTAAAATGACAGAAAACAAAACTGCACTTCAACCTCTTTCTATAGATACTAAAAGTATTAGATTACTCTTTTTCAAACATAACTATTTCTCTTCGAATAATGCTAACTGTACCTATCACGTCGGCTTCTTGATTATTGATGATTATTCTCAAAATTATAATTAATAAAAAGTTATCTTAGGAGCACAATATCACAAACTAGACTAACTGGACTTGTAACATTATTCATCCAAAAAATTATAACTAAAACCATTAATTATAATTTGGTTATAAATGATTTTGAAAACCAAAATGTAATAGTATTATATAAATTAATTTTATTTATTTAAACTAATATAAACCATTTCTAAATAAATTGTTATCAAATTAGTAGTATTAGATACTAATAATATGTCAAAAAATAAATATTAAATATTATACGTATTATTTTTTTTTTAATAGTGTACCTAAGTGATTATAGTTTACCTAAAATATATTGAGCCCCGCGAAACTATTTTGCATGGAACCCCGTAATTTGTTTAGAACTGTTCGAGTTTTAAAAAAATCCAGAGCTATACAAATATGTATACATCTATACTATTTCGCATAATTATTATTATCTATATAATTACTAAAGACCGAATTTCATTCCATTTAAAACACACAAAAATTGGACTATAAAAATGCAAGTTATAAAAAAAAAAAACTAGATAAATGTTACTTTATTTTAATTAAAATTAAATCTTCTATTACTTAAAATATGTTTGTACAAAGAAAAACTACGTTCTACATCTACACTAGTTATTGGTGCATATTCAAAACAATTTAATAAAGTAGGCGTTATATCTAAATTAACATTTGCTTTACCTGACATGACTTCATATTAAGACTTTAAAGTTGTATACCCTTTATTTTTTTCAATTACTTACTTACATTTTTTTCCCATTTGGACCAGGAATATTTGTTAAAAAATCTTCAATTTTTCTAAATATATCAATGCTTTTCATTAGTTCACTTTTAGATTCTTCCAAATTTTTAAGATTGATGGATAACTCAGATAAGTGTAATTTTATGAATGCCCAACCATATTTGATTGCATTATTTTGTACAAGCTGTTTCAGTTTTTCGTCACTTGTAGTATCATCTGTTAAACTTTCAATCACGTTATTAAACTTTTCAAAATTATTTGCGCTAGAAAAGTGCAGCATTTAACCATGTTCCTAATCTTGTAATCATAGGTACGGGTGGTAAAGGTATACCCGGCATTTCTTTTCTGTATTTATTTATTCTCGGTGGTGCCACCGTATATATATATATATAGACGCTTATCGCTCGCTGGGTTCTCCAAGCTTCTAGAAAATTCCAGACGAACGATAAAAGCCTATGATTTAAAAACCCTGAGAAAATTGAAAAAAATTGCATTATAAAATTAATTAGGCAGAATATTATTAATATATATCAGCTATATATTTAATCAGATCCAATTTATCTTAATTGCAAAAAAAAGTTGCAATATCAATTAAATCCGGTCTTTATTTAAAATATACTATATGTGTACTATATAATACCAGTTCATGTTTTTAGGATACTTTGCAAACGATAGATATACCTATACCCCGGAGATTGGAGAATTATTATAATATTGACATGCTCTACCGATTACTGTTTATAGTATTTTAGGTATAATAATTTTTGTACCTTATATATTATATGAAAGTTATGTATATTATATTATTATTATTGGGTTTCACGTGCTGCTGTGCAATATCAAAACTATTTTACAAATAATATAGGAATACGACACAATGATTGCAAACAAATTACTTTTAATATACAAATAATAATGTTCACAGACTTTTCACTTTCCATATATAAAACGTATACACATATATACATTATATACATATACGAAAATACATTCATATATACATACATAACCCTAATTATTATTCCCGTAAAATTAGCTCAAGGTTATATTAATATTAAAATTGAACGACAAAAGCAAATACATATAATAATATTGTATAAACATTACGTAGGTATACTAGGTATATATATAGTATATAGTCGAATAAAATAAAAATATTAATATATTATACTATGAGTTATGACATATTAAATTTCGTGTAGGTTATTCTTTGTACGATATTCTCGTCGGATAGGACGTATTAATGTATTATCATAATAATATTTCGTGGAAAATAATAATATAATATAAAATGGTGCACGTATAATATTGCATATAATATACAGGTATATATAATTTTGATGAACACCGATTGAGCGTGGGGTCATTGGACCGATCTCCGAATCATGGGTTTGGCCGATTAATCTGTCTTCATTGCCGGTGTCAACGGAGAGATGATGATTCGATAAGAACTAATAGGAAAAAAAACACACGAAACGAAACAAAACTATTTTGTACGTAATATATTGCATAAAAAAAAAAAAAATTACCGTAGATATAGGTGTATTTTATTATTTATATTGGTACGTTTATTATATATATAATAAATGCATTAAGTAGGTCGAATTCGATTGAGCTGACCAATGCGGCGTATATATTTTTATATTGCCGCGAGTGAATATAATAAAAAGGAAAAATATCTCGCAGGCGTTTAAGTCTCTGCAGCAGCGACGTTCGATTCGATGCCATTTGCCGTGCGAAAACCGGTCGGATGGTAGGTAATAAAATTTTGTATGTATCTATAGTTATTCGCTATAGGTAATAGTAAAGATAGAAGTATATTATAAACACGCTTGTTTCACTGTTTATTCACAACAGTAAATATTTTTGAAAAATCAAAATGTCTAGTAAAAATAATTGTAATTAAATGTTTACTTGTTCGAAAATTTCCCGATTATATAGGGATTATTATATATTATATTCCTGATTATACGCATGTGGTGTGACAAAATACGTACCTATACCTTTATAATAAAATTATTACCAGATAAATTGAAAACTATTAGAATTATTTAACTTTTCGGTTATGAAAAGCACTACAACTAGAATAGTTGTTCGAAATATTCTACCGACTACCTTTATATAATTGTTTATCTGAATAAAAATATTAGTTAATGAAAAATAAATATATTCAATAGTTCGACTTAACTATTGAAAACTATCGAAATTGTTAACTACCTATTATAAGTAATAATTATTCATTACATATACTAATAATTATCAATATTCAATATCCGCCGATTATACTCGTATGTGCATAATATAATGTATAAAATAATTAATTATACTTTAATATATTAGAGAAAACCTAATTTTAATATTTTTGTTAATATTGGAGCAAAAGTATGTGCTTTTGTTGTTAATATAACAAAACTTGCGAAACTGTGTAATAAATGCTTATAATATTTCTTGCAGAATTTTTTAGAATCCGAGTATACCAATAATACGTATAATGTTTATGTACAATAGCGAATTGTTTAAATATTATACAATTTTGTAAGACGAATAAATGTTTACATTGTAATAATATTTTGTGTCATGCTGCAATTACTATAATATATACCTACGTATTTATAATATAATAACAATCCATTATTGTACCTACATATTATTATTATTCATTATAATTACGTGGATTTTATAATTAAGACATTCCTATTATTATTAAAATATACAATAATATATAGATTAATCTATGTTCTGATATATATATATATATTATAGTTAAAGATAAAGTAATAATTATTTAAAAAGTAGTAATCTAAAAAGTTGCATCTTGTATATAATATATAATATTATGACTTATAAAGTATAAAAATTATAATAATAATTAATAAGTGTATTAGATTAGTTTATGTTAGTATAAAATAATTGTATATTAGTATAATAGTTGTCCTTATTACGTGGGTATGTAGTAGGTACTTTAAATTTAGATATTATTATTAAATTACCAAATTATGTATAGGTACCTAATGTATATATTATGTATCGTATTTCGGATGTAGCACTGTGTATAGGTTTAGTGGCATACTAACTTAACAGGAAATTAGTTCAATTCCCAGCATAACCCGTTATTCTTTGTGTATAACCTGCAGAGTACCTATATATTTTATATGGTATTTAGTATGGTGATCGAATTTTTTATAGGTACCTTCACTGCAATCTTATAATTTGTAATTACTATTTTTGAAATGTTTGAATAAAATAATCTATTGTCTGAAAGCATTATACAGCTTGATGGTCATTAATGCATCGATTATTAATACTTTCATATTTCATTGTAATAATATTATGTCCGACGTACTATATGGTTTATTTTCGATCTGTGTATTGTTTTTACAGTTCATTGGTTATACTTGTTAAAATTAAAATTCGTTAGGTATATATATATATATATATTTGTATCACACTACACTGCAGTATATAGCAGTAAGCAAATATAATATACATATAGGTAATATTTATAAATTATACAAGCAATATCTACATAATATGCGAATTAAAACGTATTTTAAACAGGTATCAAGATTATGAAATGCATTAAAAATACCTGATTTTAATATGTACATAGGTTATAATTCATAATACTCGAACAGGTTTCCAAAGAAACAATAATATATTATAAGTTGTACATTGTACAACCATCAAAATACGAAAATGAACATGGTATATTTATAATGTAAAGGAATAATATATATATAATATTATTATTGAGTAAAGTGACGATAGAAAATAGGAACTTAGATGTGGTTTGAATAGTAGACAAAATAGATAAAATAGACTGAGATAGTTTGTGTATGTTATAAGGGGAGAAGAATCAAAAGTAGTAAGAATTATAATAAAAATAGTCGTAGGAGGAAAGAAGGGAAAAGGAAGACCAAAAAAAAAAGGTGGTTGGATGCGATTGAGAATGATTTAAGGATGGCGGATATATGTAAGGACGATGTGGGGAGTCGGGACACATAGAAGTTTTGGACAAGAGTTATCGACATGGCGACACCAAATAGTTGGGGTAAAGGCGAAGGAGAAGAAGAATATAATACTAGATGTATGCTCGTCATACATAACGGGTTAATAACGGTCATAAAAATGTTTAAAATAGCAAGTACTAAATCCAAATTCTACAAATATGTTCGGTGAAAACCTTTTTACATACGAATTTTAATGAAATGAAACGTTTTAACCAAAGTTTTAATCCGTTTTCAACATTAAAATAATCATTGTTATACATACAAAAACTGCGCACTGACCTATATAAATATAAATGGACTTTATAGTTTTATAGACTGAAATATAAATGATATTAATTGTTAATTATCAACTGGTGATATAATTTATCATACATAAATCGCACTTATTTGATAAAAGTTGACTGTAATGACCAATATACTCTTTATGTACATTTAAAATTCAGGAACTATGTGCACTATATCACAATGTAGCATTGCAGTCGTAAATATTAAAACATATAAATTATAAATCTATGTACATCGTACATCTACAATATTTTGGTTAAGAGGATGTCGCATGTTTTGGTAACCCATGCATCTTGTACACTTTTAATTACATATAACATTTAAAAAACAGCTGATACTGGGAACGGGTGCATGCAGCTTCTGTTGTAGATGGCCAGCTGGGAAGTTGTTAAGATAGTATACATACAATTATTTAACTTATATCTGTATGAAGTGATAAGCTATTGCTAACGAAAAACGATTAGGACCAAAGCCCGGTAAGATATATTTTGAAATTCAGTAACTTTTATGATTTTCGTCAACGCTTATGAAAAAAACTACTTTCTACTTATGACAGTGGTTGCACCCGTCCCCAATATCAGCTTTTTTTTTAAATCTCCAATTTTAACTGAAATGCCATAATTTACGTTTTAAGTATAATAAAAAAAAAACATTAACTAAACAGACAAATCTTTATAATGACGCTATATAACCACTTTGACTACATCAAACATTAACGCACTCTTTAAAACCCAAACGAATGACTAATTGGAATTTTTAATAAAAATAATAACGTATTTTGATTTTTATATCCTATGTTACATTTGTCACATTACATAGTAAACTACTCTAGTTTTAGTGTATTTCAGGTATATATCACTGTTAATATGATATTGTATTAATACAAAAATGACGAAATCAAACTCGAACTACAATTTTACGAAATATATTAATATCCAACGAAAATATATCCATTAAAATATTTCCTGACATAATAAAAATAATGAAATTCTGTTTTATATATATATATATATATATATCCCTGCAACTTGCAGGGATAAGGAATAAAATATGTGTACTTGAATTAAATTTGTATGTATTAGTAAAAATATAAAAAAACTTTTTATTTTGTTATTTTCAAAAAAAATTGAAGATAGCCATTTTATAGAGTTTATTCTTCTAAAATATTTTTTATTTTTAATAATTTTTCAAAGTTCAAAGAAAATTTGATTATCTACAATTAAATTAAATTTACAAAGCATTTACAAAACGCAATAACGGAACGGCGGCGGCCGTATTCATAAATTTAATATTTATACACAATTATTTAATCTATGGATTTGGTTATATATTATTATACATTATCTAAATATCCACATATATTACAGTATTGAGTATTGATCAATATAATATGCAGAACCTATGTTATATTATCGATCCGCTGACACGGTTTAGTGATCTCGAGCCGTCCGATTATCTGCTCATAACTACAATCAAATATCATCAGTTGATTTTATCTGCATATTCACGTGCGTCAGAGGAGGGTGTCTGGGTCAAAATTGACCCAGGCACACCAAAGATCAAATAATTACGAGGCCCCACGCGTCCATGTAAAAAAAAAATTATTTAATCAAAAATTCCCAACCTGTTACAAAATACAAATTTAAGTTAAACAACGACTTTATAACTGATAAATAAAAATAACAGTATACTGTAATAATATAAATGAACGGAGTATTATTAACTACAATGAATACTTATTTATTAATGAATTGTACTTTTTTTCAAAAATATTTATGATTATAACGGTTTTATTTACTAAATATATCTATACATAATAAATAATCATTAATTATGAAAAGCCACCTTAGCTAAGTCTAATAGAAATATTGGAGTTGATTTTACTTATATTAAGGTGTTGAACGCATACAAATTAAATTAAGATTTTAATGTGGTTTAAATAATGGAAACGGAGAGTTGAATTAAATAATATTGTTTAACAATACCCATATTTGAAATAACCAAAAATTAAAACCTCAATTAAAAATGAATAGTTTTTAAACTTTTATTGTGTTAATGGTAAGTATAGTTATTTTAATATAAGTAGAAGTGTAGGTATTCACCGAAAAGCGTCAATTAATTTAATTAAATATATTGTTGTTACATACAAAGACACTAGCAGAGGTATAACTATAAGAGAGAGGGGGAGGGGCAAATGTCCCAGAGCACCAAAATTGTAATTTGTATAATTTCTAATATTCAATAATAGAAATATAGTTTTTACATACGTATAGGCGGTACATCAGTCAATAAATATACAAGATGTAATACACCTATCTAAAAAAATATAAACTATTATATAGGTAATTTAAATATTTTTAAGTTTAATGTATTTATGTTATCCAAGTAAAAATGATTCATATTTGAACTGTTTTTAGCTAATCAATTTTAAAAATAATATTTGTCAACCTTTTTTTGAGTAGCGTAACTCAAGTATACTTATACAACAGCTGTGAAAAATATAAAAAATAATACAACTCATATACTTTCATCTACTGGTAAACCGTCCGCGACCACCCTACCTACCTACCTATACATCACGTACCCACTAACCGTTTCCAAAACACAATGAGGGTTACGTTACATTACATTACGTTATATTACTTTTGGAATCCGTATATAATCGTGTTTATTTTTTTTATGTCAATTAAAATCGCTTGGAAGTCTGTAGCAGGTGCCCGAATGCAGATGCAGTGAGCGATTAGTTCACCCACCCCAACACATTGGACATGCAGCTGCAGTTATAAAAATATAATATATTGTAACAGACGTTAAACGTGAGCTCGTATTATATTAAAAACAACCGAAATATTTTCCATAGGGTCCGACTTTTACACAATGACAATGCAATATATATTTTATATTGTACAATAAAATTAATTGTTTACATATCTATGAACGATCCACAGCCGATTCTATTGCACGCAAAGGTCTGAAAATTACAGTACATCCGAATTACATGCTAGCTCTTACAGAGGTCTGTTCGAATTGCGTGTTATGCATAAATTTACTTAGGTATCACAATTCAATTTTTCATAAACTATAATAAGCAGAAAACAGGCCCGTGTCTACCTCGATGCTGGATTTTCTAAATTTAATTCCTAAAGGGTGACTTTTGAAAATATGATACGAATCATTTTTTTCTTCTGGATTACTTTATAGTACCACAAATAAAATAAAAATACTTTTCTCACTCCGCTCAAAATTTAAAAGGAGACAGAGGAAAGACAAGAAGACACGATTTGAATTCAATGTACAGTGACGTAAATTAAATAAGTCAGATCATAGTTTTTTCAAATTTCAGTCTTAAATTTCCAAATATCTGATTTAAAAGTTTAAAAATTTATAAAAAAAATCTTAAAACTAAATTTAAAAATAACTAATGAATTGCTAAATTGCTATGAATCATATCTGCTTAATTACGTATTCGTCATATTATATAGGCGTAGTTTTGTAAAAAATCACAATTCACTGAACTGCTAACATTTTTCTCCACTTTACTGCGTAACCTGATTTTTTTAAAATGTGAACGAACTACTGTTCGTTAATTAATATCAACTCTGTTTTAAATAGAGAACGCCACGCGCCATGCCAAACCGTTTAAAAATTATGTTATAGTTTGTTTTTATTATTTAGTACTCTCAGATAGTAAAATCTTCAATATAATTTACGGTTCAAAGTCAACTTAACGTGATCTTTTTCAATTTAACAAACATTTAATTGTTTCCGGTAATGTTAACAAAATTGTGTAATATAGAATTGTTGACATGGTTGGCATAATAAAATTATGACATAATATTAATCTTAACATGTATCCAGGCAATATATCGTGGGTAAAATATATTTTCCATTTTCATACGTTTTTGATACCTCTTGGATATTATAAAATATTTAATTTATTATAATGATAACATTTTGTTGTATTTTTGAGTATCTCTAGCTGTATTAAATTGTGAAGTGGTTACCTATATTAAAGTCAAGGAGTCATCAAACGTAAAGAAAATACGTCGTTATAAGTGTTTTTTAAACAACTGAAAATTTATTATTCATGAAGTATATAATATATTATACTGCAGTGTACAACAGTTGTATGTGTAGATATTTTAAATATTCACATTCCATTAGTGATTCGGTCGGCTATACATCCCATAATATATAATTTAATCTACGTACAGTCGTCGGTTATAAAAAAAACTAACAAAAACATAGGGTGATGTTCCTTTGTCTTTACAGTGTAATAGCCAATTACGCGTGCAAACCAATAATATTATCGATTATTAAAACCACATTTTTATAAGGGCACCTCATCATCATATAAGTATTGCGTTTCCTAAGTAACTATATACACGCATTATAGCTGTTTTATTTATGTAGATGTACCTATTATAGTTCGAAAATACTTCTCAAAACACCCCTTTTGTTGTCAGATCCCTATGCGTAGATGAATCATTACAACTGCAACGAAAATATAAGTTTAGGGAAAGACGGATGGTTAAACTACAACAATATAATACACCTGCCTATTATTTTATTGAGTAACGAAATGTATTGTTTTATAATCATTATATTATTATACTTTGTCTATACGGACCCTTCACAAAACGGTTGTTAGTTTCGATATATACATAATATTATTCTAATATGTATATATACGACATGGCGGTCAAGGTAGTTCCCATCATAAGGTATACGTGTGAACGACTATTATTATTGTCGTCCGTCATCCGCAGTCATGCTTGAAAGAATAACAGGCCCGGTACTAACATAATATTAAATAATGGAATATTTTTACTTTTAAAGTCGACGGGTACCTACAATTATTATTGGTATATACTATAATATGTCGTTTATATGGAACTATATAACATTTATACATTTATTATTTATTTGTTCTATAGCAAAGTCACAATAGCACAGGACCCAATTTTGGCTGAATTGTTTAATCATGTCCTTGCAGATTTTCTGTTACGTCTAAATTAAATTTGGTTCTAAAATTTGTAAACCAGTTTAATGGACAATTCCAAAATGTATTTACAAAGGATGGGGAAATTATTTACACAGAGGTCAGATATGAATTTCAAAAAGTATTATATAAAATAGACAATTGCATGCAATTTTTGAATTTTGACCATGAAATAATGCGGTGAGTGTTATTTTTAATACTTGTTTATATACAATTATTTAATAAACTGATCTTCATTATACAAATTTGGTTTTGTGAAAGAACCTACATTGATGGTCGTAACTGGAGGTTTCATGAAATTTCACATTGGTTCCCAATATGAGACGAATGAATTCAATTTCATGGAAACTCTGATTATAGCTACTGTCTTGCAGAACCAATATCTATCAGTAAGAATTTCAAAATAACATTTTTAAAAATACAAATTTATATTACTTATTTAACATGTATTTATATCAAAAAGTTATACAAAAAATGTATAATCAAGGCAAAAAGTCTATCACTGCAGTATGACACACAATTTACATTAAAATACTTCAAACTATTAATACATGAACTTTCTTCCCAAAAAATCATAACCAAAATTAGAGTTACATCAAAAAGTCCTTTTAAATTCATTGTATCTGAAAATAGTCGAACAGTAAGTCATTTAAAACGCACATCATATATATTCAATAAAATCACTTTCATTAACCCAATTAAAGAGTCTATGTAAACCAGAAACAATCATATAAATTATAACATTGACATATAAAAAATGAAAAAAGGAATTAACTTTATAAATTACATAAGAGATGAAATAATACAACAAAATTTTGGTATTAAAGAATTCGAATTAACCAACACTTTTTACAATATCGTAGAATCTTACAAAACAAATTTACTTAATGTAACAAATTATATTAAAAATAAAAGCTTTCCCCCAAATGTAGAAAATTTAAATAAAACATTTGCATGTGATCAACCCCAAAACACTCTAAATAAGCAGACTCCAAATTATACATTAGTTATACAAGATACTAGATACATTTTATAAACGATAAGCACATTCCTCCTGCACAGTTGGTATAAGTTACTTGTTTAATTTTTTTTTTTATTTCAGTTCTATCTGAACTGATGTTTTAAATATTCTCGATCGTTTCTGAAAACGTCCAAAACATGAGCATTCAATCTTTGTTTCAATCTTTAATGTTATTTGATATAAAACATATGATAAGTGCTGTTATCAAATAATGTCATATTATTATGTAAAACATTGTACATATTATGTCTATATTAACACAGTGTATTTATAAACATGTAACGATGTATATAAAACATTATATTATTGTAAAACAATCGCATTAGACATTTTCGATCAGATACCTATACTTTTTATTTGTCTAGATAGATTACTAACTATTATATATATATATATATATATATATATATACTTAGTAGGTAATAGGTATAATAAAATTGAGTTTATTCAAGGCAAGCAAACAATAATATTATAATACTATATAATAGTAGTGTGACCGGCAAATAAATTGTAATCTTCGATTGCACATCGTTTATTTTCCAATCACGATTTTAAGCACAATGTATAGGAATATAAGATAGGTATTTCTATCGTGCTACAGCGGGTGTCCCTGGAAACATTTGTATAGCATAGGTAAGGTATAGACCGTTGAAAAACAAAAAAACAACAGCGCATCTCTTTGAATAATTGCGTTCGGAGCGAAAGTACCTACAGCTGAACTGAGAGAGACGATGTAACAATAATACATTATATAGGCACCTATTTAATGTTGTAACCGTAAAAATGTCACCGAGTAATAAATTGGCTTAAAACCGTTATTTTCTAGAAACGCGTAATTGGCATCAGTTGTCGAATATATTGTATATAATATACCTATATTTTATAGGCATTGAGTAGGCTCCTATTCTATACATTTTTCGTTTTTAATTTTTACCGAAAATATATTGTTATTAAAAGTATATAGACAGAATTGTCAACATGCGTGGATTAAACGTCCTTCGGTTAAAAACAATGGATTTTTTCCTCTTAGCTTTAAATGGCGAGGCCGTCTCCGCGTGACGTTTTACTCCAAAACCGTATAATTAACCGTATGCGCGAGTGATGTAGTAATTTATATTTAACTATTTTCTTTTAGTCTTTCCCCAGGGAGAATCCGATCAAAAAATGTTGCCTAATACGCTCATCGAAGTCGGTATCACGATGTCTTCGTCGTCATGGGAAAGGTTAGTTAATCGTTCGAACAAAATCTGTAATTCCTCACGAATTACACGTGCACAAGCCACGAATATATATATATATGTTTACTATATAGCTTATATATATTATAGGTTGATTTATGTTATATTATTCATTTATAACATAGAGACGTGAAAGGCACAATATATCATGTTATGGTAGGTATGTGTCTCATGCGTGTATAAATGATTTTCAATTTATACGTGATCGTGTATACTGTGCAACTATTATATCACAAACTAACGACGATAATATCTACGAAGATTTTAAGTTATAATTTAATTTATATTTATTTAATTTATAATTTATAGTTATAAGTTATAAGTTATAATAACGAACATTTAAATTTGGTTTTATGGTGTACAGTGGAAAACATTTGAAGAGCGCGGTAGAAGAAGGGTATTAATCCATTTTTGAAAATTATACGACAAAAAAAACTTCTCTACAGCTGCACGGATATTAACTTCAATGTTATTATTAATGACTGAAAAATACAAAATCGAATTTACTCATAATGGCGTCACGAGGTTATATTTTTGGGGTAGTTGCCACTTAAACTTTTGGATCAGGTCGGTCAATGGAAGGTACATTAATTTTAGAAAGTTCGATTATGGTATTAATTATAATGGTAGTTAAGGTTTTGAAGATACCTAATGGTTATTGATGCTTGCAGTGGTGTTAAAAACACAACTATAGGTATATTTTAATCGAAATTATATTATGATTATTATTATTATTAGAATATTGATCATGTAGTGTTACTATAAGAGTTGTAACTATTTACTAAATATTCTCACCAAATTTCAGAAAAATGTATAAATATGTTTTAATAAATCAACTGAATACCTATGGGAAATGAACTGGGAGGGAGATAAGGAATTATTACCACATTGGGTTCATCATCATCAATAGCTCAACGGACCATTGAGGATCTGCGTTGCCATTAATAATAAGCTCTTCCACTTTTTCTATCCATAGACTAATCTATTATTACAACCACATCTATAATTCTCATATTCCACACTGTCCCTTCATCTGGTTTTTGGTTTTTACTTGTTTATTTTTTCTATCAGAACATTCTTTAATACATCCCCATTTGCTCTCTATGTATGTCCCAACCACTCCAGTCTTTTTAACTCATAAATGCTAGTATATTGGGTTTTTCATGTAAACAATACAGTTCTTCGTGTTTTTTTCATCAATTTCTAAGTCACTGTTTTACACCGGTCCATAAATATTTTTTAGGATTTTTCTCTTTCAAATAGTGAGTCTTCCATTATCCTCTTTTGTCGTGGACCAAGTCTCACAAGCATAAGTTAAAATAACCCCATTAGCTTAAAAATATAACCATTTAGTAATCTTATTTTAAAATTTTGTTTCAGCCAAGTTATAAGAACAAATGTATTGAATACAAATTTGATTATTATTTATAAAATCCCCTAAAGCTTGAATTGGCACAAAATGACAAAGGTTATAGTGATTCCTATTTTATTTTGAGCATCTCATACATTGTTGTCCCAAACAACAAATCATTTTAAAAATAGATTATTCATTAATTAGTCAAACCTTTTCAAAATTATATTAAAGAAGACGCCTTTTAATTGTAGCCAGAAGTAAGAGGACTACATCTCCTCACTTAAATCCTTGTCCCTCACATTTAAAATTCCTGAAGTCGTCCCTGATGTTTGTATCAGCTGCAGTGAACACTCATTGTCTTAAGATAAAATTATCAAGTCTCAGTAGACCCATATCATGACTAGATGAAAGCCCGATTTAATTTAATTGTGATATAACGATATAAATATCAACTAATTAAATCAAGCTATATGACCAGTTAGAGCAATGCCATCAAACTTAAGGATAAATAAAATATTAATATTATTTTCTTGAGGTAATAATCAATAGGTACCGACCGATACAATAGTATCTCGATTTTGTTTAACTATGTATCCAATATACACTTTCAAAATGGGAAATTGGGCAAACGAACCAAAATTAACAATGATCAATCGTGCGAAGTATGATTCGCATCGAATTTTTATACTATATAATTTTACAAGGCTTATCACATTTTGAAATAGGCGGGTGAAGTTTTATTGCCCACCCGTGTGGTTTATCTATTTAAAGTTCAAGACACCACTGTTTACTCGAAATATTCGTAAACAATTGCTTAAGCCTATTAGAATAATCATCCTGCAAGTATACAATATACGCGATCCGAGAAACGCCGCCGTCTGCAGTTATATCAATGAAAATCAATTGCATCAATGAAAAAGTCACAGATACTGTCATCAATAGTTTAGAGAAATCTGTATATACCTATCTTTAGCCTATATAAATACACGATGCGAAACTCAAAACGAAACGATATATAGGTAATATAAAACCCGAGTCGGACTATCATCGGACGAATGTTATCGATATAACAAATAGTGGCGGATAACTGGGTTTGTGGTACGCGGCCGACGGACCTTGTAACAATATTATACATGGACTCGATCGACAAGGTTCATTATCCCGCAGTGTGGATAAAATAATACTATGTAAATAAAAATTCTGTTACACGGGCGGGTTGCAGAGAAAAACGTTGTTGCGCATTATTTCGATGGGCGATCGAGCCGTGTTGAATACCAAAAAAAAAAAAAAACCGTTTGCGGAAACAAACCACCAATAATCAATTAACGGGCGTGGTGGGAGAGTTATCATAAAAACACAATAATATTAGTGTCTATTGTACCTACCCGTTGGCTGTTGTTTATAAATACTACGACGGATCAACGGATCGCCATACAATGTAAAGTACTCTGCACTAACCAAGAAAGTTAATAAATTATGGTGAACCGTTGTCCTTTACGTACCAAAACAAAACCACCTCAAAAAACGCATTTGTATCGGTAGCTGCAAGCCTGCAAAACAAAAAAGCGAACTATACCGTCTCCCAATACTTTATTATCCTTGTAGTTGAAAAATTGAAATTACAAAAAGATTTTTGTTTGATCGTCGATGATGTCGCATTATAAAATGGAATAAATAATAATATTAAATTAAAGCATTTTAATTAAATGCTTTATCAGTTAAAACTGTGGCTTGTATCGTTAGATAATTATTTTTATACTTACCATGTATTTATGTATATTGCAATTGTATATACCTATATATATATTATAAGTATTATATAAAAAAATCTAGTATTAAATCGATTTCGTGTAACCCGATGTAAGTACAAATAATTTTGATTAAAATTGAATAAAAGTATAAAACTATAGCCTGATGTTTGCCGTCTGCTATAACTACCCAGAATCGCGAGTAGATAAAAATTATTTCAACCGTGGACTATTTATCCAAATAAATCTATATTGACTATTAAACTTAATTACTTAAACAAAATCATTTCTTATTAATATATTGTAATCAGATTATCTGACTAAGTCTGATACAATAGTGATTCAGATATTAGGTACCTACGTCTTAATCATCGTCATAGTTGATAATGTAATATTATATATCAATTTTAAATTCGATAATTCAGTTCTCATACAATTTAAATTCGTAATAAATAACATGGCAATATATAATAATATATTACAGAAACTATAATAGGTATTCACTAAATTCAAGAGACTTTAATACATCACTGCCCATAGTGTAAAAAATGTATTAGATGTTATTCTTTTAACATAGATAATAATAATAATGTACTCACATGATAAAAATTCAGCAGTGATTTTGTTAATGGAATTATAGGCCTGTATTAGGGAATACTGATTATACTGCAATATGTGGCCCGCGTGGAAATCAACGACAATAATAAATTATCAAAAATATGTTAGTTTGGTATGTGGTTATATTAGGCAAAAATGAATTGCCTATAATAGTGTTAAACGCGATACTTCGAGTTTGTCATAAAAACAAAATATTATTTTACACGAATACGCGTTGTGAACGTATAAACGAGAACGAATCGCGACGGGTTTAACATAAACTGACGGCGGGCACGACGGCCGACGAAGAGTTCTGCTGGTTCCGTGTGCCTGGAGACCTCCCCACTACTGTAAATACAACTGCGCGCAACATAATAATAATAAAATACTCCGAAAAATACGTGTAATGATAATAATATTATGCTACTGCTACAGCAGCCTACAAGTGGGTGAATGTGGTTTTGACGCATGGTGAATTTTTCATATTTTTTTTTTCGTTTTTGTCTACAGCAGCATCTATACTGAAATATTATAGTGATATAGCATACAATAGCTATGATATATATATTTTTTTATCTGCAAACAACTTTTCTACTAGAAATCTTGCTCCAAAAAAAAAAAAAAAATATTTTTAGTTGCATTTTGGATCTAGTTGGTTAGTAAACAGTAGTGTCTTGATTTGCCGACCAGTTTTTATAATAAATGAGAAAAACAGGAATAAAAATAGGAAATACGGGAAAATTTACGGAATTAATGGTTTCGTTATTCTATTTATTTCTGTAAATCGATTAAAAAGCGTAATGCAATAAGTTTTTTTATAAAAGTTTTAAAATTAAATTTTGGTGAAAATCATAAAAATTACGGCATTTCAATGCATGAATGAATGTTTAACTAAACTTCATTAACAATGGTTAATCATTGTTTAAAAATATAAATTAAATAACTTTATGTATTCTATCTTAACAACTTCCCACCTACAATGGAAACACACCAATAAGTTATATTAAATCTTTTATTTGTTTTTTTTTTACTGACGGAAAAAACTTTAAAATGTTCCACTTCTATATTATAAATTATATTACAGAATACAAGCTGTTCTACGCCGGGCGTTGCCCGAGATAATTTGTATTATTATTTTACCCATATTCATTTTTGGTTTTGAATGAAAACCAATATGTAGAAAGTGGATAGTCCACCTTCGACGGACTAAATGTGTTCTATTATGAAATTTTAATAATGTAAATAATAATAATAATAATTTTAGTAGTTTTTCTTTTCCGTAACACCAAGGTAACTCTTGAGTAAACAAAAAAAAAATAAACAATTAGATATTCATACCAAATATACCTAAAAACTCCTATTTATCCCTTTAGGGGTTGAATTTTCAAAAATCCTTTCATAGCGGATGTCTGCGTCATAATAACTATCTGTGTGTCAAATTTCAGCCCGTTTCCCAGATCTAATAAAGATGTCATCACGTCAATACAAATTACCCAAGATAACATACTTGCCTGATATTATGTATAAACGGTTGTTTACGTGTTTACCTAATTTTAACAACGTATCAGAACTTGATCTATGGTATAAGACATATGCGTGATCTGCAATTCAAAGCAAACCTTGTCGCTGTTGGAAAACATTTACCGTACGTAGTGGCGTGGTGAACATTTTATAAATCTTGGATCTTGGTGCACAACATAAATGTCAGTACATATCCACCCTTAACTCCCAAAATATAGTAGAAATATAGTAGAAATTTAAGGAACATATTGAGTGTGCGGTAAAAAAATCATTAAAAATATTGGGATTCATTAAACGCCACACTTCTGAATTCAATGACCCGAGGTCCTTAAAACTTCTTTACTGTGCGTTAGTCAGACCTATTTAAGAATGATTCACTTATCTGGTATCCATATTTTGAAATTGATGAATGTGACCAGAATCGTTTTCTCAGATTAGCAGCCTACAAATTAAGCATACCTATTAATAATTATGATCATTCAAAAATTAGATCTTTTACTTATATCCAAACGTTAGCTCTTAGACATAAATTGGTTGACATAAATTTTATCTTCAAGCTAGTTAATGGAATCATAGATAGTCCGGACCTATTAGGCTGTATCCTGTTTAATATTCCCTCTCATAATAACCGTTTCTTCTATTTATTTTATGTACCTACATTCAGCACAAATTATTTGAAAAACCCTTCTATTCCTAAAGCCTTGGCCTTATGCAACAAACTTCCGCGATTTGCTGATTTTTTTTTTTCATTTTTAAATGAATTATTAAATACCTAAATAAATAATGATATAAATTACTAAGAATGCCAAATTAATTTTTAATTTTTACTCTAGAATATATTTACTGTATTTTGTATTTATTGTATTTAAAGCCTTACTGTACTATTTGGCTCACGCCCGTTTTATTCATTATATTATTATATTATATTATATAGTTATATTAATACTAGCTGTCCCGCGCCCGGCATTGCCCGTGCCAATTTTTATTATTTTTTTTATCCATATTAACTTTTGGTTTTGAACGTGTCAAAATTGAATGAAAACAAATGAGTGGAAAGTGGGTAATCCACCTTCGGCGGACTAAAAGTCTTCTATGCTTTGCTATTGCTAGATAATAGTGTAAATAGTAATAATAATAAAACTTAACGACTGAATTGTCATCCATGTCACCCAGGTAACCCATGAATAAACAAAAATAAATAAATTAACAATTAGATATTCGTACTAATTTCAGCCAGATCCGTCCAGTGGTTTGGGTTAGGCAATAATGAATCGGAATAATGTTATTAAAGTAAAGTAAGTTCTACAAAAATATGGTGAGACCGACAATATTGTATGGTAGTGCGTATTGAGCGGTAGACAGAAAAATATAATAGGGATTTAGCTTAGCAGAGATAAGGATGCTTATATGGATGACTGAAATGACATGATGAGAGAGGAATCAGTAGCAGTAAGAATTTTAATAAAAATAAACTTAGGAGGAAAGAGGTAGAGAGGAAAACTGAAAAGAGCTGGTGTATTAATCAATTAATTAATTAATTTTAAGACGAGAGTGATCCATCCTAAATAGTTAAGATAAAGGTAAAGGAGAAGATTAAATAAAATTATTTTATGTATAAATATAAATAAATTTATATATTGAATTTTATGTTTTTTAAAAGAATAATTACGAGTATTATTAGTTGCATAATGTTTGTTTTAATTTATTTAATTAATATACTTATATCCATTTCTATTTCCAATTTGTTTCGTGATGCGTTAAATTGTATACCTAAAATGAATTATCATATAATAGGTGACCACAGGCTCATTAAATAGATATTTGTATTTTTATATAAATATATGTTATATATTATATAAAAAAGAACTAATACAACGCTAATAATTGACAGTTGTATTTACGTAATTGCCTACTGTTAAATTGTAGCGTAAAAAGTAGTTTACACTTTTAGTGTAGGTTTTTACCTACTACAAAAGGTTTTGTATGAGGCCTTAACGCGAACAATTTTATGGGACCGTTTCTAAAAAATAATTGGAGACAAATTTCAAAGGAACCGGTCTTTAACGTGTCTACTTTGTATTTGTAACATTTTATTTATAGTTATAATTAAAAAGGAAAATATGCAAAATGAAGACAAAGATACAATGTATGAAGATTGAAAATATAGATAGGTACAAATATACAACAATATTATAATACGGAATTGAGGGAAAAAAGCCCCAGACAAAAGAGCCTCTGACCAAAAGCCATACCAGGAAAAAAAGCCCCATCTCAGGAAACAAAAAGCCCTATTGTACAATTTAATAATAATAAAAAGACAAAAACATAAATATTTATTATACTTATTATTTTAAGTTAATAAAAACACAGTAAATTTAAAAATTACTTTTTAAAATCATGATTTTTCTTATATTATGGCTTACTGCTATTAAAAAATCGAAAATACTTATTTTAGTTATAACAATAATATGTATTCTTTAACTTAAAATAATAAGTATAATAAATAAATTTTTTTTCATTTAATTACAACACTGCTATTTTTCCCTAATACTTATAATTCAAGCTTGAGATAAATCCAATCATTTGAAATATAATACATAGGCATAACTAGGTCTCTGAACTAGGAGGGGTCTAAAGCCCCAGCTTTTTTTCTCTTATAACATTTCCGAGCAACCATCCTCTACATGTAAGAAACAATGCACAATAAAAAAATCATTTTTATTGTTGCAAGGATTCTTAAAAATAGCAAATATATTAATTATTATTAATAAATTAATTTTATAAGAGTAGGTATTATAATATATGAACCCTAGTGAACGAGTAACGTCTCTATCATTTTCAACATCCACTTCTTCTTGTAAGATAAGAATAATTGAGTCAACATTTTTAATAACACCCTTATAATTTTTAAAATGGTACACCCATCTAGTACTGCTGATTATAGTGTGAGTAATATTTGTCATTAATAATTTTTGGTGCACATTTCTCAACTAAGAATTATTTGATGGTCATGAAAAATGAACCATTCTTAATAACGATTCTAGTGCATTGAAAACAGATTTATATATTTTTATAAAAAATAAGAATAAAATATTTCAATGGTTTAAAAATTATTTAATTAAATCTGAAACAAATATCTGTATTAATTAATCTTTACTTGTTTACACATGTATAGAACTAAAAAGCTATCTAGAATTTTGAAGTCTATTTTATACAAATTGACATAAATTATTGTTTATGAGGCCTCAAAAGAATACAAATAAGGCTTAGATCTTAACCAAAAAATACCTATATATTACTAATTAGAATATAAGTTTTAAAACCAAATTTTGACGAAAATCATAAATATTATGGCCTTTCAAAACATGTATATCTAACTTAACCGAAATCATTTTTCGTTAGCAATGGTTTATCGTTGGTTACAGGTATACATTGAATAACTTTATGTATCCCACTTTTCCAACTATCCACCTACAACAGTACCCACACCCATCCCCTGTATTTTCAAATTTTACTGAAGTTTTTAAAAAATGCCGTAAATTTTTAATTTATTTAGGTAGTCTTTTTAGAGGGGGGGCTTAGTCCTATATCTTTCTTTAGTTACGCCTATGAATATATAGGCGAAGGAGAAAGAAATATATATGTGATATTAATACCCAAGGTGATCTGGATTAGTATTAAAATTACTTATGTTTCGGAGCTTGATAAATTTATTTTTCTTAAAACTAAAGTATCCTATGAAAAAAAAAAAAAAAAAGGTTATTTTAAATTATTAATTGGCCAAATGTAATGTTATTATCGATAAAGCAACCATA